TTGATTTTAATAAGGTTGTATGTATGTATGTATTTCTAAATTATGAGAAAATTCGATCTTTTTTTTTTTAAATTGTAATTTTATTTAAAATGAGCCATCGCAGCAGTTTATTTCATATGTTCCTTGTTTTACATATTGTAAAAATGCTCTTTTTGTTTTTTTAACTTGTTTTTTTTTCTTTACAAGATTGAATTTAGTTTAGCATAAAAGAATGAAAAAAAAAATGAAAAGAAATACTTAAGTAGATGTTTAGAATTTACATGCAAGAAATTTATTTTATTTTCGTAAATTGAAATTCAATGTGACAAATATTGTTATTAAAAGTGCAGGGTGTTCTTCTAATATAATAATTCAGTAATGTGAACAGTATTACATGTCATCTTTCAGGAAATCGAAAATTAAAAAAAAATTTGTTGAAAACTAAATGGTTTCCGAAATACCATTTCGGAATTTTATGAAAATTTAGAAGAGTTTTTTCTTGCTCCTATCATTCGGTCTACGAAAGTTATGAGCTTCGAGGAAAGACAAGGTTTATGATTTAATTTTCTAAACCTTCTAGTTTTGGAATGGTAAGAATTTCAATTTTGAATTTTTTTTTTTCATTTCTTCATCTGTATTACTATTTATCTAGCAAGAAAAAAATTTAACTTTTTAATGTCTGTAATTTTTTTTCTAAATCCCTTAGTCTCGAAACCTTCGAGCTTCACATCAAACAATTTCTAAATCAATCAGTACTTATTGCAATAGAAAAATTTTAAAATCCTATATACTTAGCATGCATATTTCAAATATCACCTTTATAATGCTTACTTATTCAAAGATTTTAATATTTTTAAGTAAAGATACTAATAGCTTTTTCTATATACAATCATTCTTTTCCTGTAGGATTCAGTTTCCAGATTTTAACAAGAGAAACTAAATCAAAAAGATTTAGTTTATTTTTGTCAAAATTTATTTTAAAAAATACCTTCTAGTTAGCAGAATTTTTTTAATTAAATTTAGTTTTTTTGCTACAAAAACAAATTTGGTTTTCGAAAGGTTAAAACCAATTAATGTTAAATTTTTTCTCAGATTCTCGGAGAGTATGTTTTAATGAAATGTAAAAAACAATTTTGACAAATAAAAAAATGCATACGTACTTATGTACACATACCATGCGCCTAAATAAATTCAATTTTTAGCAAGAAGTTATTCCTGGTTGAAATTTAGAAATCAATGCATTTAATGAACGCAAAACTTATGATTCTTATCGACGCTGCTTTAACTTGAAAAACAATTACGATTTTTTGAAATTTCAAAAAAAAAATTTTTAGATTTTTAGATTAGAACGAAAATATATTGGAAGTTAGAACTTAGAATTTTGGATCTTTGAAAGACTGTACTTGATAAAGAATTCATTTTTGTTTCCAATAATTTTCATTTAATCAATTTGTCATAAAAATCAATAAGCTGTATTCCAATAATTCTAAATGGCACAAATATCATTTGTACGCCATCTACCTGTATATCTCATATACACTTATAAGAACGAATGCAAATATTATTAATTTTTTTTACGTGTTTATGTAATATAGAAAAATTAAAATAATGCATACTTGAATGTGAATTACAATTTAGCATGTTCGTACCTATTATAAAAAAAAAATGCTTTTATTGATCTTCAAGGATAAATGAATTTTTATTTTTGATTTAAAATTTGATTTTCAAAATTTCAAAAATCTTGTCATATTTTCTATTTTTTTTTCTTTGTTTCACCGAATAGTTCTTTTTAAATGTTCTCTAAAATCTTCATGGGAATTCATTTTCCTCATTTCCCTTTCTATTTTTCTAGTGTTTTTTTTTATTTGGTGTTTTTGCTTTAATTTAAAATCTCATGTGAGCTTTTTGAAGTACATTAACTAAAGGCAAAGTAAGTTTAAATCATAAAAACAATAATGTCAAAAAAAAAAAAAATGAAAACAAAAAAAAACCATTCAAGGATAAACCATTTTTAACCTATATGAACACGGAATTATGTAGAATGCTACGTTTTACACACATTTATTTGATTTTTCATTTCTTTAATCTTTGCGTGTTGACTTCATATACATATTAATGTTATATTCTTTATATATACATATATAAGTACACTGTTATACAACGTACATTAATATTATATATGCATGTATATGGCAATAAAAAAAAATAATTTATTAGTACACAAATAATTAAAAAAAATTTATGTGGTAAGTGTGCTTTTTTTTTTTTTTGAGGTCCTTTGTTGGTATTCATAATTAAAAAACATCTTATCATTGAAATTCAGTTAAAAGTGTTATACATATAAAAGGTAGAAATTTTTGACCGTTGAAGTAATAAGTAAGCAGAAAAAATAAAAGAAAAATAATTCTTCTGAAAACAAACAAACAGTTTGAAAGGACACAAAAAAAAATGGAAGAAGAACAAAAAGAAATTAAATTTTTAATGCCTAGAGTTCGGACATTGACGACATTTTCATAATAAGTAGATGATGAAGAATTGAAAGACGTCAACAAAATGTATGAACAAACCGCATATACATATATTTAAAATTTACATAGGGAAAAAAACTAGTACAGAAAGATGCCACGATAGAAAATTCGAACTATTCTATGAAATATAAAATTGCCGCACTTGAAAATGTAAAGTGTTTATATACAAGTTAGACAAATTATATTTCAAAACAGAAGAAAATTTCATAGTCAACATTACTTAGGATCATTTTTCAATTTCATATACATATAAGTAAGTAATTTATCTTCTTTAGCAGCTAATATTTAGTTACTATTTTAAGAAAAAATAGAAAACTAGCATTAACGTATACTTATTAAATTTTTATTGAAAGCCAAAAATTATTCATTGACATTTACTAATAAAATATAATCTATGTAACTGTTTAGCCATAATTACATTTTAAGTAGTTCACTCTAGAAAATTCATATTTTTGACTACGTTTTTACAAATTTCAGTCTGGGAAAATCTTAAATTAAATGTTCAATATTCTAAAATTTACTTTTATTTTTATTAATACTCGCTACTTATTTCGAATAAAAAAATTCTTTAGAAGTAGTTTTTTTATATAAATACCAAAACAACTTTGTCTTATTTAAAATATACCTAAAATTCAGTTTAAGTTTGAGTTGAAACAATTAACTTTTTAATAATTTAAGAATACTTATATCGAAAAATATAAATAAGAGCGAAATTGTTAATCAACATAAGCATTTATAATAAAAAATTTCTGTAATTAAATTAAATGCAAAGTTAAAAATATGTGCACTTACATATTTAAATTATTAAGAATTCACTTGTTAATACGTTCTTATCGTTCTTATACATTCTTATCGTTCAAGAGAATGAGTAATGCAATTGGGTAAATAAATTTCTTTGAAAAAAAAAACACTTTGTTTTGTTAGGCAACTTAGTACTTATTTTACAAAAACAATAAGTAATAAATGGCTAAAAGTATAGAACTATAGAATGTCAATAACAATAAAAAAAAAAACTTTTTAAATTTTAAAAACAATATTTTACGCCAATGTTGTAATTCTTACATGAAAAGTAAATTATTGTTTTATTATTACACATAAAAAATTATTTTTACAAAATTATTTACTTACTTATAATAATATTTACGTTAAACAAAACTCAAAACAAAATACATTAATATAAGTATATTTTATTATTTAATGAAGTTTCACTTAGAAAACAAAGAACTTTCTTTGTCCAAATTCTAATTTATAACATTTGCCTTCAGTGTAATTACACTGCGGATTAAAAAAAAAGTTTTAGTGTCAAATAAAAGGTGAACTTTTCATGTTGTTTACATAAATAAATAATTTTTAACTTTTTTTTATACAAGGTTTTTTTTCAAAAAAAAAAAAATCGAAATAAATTGATTTTTCCTTTTGTTTTTAAGAACTTTAAATATTAAGTAAGTACGAGTGTATGAGTTAAGTATTTCGATTGAAATTTATAATAACTTTTATAAGTTGATTTTACATTGACGTACCCTTTTGAGCTCATTAAGTAATAATAATTATAAATGTGGTTTTCGATAAATAAGTACTTAAGTATAAATGCATAAGTATGTATAAATGTATATTTTCGATTTGTTCAGATTAATATTCACAAATAATTTACAAAATAAAGTTAGGAATTTACACAATAAATATTTCATTAATCGAAATTTAATTCAAACAGACATGAATAACAGTAAGATTACTGTAGAAATTCAAAACAAAAATCCGATTCTATAAAAAAAGTTGGCAACAACTTAGGAAATAAAAATAATTTTAGCAAGAATATAACTACAGTTACAGATACTCTCTAGGGACTTCTTGTATTGCTTAAAATGTAAGGAATATTGATAATTAATTATGTAAATAATACTTTGCACTAAATGCTAATATGACCAAGCCTCAGAATATGGATTTTATAAGCACAGAATTAGGTTGACATGTACACAAACACGTTCAAAATGACGAAAACTCTCCCGTTTTCTAAACATATAACTTTCTCAAATTTTTCCTCATGTAAATTTAAATATTGTTGGTAATATCAGGCTTATTATACTTAAATCCTTTATTATCAAAATTATTTATTCAGTATTTATTTTTCAATATAATTCTCGCAATTTAGAGAACGCATTTGGTCACATTTAAAAACCTGGTTATAGTAACTAATACCATGTAACTTACTTAAAAGACAAATTCACAGCCATTTACTTGGCCTATTAAAATTAATAAGTTACAAGACTTTAAGAAAATTTAAAAATGCTAAAACATAGCTTTTTAGTACCCACGTAAGTCGTTGCTAACGAACGATATCATAAAAGTATTAGAAGATTAACAAAGAGCTACCCCGTATTTGAATAATAAAATTAAAATGAAATTGATTTAAGATGAAGTACTATAAGTAATTAAAGATAAAATTAAATTTTTATTATTTAATAATTGATTTAATATAATAATAAAAAAACATACCTGTAATTCTCTCAGCTGTTGATGAGTTTGAGTAACAATATTTTTAATCGAATCATTTTGCTGTCCAGCCGGTCCTAATATTATAAATATAAAGCTTGTAAGGACTACACAACACAATATTATAATAAAATTTTTGGTTCGCATTGTCGTTCGTATAAATTCATTAACATTAAGCTTTTTTCGCGTTTTTCTAATTATTTTAACAATTTTGAAGCAATTTAAAATTTAAAAATTGTATGTAAATTAAAAAACTTTATGAAGACTTAAAAAATATTTTTTTTTTCGTATAACAAAAATACTTTATGCTTGGTAGTAGATAATTGAAATTTTTATTTTTTTACTTGTATATTTTATTTTATTTTCTATAAAGCCACTTATAATTTCTTTTTTTTATATTTTATTTAGTTGGACTCAAATAAAAATATTTTATTTTTTTCACTTACTTAGAAACAAAATTTTAGAAATCAGAAAAAAATTTTTCTATACGGTTATGTAAATTTTAGAGTATAATAATATTATGTATCAGAAAAATTTTATACTTTTTGTTACTATTTTTTTTATGTATTTTTGCTCAAAAATAATAATTTGCGGTATTTTCTATATGTTATGCCTATATATTTTGTATAAAAATTATTATATTAATAATTATATATATATATATTATAATACTTATATATATATATATGCTGAAATGAATCTAACAAATCTAGGCAGGTTTTTAAATATTGAAATAACCACAAAATTTAATTAAAATTATGTATCTAGTTAAGATACTTAGATACCCTCTTAAATTTGAAACCTTTCACTTTTTATTCTTTATATGTAGGTAGGTAAATTGTTGAGAAATATATATTATTGAAATCTTATTTTACGATATACATAATACAAATATATACTATGTATACTAATTACTTGCCTTTAAAATTATTAAATATTTATAAAACACTTAAATTATTTTGTTAAATTATCTAGATTATTTTTAAATAATTTATTATTTATTTATACATATATGTATATGTATGTACATATATTTTTTTTTACTTTTTATTAAATTTAATATTTTTTATTTTATAGGAAGTTTTTTAAACAAAACATGAATAAATAAGTATTCCAAACTTTTATTGCCGAAAAATTTTTTGCTTTATAGTTTTGCACTTTTAACGTTGATAAGCTGAAAAATAAAAAGAAAAGAATGAATTATCAAAATTAAATTATGACACATAATAAGTAAAGTATTTGTATTTATGAAAATAAATAATCATTTAGGATTAAGACCCTAAAAAACGTTTTAATATTAGGGTCAAAATTGTGCTATTGAACTAATTATTATTAATAGATAAAAATACGAAGAAAAGGAATCATACATATATATGTAAGTCAATCGTTTATTTATAGTGATATTGCAGATTTTAACTATTTACATCTGAATTTTTCATGAAATTAAAAAACAAAAATATTTTATAAATGAATTCTATAAGTAAATAATTCATTATATACATATTTAAAAAAGATAAGTTTTTTTACAAAAACAAAATACAAATTATTGTATGTACTACTTTCTCGTTCATAATAAAAATATGCAACTCAACTGAATATAAGAATATACATACACACATAATATCTAAATTTGTACATATGTACATAGTTTATTTGAATGAAAATTTTATCTATACAATGTGTACACCTTAATTATGTTTAAATTTTACTTTTACGTACTTCGTTTATTTTAAATGGTAAACTTATAACAAAAGAAACCGAAACCAGCAAATAATAAAATATGTATTTATAAGATGAAAAACGTAGGTACCTACTAAAATAAGGAGATACTTAGATACCCATCAGCATCTTTTTTTTTTATGAAAATTTTCGGAAGCTGTTTTATATTCAAATTTATGAAAAATGTAATTTATACAATTTTATTTTATTTCTATTCACAAATTTAGAAAATTGTAATTATCATGTATTTTATATTTTAAAGTTGATATTTTTTTTCTAACATTGACTCAGCTTTTTATAAATTTATTTTTTTTAATTTTTTACATATTTGAGTAAATATCCCCGAATATCTTTCATTTCAGGATTTTCCTATTATTTTTTTTACATATTTTATAGTAGTTAAAACCATTTTATACCTTAATTTTTCTTTAGTGAAATTATGCAACTAGTATCAATTTGATAAATTTATCTACAATAATGATAAAATGTGAAGAAAAATCATAATATACATTCTATACGAACTTAACTTATTTTATTCTTAAACATTCTCACGTTACGCCTCGATATCAACTGACAATTAGAAAATTTTTTTTTTTTATTTTGTGCTATTATTATTATTATTATTATTATTTGACTTTTTCTCTTTTACTAAAACAAAATCAAAACAAAAGTGAAAAAGTGAGAAAATAAGGTGAGATTTTGCTCAGAAATTGTTATGAATGTAATGTTGTTCAATTGAAAACGGTTGCAATTGATTGCAATAAAGAAAAATACAAAAAAAATTTAAAAAAGTGTTATATAGAATTGTGTAATTTAGTATTTTATATTTGTTGTTGTTTCTTATGTTGACGGCCAACTCCTATTAAAATCAAACGGAAGGGTTAAAAAAAAATTAAAATAATTTAAGGTACTGCTTACATCAGATTAAATAATAGATTTTGTCGTATATGTAAACTGTACCTAAGTCTTAGTCGCAGATTGAAATCAATCAGTCCATGAAAATCAAAAGGACTGAATGACGTTTTTGTGGGATCATCAACCAAAAAAAAAATTAATCATCTAAATTTCAATAAATAATAAACCTGGAAACTAATTTAAAACAACCTGATTAGAAAATTCAAAAAAAGATTCTTGACAACTTCAAAATGAGTTGAAATAAAAAAAAGTGGTATAAAAATTTTGGGTAAAAAAAAAAAATCTTTACAATGAGACAAAACTTTTTATATATTTTACTAAGATAACAATATTGAATTATATTTTAAAATATTGCGAAAGGATGAACCTGTAGTTTCAAACTAACTCAAATTCAGAACTTTTTAGACGAGTTGAAACTTCCTTTCAACCCTTTAGACAAGTTTAAGTTCAGTCTAATACAAAGCGAAAGAAACACAAAATATACTACAATTTCGGTCTCTTTCTACTATTTACCGGAACGAACTGACAGGCCGTGGCAAAAAAAATATATATGGTTCAACTTGAAATATTTTGCTTTGACATTACATTTATTTAATACGGAAAACTCAGAGTTTCATTTGTGTGCAAAAAATTATAATTAAATTCAAAACTGTTTTAAAGCACTAATTTGTGATGAGTGATGCTTGGGATGAAATTCAAGCTATCAAGAGCAAGCGAAACAGCTTCAGAGAAAGACTTGAAAAAAGGAAAAAAGAGCGTCAAGACATATTTTGTTCTTCGACAACTAATGTCGGTTCCTTTAAAGACGATGATATGACCGATACTGGTAATGCAATCAATTTATTACTTTTGTTTTGTTAAATTCTTTATTCGTCTTACAGATTTAGAAATAGAAAGAATGTTACTTCAAATTTTATCAGGAAATAATGTTGTTTTGCCAATAAACTCTATTCAACTCACGGAAAAATTAGAAAAAAACATGGACCGCACGATAACAAAAGATGTAGTTTGCTACATTTTAAGGCGTTTAGATTTGCAAGGAGCTGTTGGGTATATTTCATGATAGATTAAGTTACTTAAAAACTTAACAATTGAAACTTTCAGCATAAAAAATGTATCAATCAATGGAGAGCCTGGTTTTGAAGTAATTTCTATTAACCAAAAGGAAGTTATTGATCTTTATAAGAGCTTTACATCTGATAAATGTTCTAACGTTTTAGAAAACGATCAAAAAAGAAAATGTTAGTGCATGCATTATATAAATTTATATTTGTAATATATGTACATTTTTGTTTGAACAAAAATACACGAATATTTTAGATACGGGAAGTGAAGAAGAAGATGATGATAATTCGAGAAAGTACATAAAAATTTTGGAAACCGAGAAAAAATCTTTGTTGAAAGATTCCTCTAATGATGCTGATGATATTATGGTAAAAATGTGTTCATAGTTATAGACAGCAATAAAAATTTCTTTAAAAAAACACTTAAATTTTGGGAAAAATTAGTCGTTGTTATCAATGCCTTCTACAAGAGAAAAACAGAGCAAACAAGTTGGAGAAGAAATATTGGAGTTACTGACAAAGCCAACGGCAAAAGAACGTTCTTTAGCTGAAAAATTTAAGTCACATGGTGGGGCACAAGTTATGGAATTTTGTCCCCATGGTACTAAAATAGAATGTCTAAAAGTGATTAATTTTTATTTCTTTCCTACATGAGAATTTATTTAATTATTTATTTAAGGCTCAACAAGCTGCAGCTGAAATGTCTTCTGTAAAAAAATCTCGTAATGACGATGAAAATTCCAATACAGAAGAAAAATCAAATGATACAGATTCAACAAACGAACCAGTTGAAAACGCCGTTACTTTAATAAAAGACGACACCGATGAAACAACAGACAAGTGTACAAAGCTCCATTTCAAAAAAATTATTCAAGCTCATACTGATGAATCCTTAGGCGATTGTAGTTTTTTAAACACATGTTTTCATATGATAACTTGCAAGTACGAAAATTTGAAGCTTAGCTTTATGATATATAAAGAGTTCTCGTTCAAACTTGTTAATATTTCAGATACGTTCATTATGAAGTAGATGCTCATCCCAATATTAATAATAATCGCCCTGAAGAGATATCAACTTTGAAAAGAGCTGCAGATCCAAATGTTACCTTATATCCACCACAGTGGATTCAATGTGATTTGCGGTATAATAAAAAAAATCGGTAAAATCAAAACATATGTTTAATTTAAGACTATGTAGTTATTTAGATATGACTGTGCTTGGAAAGTTTGCGGTGGTTATGGCAGATCCTCCATGGGATATTCACATGGTAAGATATGACATTAAACTTTTTCAATTATATCCCTTTTTAATATAATATATTTTTTTCCAGGAATTACCATATGGTAAATTAATTTTGGCTTATTTGTTTCAATAATTCTTTTGTAATTAAAAAAAATATTTTCATTTTTTAAATTTAAAAAATATTTTTTTCAATTGGAAAAATTATTTTTAATTAAAGGAACTATGTCAGATGACGAAATGAGACAACTAGGAGTACCTGCATTGCAAGACGATGGTTTAATATTTTTATGGGTAACTGGTCGTGCAATGGAGTTAGGCAGAGAATGCTTGAAACTATGGGGGTAAAAATTAGCTTTTAAAAAAATAAACACGTTTTGATATAAAATTTCAAAAGATATGAACGGGTAGATGAACTTCTTTGGGTAAAAACTAATCAGTTACAAAGAATTATACGAACTGGAAGAACTGGTCATTGGCTTAATCATGGAAAAGAACATTGTTTAGTTGGAATGAAAGGAAACCCAAAGAACCTGAATCGGGGGCTAGATTGTGATGTAATAGTTGCGGAAGTTCGGGCAACTAGCCATAAACCAGACGAAATTTATGGTATAATTGAAAGATTAAGTCCTGGAACACGAAAAATTGAATTATTCGGAAGACCACATAATGTTCAACCAAATTGGTAATGAAAAATAATGCAAAAAAATTTTTCAATGAAAATATCGAAATTTCAGGATAACCTTGGGAAACCAATTAGATGGAATTAGATTAATTGACCCAGAATTGATAACTTCGTTCCGAAAAAGGTATCCAGATGGAAACTGTATGGCTCCGGCACACGCAGCTAAAAAATAATTTAAATTTTATATTTTTTTGGTAAACTTTTATTAAACTTCTTTAATAAGATAAATAAAGACATACTGAGATAGATTAATTTTTACCTCAAGAATTTAGTTACCTTTTTAAAACTTCAAATTCAAACATAAACTACGTACACTATTTATTGTCTAGTTTGTATTTTTATTGTGAAAATTCATAAATTTATAAAAACAAAAATATGTATGTATATTTACCAAAAGCGTGAAATTTTATATAAAACTTTTTTACATGCAGTTATATTTTTTTTGTTACTTTTTTCATGTTTTAAATTTGAACTTTTGACGCGAATGTCAATATCAATTTTCAATTGAATTAAAGATTTTTTTTATGTTATTTATGGTCCTCTAATTGCTAAATGATATATGTAAATGTTTCCATTTTCATAATTCAACAAATTTAATATAAGGAAAACCTAACGTGATTGAATAAGTTTTTGTTTTAATTGATTTAAAAAGCTAGAAAAATTTAATGTGTGGATATAGGGTTGTTTGCAATAAAAAAAATTGTGAACATTTATTCGCCATCTAACGATTTCAAAGAACTCATTAGTTCCGTTAGTAATGCAATTCTTGCTTTATGCTTAGGTTCTATTAATTTTTGAATCGGTTCAGAAGACGTAAACAAACCTTTTTTGGTGTTACCTTTTATCACCACAATCACGGAATTTTCGGTTGACTTAATCGAAAATATTTCAGGCCAACGATAAGTCCATTGAATCTAAAGAAACGAATCATCAAGTAAACATATTTACAGAATTATTGAATCAAATTACACTCCAGGTACCAAATAGATCATTCTTTGTTGCGTACATAACTCTATGATTAGTAACTATAACTAGTTCCCCACTCTTTTGTACTTCTTCACAATGTTTAAATTCGTCTGTGTGCGCATATTTGCCTTTATCTATTTCTCTAAAAAATGTTAACATTTTTTTCAATGATTTAATAAAAAATCAGATTTTAATAATTTATTAATTTACTTAAGCATTTTATTTCCGTGAGCTTCATAGTAAGCGTAAGGTTTCAAAACATTGTCAGGATGAATAAAACGTGGAGGTCTAACACGTTGTACCTCTTCAAGAGTTTCCGTGCATCTTTTTACAGCTCCCAGACTTCCACTGGCAAAATCAACAACTCCTGCGGTTGGTCTTGCCACTAAACCAATAGCCCCTTTTCCTAGTCCTTTAAAGAATCCACCAACACCTTCTTCTTTGGCTCCACTTATTGGCTTTGTAAAAACTCCGGTTACACCATCAACAACGCCCTTAAGTGATAATACATGATAAATATACTTCAGACAGTAATATAAGGAAAATACTACTTATTACCATTACTAAACCCTTTCCGCTTCTAGCAATCTGTTCTTGGAAATTCGCTGGTTTTTTATTCAAAGCTTCCCTTCGTTTTCGTTGGTATTCTTTGTCAAAAGTAAGTGCTGCTATTCCTTTACCCATGGCACCAGTTATTCTTAAAATATTTAAAAATACATATATTATTTTGAAAAAAGTACATGTAAGCTTTTATCTGCATTTAATACTTTGAAACTGCACCAGCGGCTCCTCCTACTGTGTGACCAAATAATGATTTTACACCGAGAGCCAAACCCTGAACAAATTCTCCTGGGCCTTGAATAGCTCCCTAAAAAATAAGTTAAATCAGATTGTTTTTATTTTCAAAGGTTTAATTATAATATGTACTTGAAACGGTTCATAAAATAAATCTTCAACTCCTTTTGTTATACCAACGACTAACCCATAAGGATTTCCTAAAACGTCTAATCCAAAAACTAGAACGTATAGTTGTTTTAAACCTTGACCAACATAATGCGTCGTTATTTCTGATTGTAACTGCTGTTTCGTATAAAATGAATATTCTCTTTGAAAGTATGCCAATCTATTTGTTAGAAGTTATTCATTGTATATATTGAATATTATATGAAATATTTTAAAAATCATTTATACCTAAATACAACATCATTAACATCTGTAAGTGTAACTCCAACACCTTGTACTATTGGCGAAAGTATGCCTGGTAAAGCTCCAGGCTCAGCGCCAGCTAGTGAGAAGGAAACATGGATCTTTAATGGACCCAAATGCAAATTGTCGTAAAAATGTTTTAACTCAGCTAGAGAATGTGAAGCTACTAAATCTGAAAGTGGACTTTGAATTGAACCAACATCTTCAGCAAAAAGTTTTGCCTGTAGATACAAAACAAGGATACGTATTAGAACAATTTTTAGAATTTTTAGTTTTGGCTTACGGCTTGTTGATCTGTTGTGTCTGTAGTAAACATTTCGGACAGTGCAGTCAGAAAAGGCAGATCAACTTTGATATGAAATTCTTGTATTAGTAGCGTGCAATACTTAAACTGGTTCATATTAGAATTAGGAATTACTCTCTTAACTATGCTACTTTCGATGAATGGCTTAAATTCTAAAGAAAATATAATACTTTAATTTTTAATTATAATACATTAATTTTTAAAAATATTTGTTTTTGTTTTAAAGAACAATTTTCATTGTAGTTAACAAAAATTTTTATGTCTATATTTTGATTTTACCAATAGAAGCCGCCACAGTTTTTGGTGGTGGAATTGGTGCCAAAACAACAGGAAATACGCAATCAGTTAACTGGTTATCTATTTGAATACGGTTAATTTTCGCATGAATTTGCATCTGGAATGGCGAGCTCTTCATAGAAATCCATACTCCTGGATAAAAAGTTCTTTTTAATTTTCTAATATCTTTTACAGTTTTAGACCAAGTCATTTCTTTAAAATTCACCTAAATGAAAGTTAAAATATTTTTTATATGAGTTAAATTTCTAATAAACGATAAACCTTACGATATCAGTTTGTTCTTCAGATAATGAATATTGTTTCATTTCATTACCCACACGTTGTTCATTTAAATATTCTTGATATTTGGTTTCTATCAATTCATTTTGAGCAATTTTTAATTGTTTCCATCTGTTACTTTTGGATTTTTGATACTGCCATATTCTTCCTGCATATAAAATAAATTTAAAGTAACGAAAACTTAGAATTTAGAAGAAGAAATTTTTAGTTATCATCTTTTAGAATTTTCTAATGATTTTTTCTACATAATTTACCTGAACTTTTAATACATAAATATGTTATATCGACTTTGCTAATATTGTTTACAATAGATATTCCTATCCCATGCAATGAAAATTCTATATCCTGATTAATTTTTTGCAAATTTGCATTACTTTCTGCTTGCTCCGCTATCCATTCCGTTTCAGTGAATAAAATTATTCTTTGAAGTCCATCTAGGAAACTAACCCAATATGCTGTCGTTGAATTATTAAGCCTTAAAAAAATTAATTTAACTAAAGTGTTTTCTTTTACAGTTCACCAAATTTTACTTAAACTTTCCAACTCCATCGCGTCTCAAATCGCTTTCAATTTCATGTTTACCATCTTGCCATACTATAATTCTTTCGCCAGAAGGATTACCCCAAGTTAAAAGCACTTTCTCGTTTGGGTCCAATGAACTAACGCGAAAAATTACATAAATGATAAAGGCAATGAACAAAAAATATTTACCTTCGATTGACATCTTTCTTTTCCCAATATATTATACTGGAATTTGTATGATTTATGAGAAGACCAGGTGCGTCACCAACATTATATTGCTTAAATGTTATATACGTTCCACCCTCGGTTACCTGTACATCAACATTAACAGCACCGAACTATTGAATTTACAAATATTAAAATCTTGATTATTATATTGTTCAAAATTTGTAACGTGTATAATGTAGATTTCATTAATAAATACTACTAACAACGCTGTTATCTAATTTTAATAAAGTATGGTGGCCTTCGTCATAAGGAAAAGGAACTGAACTTTGTGTTTCTCCTAGTATTCTAACTACCATCCTATTGCTAGCCTCACCTTGAGGCCAAAAGGGAATGCATTCGTCAGGTCCAATCTAAATGAAATTGAAATATTTTATATACAACTAAATGGAATTATTTTATTTACCGTTGTCCAAGGATCAGCGGGGCGATTATGTTCTTGAATTTCTATGCTAAAATCGATGCATTTGTTTATTGCAACAAAATATGGAATAAAAGTAATTTGCTTTGTTAGAGAATTATATGTCAAATGGTTATGGACACCAATCTAATTAGGAGAACAATCATTTTCATTAAACAGGACATAAGTATTGTATACAAAAATAAAAACCTTATAAGTATTTCCTTCAAGCTCGCATTTAACATCTCCTGCTGCACCAGCAATATCTAAAGGAATTTTTTCGCTCCATTCACCATTCTCAACACGAATCGTAATACTTTTCTTTGCAAATAATTTCTTTTTGAATGAAAAAAGTATCGGTAAATGATAATCTGGTGGGTGATATAACAAATTTATTGAGTCTAGCTGAACCTAAAAATTAATTTAACATAATGAAAATTATATACTTTGAAATTCAAATTCACCTTGTAAGTTAGTAAGAGTCCGGTTTTATTAATGAGCCAAAATGGGCTAAATAAAGTAACCATTAAGCTCCCGTGACGATTTTCAAATCTTGAAAGTTAAAGATTTTTATATAGAATCAAATAGTAAAATTACGGAGTTTAATACTATACCTTACTCCCAAATCCAGATCCATTTTAGCGGCTGAATCGTAAGATGAAAAAGTCCATGTCTCAAACTCTTCATAATTTTGCGGAATTTCAGTTGTGCAAGACCAATCCTTTTCAAGGTATTGTAGCAACTGAAAAATTGAAAAAAAAATCAATTTTCTTTATTTTATTTTGTATGGCCAAATAAATTTTTGAAATTACCCTAAGTACTATATAACTTTTGGTTTCTCCAACTTTTCCCGTCAATTTAACAGTAGGTAATTGCAATACGTCACCAGGATCTACCGATTTTTCGCCATAATCTAAGAAATCTTCTTTTTGAACAGATAACTTTGATTTAGAATCAACATCGTCTAAAAAGCCTTAAAACAAAAGTCTTACTAGAATTTGTTTTATAATAAAAAGTATATATTTACCAGATTTAACACTACAGCCGCTGACTGATAACTTAACTTGAATTGGTAGAAAATTACGAAAATATAATGGCGGTCTTAAATGAATAAGGTAAAATGCACTTGCAATAGTATGCATTGAAGTTGTTTCATGATAGATTTCACTTTTTTCTCTAATAACATTGATATACAGTGGTTCAAAAGTGGTAATGGGGTCACATTGTATTTGACGTTTATAACCCATTTCTGTTATTTTATCATTCCATTTTATGCCTTGCACCGAATAGGTATATCCCTAATATAAAATGATAGTACATAGTAAAAAAAATCTTTGAATTAATGCTTATAAAAAATTACTGGTAAACTTATATATAACTCCTTTGATGAGGGATATATGGCGTACAGGGGTAAGAAAAATATTTCGTTTGGACCAACATTTCCAATAAAAGAAAGTTCATCATTAGCATCCCGACTTTTGGATATATTAATACTAGTTTTGAAATGATTTTGGATCTAAAATTAAATAAAAAATATTTCGCTATAAAATTTTTTAATTTAACAATATTCTGCAAAAAATAATAATTTTTTTTTATTTAATTTTAATAAATACTAAAATTAAATAATATATTAAATATTGTGGGTTTTAAATTTGTGTTTAATTAAAAACTTATTTTTCTCACATAATATTTGGTATGCAATCTACACACTCAAAATTTGAAAAACAAAAAACAATATGTTAAATAAGATATTGGCCCCATTTTATATGTAAGTACTATTTATTTTATTAGTTACTCGTTTGCCAAACTTACTCCAACAACACCATGAATATTTATTTTAGTAGTTCCAAATTCAGTTTTAACTTCCGAAACAATTCCCCATGGTTCCTGGTTCATATCACGATATAGTGGAAAATATCGTTTATCAGATTTACTTACAGGTAACACTAAATCCTTTTGTATTTCTCCAATCTATTATAACATTAAAAAGAAAATAATTAATCAATGAAAATAACAATTATATTATATTTCTAAATGAATATACTAATATTTTATAAGTCACCTGAACAATCAAGTTGTACTCTGGTATAGTTAAGTCCATAGTTTCGCTTTCATCTCCAGCTTCTAACATTGAATGACGTTTTGTTTGCAAATAAACTTTACCTCCAGGCGATACTATACATTCTAATATATCTTCTGGTTGTATATTAGAAGATTTTTCATTCTGAGCCTGAAATATTATTTGTTTTTGCAACCCCTCATTTACATCAAAAGATGAATTAGATATATAACATTCATTTAAGGTAAATATGCTAGAGTTCGGAAATTTAATAGTAATATCAAAACCAGTATGATTTTGAACGGTATATGCAGAAATAACTTGAGGTTTCGATAAACCTTTTTCGTCTAATGCTTCTGAGAATGCTTCACTTAGTGTCAGCAACAAATCATAACAAGTTCTGCTCAATGTTATTTCTAAGTTTTCTACAGACTTTATTTGTATTTTGGTAATAGTATTTTCTTCAGATTCTTCATCACTTTGACCAACTTCCATTGAAAAGTCTAACTGCCATGGTTCATATTCCTGTATACCGTTTTTTTGGAATTTTTCTATTGGTTCTATTAAAGGTTCCCAAACAGCAAGACTATTGTTGAAATAATTTACAACTAAAGTCATCGAAGCGTTAATACGTATCTAGAAGTAAAACAAAATTTCCTTAATTATGTTATTTCAAAAAATCAATTATACATTTGAGCTCCAGTTATAAGCGCAACCCTCCAGTTTTGTATCTAAAAACAGCATAGGCGTTGTAAAAAATCCTATTCCAGTTTCAAAAATAATAACAATTGAAGGAACTTCTATTACGCACTGCTCCTCTTTATTTTTCATTGAACGTTTTTGAATGTTTTCAAAGTCCGTAATCAAAACGTCTTCTGCTTTTTCTTTTCATTAAAAAATGTAACAAAAAATATTTTTAAATTTATTTATCTCGTAATTAAAATGATTTCGTATCAATTTACCTGTTTTCATAAACCAAAATTCTTGATCAGAATATTGTTCGATTTCCCACATATTCTTCAAATTTTGTTCGGTAGCAGTGTTCATATTTTTTTTATCACTTTTCATAGTTGTTACAGCAATTGCTTTATTCAATAGCTCCATTGTTCCTAAAGAATTAACAACATTTCCATTAATAATTTTAACCAATGCTGATACCTCAAAGGATTTACATGCCTGGTGAAATATTTATAATAATATCTGAACATTTTAAACTTAAATGCAGTCCTTCTTCATCTGGTGTAGAGCCCTGTAGAACAATAGAACATGGATGAATTATGTAATGAGTCGTTCCTTCTCTTCTCTCCGGCTTAAAAGCACACATATACATTTTTAATTCTTTGATTTCCGCATAAACTAATTGCTTATTCTCAATCATCTTATAATTTAATTCAATTTGCGTCTATTGATAAAAAATCACTTTAATATTAATAAAATATTGACTAATAATAAATCGATGAAATTACGTTAAATATTATAGCATATGTATTCATATCATCCAAGCTTTCCACAAGAATTATATCCGGCTCTTCCACATGAAGTACAAACTTAAGTTTCCCCTTTGGTTTGGGATCTTCAACCTTTGCAACTGGAACTGATAATGAAACTTACTTGTTTATTATATGAAATTCAATTTGAGAATTTTCTTACTTTTATTGGAAGTCGAACCTGGATAAACATTTCTTTGGTCGGTGATTACTACGTCAACAGGTGGATCCGTTTGTTCAGGAATAACAAAAAAGTCACATATTCTTATTAAAAACTCTAAGGAAATAATAAGATTGAAACCAGAAACTTTAACTTCCGCTGAAAGAAAAAATAGATAAATGTCCGGCCTATTAGAACAAAAGTTTTTCAATCTAACCAAATGTTTCTTCCGATGTAATAATTGCTACTACATCCAACATATGGGTTTTTGAACTTTTCAACTGTTGTGCATTTTGATTTTCAAAATCTGATGAAAGTGTCTCTTTTCGTGACAAATATCTTAAAAAATATAATGCTGAAAATTAATTTGCAGAGTGGCGTTAAAAAATTGTTTACCTGGTTATTTTACTTTTTGACTCCGGTCTAGCGTCATCTAATTGGATATCACAAAGAATAATAGATGTACTTAATGTTCCATCAGTCAATCTCTTTCCTTTTATTGATAAGAAATGTAAACCGAATTCAGCCAGACCCCCGCCATTCGCTTGAAAATAGAATTTTTAACTCATTTAAAGAAAATTAAAGTTACCCGTGGGATTAACTTACAATCAAGAAAGTTGATTATAACACCATCAAATTGAAAATTAAATCTCAACTGATCTTTAATCAAGGTAAGTTTTTCTTCTGAAACTTCTTCAGCTATTGTTTCAATCACGCCAACTTTATGTTTAGCACTTTTTTCTTTGGCATCAGGTGAGGCTGCTGGTGAATGAATGTCTGCTACTGCAATTTGTTTTTCTCGCGGAGGACTTGCGACAACAGCAGATTTTGTTTCAAATTCTTGTAACCCTTCGCTCAAATTTTTATCCAAAATAGACATGACAAGACGATAATCCTCTTCGTGCAATGTAACCTGAATAAATGTTTTTGAAAATTTTTTTGAATTTACCTTAGAACTTTCAAGAATATACTAACGTGTATTGACTTTAGGTGACCAGAAGCATCTAACTCTGGTTGATCATCAAAGAGCATGTGTGTTACATTCCTTTTAACACAAATAGTAAAGCTTACTGGCTCTAATATACTTTTTACTGTTTGACATTCACAAAGTTCACCTAAAAACGAAAATTCAATTTATTGATATTGAAATTTGATTGCTAAAATCTTTACCTGTATTCAAAATTACTTCAGCGAAATCTTTTTTGGCGACAACATTTCCTAATTTCAAATCTGACAAATCTAATTTTATTTCATCTATTATGGCTTTAGTATTATCCTAACAAAAGAGAAATGAATTACATAATAAAAAGTTTATGAAGTCATGTAAACTAGTATAATTATGTACATATAAACAAAATTTTACCTTTCCAATTCTGGCTTCCATCGTATGTGTTGTAAATCTTAGATATCCTAAATCCAAACAAATTCCGGTCAGGCTTTTTGAGTCTATTGGTACAATAATTATGGGAGCCTTTACTTGAACATTCATTCGTATCCTTTTTGATTGCCCATAAGCTTCCACAACATTTTGCTTAGCAGCATCGGCAGCACTTGTACTAGCCTCTGCCAAAGCATTTTGTGCAGCTTGGAAGTTATTTAAAAATGTCTATTGTTTAAAATTCAATTATTAATTTATTGCTAGCAGAAAATATTATTTTTAAAATACTTACAAGAACTGAGTTAACGAACCAATACAAAAATAAAATTTTTACACAGCCAATGTTAACTTCAATTTTCATATTGTCAGAATTAAAATTTTTGGTTTCTTCTAAGTTATATATTACAACTTGGCATTTAAATACATTTTCGCCAATAATAGAAAGAATCTGAAGTAAGGATAACGTACAAATGATCATGAAATTAAATATGTTAAAAGTAAAATTACATTTTTGTGTATGGTGTGAGGGTTTAAATCTGTTATCAGAATATTTTTTAAACCGAATGAAACTTCAGTATAAGATGATTTAAGTATTAAATCTGAAAAAAAGTTTTTTATTTCAAGTAAAGCAATTGGACGTTTGGAACAAGTGATTTCCACAGATAAGTTTTTAAAATCGGCGACAACTCTCATTTTAATACTTTCCACAACAGTAATCCTTTTTAAATCTTAAAATAAAAATAATTGAAAAAATTCAAAATCTTTTAGGATTTGAAATATTTTACTCTTTTGTTGTGCTGCTGTTAAACTTTTTTTTAAGACTTCACCACCTTTTTGAATTCTAGACATTGTTGAAGATATACTTCTTGTATCAGCATCAGCAAAACGATCTTGATTAACCGGCACAAATTGTTCTGTTTTCGATTTTATTTTTCTTTGTATATTGTCACTTATCTAAAGGGTTTAGGTAAAGATTCAAGCCAAAAAAATAATTATTTAATTGTTAATAATTCAAAGGAAACGCGAACAGTTTTGACTATAGCAAAAAGAAATCTTGAATATGTAAGCCATTAAGACAGTTTGCTTTATTTTTTACGATTATCTTGAAAATTATAAAAATTGTAATAAATTTATTAAACTCACTTCTAATAACTTTTGGAGACATTCTTGATGTAAAACTACAAGTAAAATACTGAAATGTATTTGAATAAATTGCTCTGTTGATGCATAATTAGTCTTAAAAACTGGTGATCGTTGATCAGCCTAAAAATAATTTAAAATTAAATTGAATTAAAACAAAAACCTTGTTGTTTTCCAACCATTGTATAATCAATAGTAAGTAAATATTCACGATCTTTAACAAACCCAGGTGTATCAATTATAGCTAAAGGTTCTGAAAGACTTTCATCATCTTGTAATAAATTAATTGCACCTAATCTATTAATTTAATTATTTAATTGAAATTTAAAAACTGTAAATATTTTTTAAGTTTACTTGATAGTTGCAATCATTTCATATGTTCTTTTAGCAAAAAATGTATCTAGTTGTAATATTTTTAGTTCTAGCAGTTTTTTATGTTGATTTTGATCAAAAGTATCGAATTCTTGCGTTATATTTATATCTTCGACTGGTGTCAAATACGTTTCTGGTGGTGTTTCAGCATCATTATTTTCTTCTTCAGATTTCATTAGAACCACTTTGAATTCTATTGTGATAATTTAAAGTAAAAAAATTAATTTTAACTTGAATTTATCAATATTGCCTTGAAGAGAAAATCCCATTTGCAATGTTGTATATTGCACAACCGATTCCTCCACAGATTTTTCTGGCTTGGGTTTAGCCTTCGCTTTCCGATTTTTATCAAATGCAGTTAATGATCTTGTAGACAAAAAGCTTTGGGCCTTTTTAAGTTTAAATTGTAAAGTCGATTAATATTTTAACAAAAATCAAAATAGATTTACTTTTTTTAAAGGCATGGGTTCTTCCGGTTTTGCCTCTTCTGGAGTTGGAATACTTGTTGCAATTTCCAAAGCCAACATCATTCGATTCTCATATAAATATAAGCACAAATTTGGTAGTAACGCTAGAAAAAAAAAGAATAAAGTAATCATTGGGTTTTTTCATTGGATTACCTTCAACTTTAGCTTTTGGTAACCTTGGGTCATCGTCAATTGCACAAATATCTGCATTAACAAATAATGATGTTGGAGATAATAAGTGCATGGCAGTAAATTTACTTTCCAGCAAGGTTTCTTTCCAATTTTCTTTCGGCGTTACAACTAAAATCTTTTGGGGAAAAAATGTTTATGTGAAACAAATAAATTTTTTAAACTAAAAATATATTTTTAGGTTAAATTTTTTTATATAATTTACTTGTATATCATTCAAAGCTAATTTATATTTATCATAGGCTTGATCCATTATTCTTTGAAGAATTGTTGCTTTGTCCACTCCAGACCCAGTCATTTTTGCTATTGTAGTATCAGTAGTACGTGGTTCACTATTAATTGTCAATTTCCCCAAACTTAATACTATTGCAGAACTTTCATTCCTTGAAACAAAAAGTTATATAATGGCCAACATCAATATTCAAAGTTACAAAATTTTCAATACTTATAGTAAACACCATCTTTGGGAATCAGCACTATACTAGGTTCAAAGCTAACATCTACAAACACTATATCATGCTTTTCGACCATATATTCAAGTCCTAAGGCAGATCGTTCAGAAATTCTTTGCATTTGTTCATAAGCAGCTTCTTCAAATCTACAATAAAATTTGATTTATTTCACAAAATTTTTCCAAGAACAATTTCATGCTTGAAGGAATACAAAAAAAAAATTAAATCATACTCTGAAAGATTCACTTTTGGTGGGCTGAATTTTTGAAGTAAAGTAAGTATAGTATCGCTGTCATAAATAGCACGAAGAGATTTTGCAACGATCTTAAGTTTTTGATCACAGCTCTATAATTAAAATAAATTAATTGTTTTACATTTTTACTGCAGGTAAAAATAACCTTATCGATGGGATTTTTTTCAAAATGCACATTTAGCAAATTAAATTCATCTGTTAAATTAGAACTTATAAGTTCTGGAACAAAATCACCTCTTTGAAGTCCTATCAATTTCATGTCTTTCATACCAGCAATAACTCTACAGCAAAGAAAATTAAATTTTTAAAAATCATTTTTATGTTTTTAAAGTTCTACTTTAAGGCATTTGCAGCTGGCCTTTGTGAAATTTCGCAGGTTACCACCGAAAATTCTAACATCATCAGTTCTTGTGATTGGTCATCTAATGAATTCTCTAATTGAGCATTATTTTTGTTTAAAGAACATTCTTTTTCACAGAAAAGTCCAATTTCGAGCGCAATCAGTTTGAATTTTAATTGAATTGCTTCATAGGATTCAGGATAAATAAGGTCAATCTGACTCTCGTGGTACCCAATAGCATCATACAGTTTTTTCTTTTCTTCAGCAGTCATAGCAGTTTGAAATTTTTCAACTAGAAAAATAACAAAGTCGTTAAGAAGAGCATTAATATAAACATAAATATCAAAATTATGAATAAAACCGTACCAATTTCATTTGATGATTTTTCCTGTGTCGATGAATATCCGAACCAACCACCAAACCAAGAAGTTTTAGTATTGCTTTTAACTTGTTCTTCTTGCCGTTTTTTTTCAACCTTAAAAAAAAATTTTTTAATATTATGTACGAATTTAAATATAATCAAAATATTTTGTACTTCCAAGTGGACCCGATTTCTAATTAATATTAAATTGAACAAGTCCAATTCTTTTTCATAAAAATCCAACATTTCATTTGCAGTATTATTAGGTTTTTTAGACATCAGTTTATTAATTAACAACTATAAAAATTCAATATTTATAAAAATGTTATTGATTTCAAATAATTTTCAAAATACCTCTTTATATTCATTGCAAAACTTTCTGTGTTTTTTTATGTGATCCCATGACCAGTTGCGTCTTTTTCTGTTAACAGTTTCTTCCAATATACATGTAATAGCAAAATTCCACCATTCTTTGTAATTTCCCTTATAACCTTAAAATTGTTTTATTAATAAAATTTACACAAAGCATGTCTCAAAAAATTTGTTACTTTTGTTATATGGTCTGTATTTCCTATACGGTAAGCCCAGTTGCATGCGATTCATTGCATCAGCCAGTTTTAAAAGATCCTAAAATTTTTAAATTATCTTTCATATTTAGTTTTCTATGTTTCTATAATTACATGAAATTGTGCATCATTCAATTTTATATTAAGTTTTTGCATTTCTAAATATAAATCTACTTTAGCAACTTCAAATGCTGGGGTATCGAGCTCAGGATTCATATTAAGTTTTAGTTTTGCCAAACAGGAAATAGGTCCAATTACTAAAACGATAAATATTTCTTGAAATTATAGTTTTAAATTATTTTTACATTTTCAAACCATATTTATAATATTTGGGCAAGTGATTTTGATAAGCAATAGTTTCACTAAAAAGCTTTTCATACTCAGATATATCATTATGAGAAAACATATCTTTACTATTACAATTTAAATACGCAGCTAAGCTGTCAAGGTCAGCAACCTAAAATTATTAATTAATAAAATTAATTTTTGCAGCTACAAATCTTGTACACCAAATAATATTTTAATGACCTTTACCTTAAATACTTTGCTAACTTGCTCAGATAAAAACGTTTTAACCCAATCGGCATCTGTAGTGTATAATTCCAACTTGCGTAACGTTATCCCAAACGCGAAAGGTTTTCCCGTTGTATTTGCGTCTTCATATCTTATATGAATATTTGCAATTTTGATTTGCAAGTTGTTTATTATTTGTGCTGTTAATTTTTCAGTAAAAGTTTTATCTTTTGCAGCTTTTTCTAAAAAAATAAAAATTTAAAAAAATTTAAAAGAACTTTCTTAATATTTAGTTAAAATACCTTTTTCCAATTCATATTCCTTTGCCTCATCTATTTTTGCTAAAACTGCCTTTTTTGCACTCAATTCATATTTTTCTTCCTTTTCTTGATTGTATCTTAATGCTTGTTTAGGTGTGATAAGAACATACAAATTTTCAATTCTGGCCTCGACGGGTTGACTGTATAAATTCTTCCACGGAATTTTCAAAACAAAATCACCTAAAATTTAAAAAAATATATATTTACATGTAGGATACATTCAATTAGTTAAACACATTTTGCGAAACTGCATCAAGATAGATTTTTTTTTTTAAATAGCTCTTACAAAAAACCACTAATCTAATACAATTTTTGCAATAATATTTTTGTTGTAATCCTTGCCTAATTCATTATTTTCTTCTTTTGTAGAAAAAAAGAATTTTCCGAGAAAATCATCTTGAATACATGCATAAATATATTAAATTATTTTAGTTTGCTGTTTTCAACATTAAAATCTGTCTCTTCTTAAACAGTAAGTAGTACATAATCCATTTTTAGAGCTACCTATATAAGTACCTACCTACGTTATTAAAATTTGGTTGGTACGCATATTTTATTGCTTAATTATGTTGTTTGCCTTTTGTTAAACCTTTTAGTCAAATCTTACTTTCACCCTATTTTTGGCTACTAAATAAAGACTCGAATTTATGAATTCATTTATGAATTCTGTGTCGTTGCTTGTATTGATGTTATGTACATATATTGGGGTTTTGATAAAATAAATATAATTACTAAAACAAATACGTTTGTATATTTGTTGTATTCATAACATTTTGTACATATACTTAGTCTTTTATTACATTCAATAGTAATTACAGTTTACTTTGATCAAATGTACATACATACATAATTACTTTATTGCTTTGAATATGTACATACATATGTCCATATATTATGTTGTACAGATGTGAACATGCCAAATCAAATTACTTATTTGAAACTCTACCCTAAGATCACGTATTAAATTTCAAAGAACATTATTCAAAAAGTGAATTCAATAATAATCAATAAAAAATATTCCACGTTGAAATTTATCTAATCAGGCCATAAGCTAGATAATTTTATGATGACATTATCAAAAATAAATCAATTAAAAGCATCAAAATTACATATAATTCTATATACCTAAATGTCCATACACAAGTTGAACTGGCAAATCCAAATCATCTAACGCATTTTCTCGAAGTTTAAGATCGTGTAAAATCACATCACCTGGAAAATAATCATATATATTTCTTTGCATGTAAATTTTTGGATAAGTTACCTCCCCATATTCCAATTTTTAATTGCTTGCTGTCCAAATTTTCGATATAATCTCCCACAATTTTATTAACGATATCACAAACAACAGCTTCGAAAACCATTTCGGCTACGAAATATTGTGTTAAGTGGTATTAATAAATATTCAAGTTTTTTTTTAATTTTTCTTTCAAAATTTATATTTTTCTTCATTCAGTAAAACTATGATATCATATGTTGATTTTTGACAATCATAAAATGCTGTTGATTGATGTTTGATGAAATTATATTTACAAACAAACTTATTACGGTAAAATGTGCTCTGACAAACAGTGCTATATCAAAAAGAAGTGTTTCCGTTCTCTAAGTAGATGCAGGACTCAACTAATGAACATTAATATACATAGTTTTTTTTTAATTTTTTTTTTTAAATATGCTTTATTTGCACACTGTTAATTAAAAATTTGATTCTTTTTTATAAGCATGAGTATTTCAAGAAAAGAGTTTTGAATTTCAAAAAGAGAAAAATATAAAAGAAAAGCCGATATTATGAAAAGTAGGCGGTTATTTATATAGGAAATGCGAAATAGTTTCGACGAGCACCAACGACGTTTCAAAATGTTAAAATAGGACAGCCACGTGTGTTTTATATCCTTTTTCAGATTCACCTTACATAAGAAAAAAAGAAAATTGAGCACTAATAACTTTTCTAATCACATTAATTTTTTTATAGCTCGAGCCACATTATTGGCCAAAGAATTTGGAATTGTTTAGGTGTAATGTATTTAGAGTTTTAGTTGCAATTTGCATTGACATTATAGTTTTAGTTGCTTTTGCAACTAAACAGTTATTCCATATGTGATCAAATTCTTAAATAAATTGAATTTTATTACATACAATGTTTATATTTCGATTCTTAAAAAAATAAAAAATAATTTTGAATAATTAATTTTCGAACTCTAATTTTGTAAAAAAAATATTATTATTATTTACTCTTTTTATACGAATACATTAATTTCAAATTTTTCATTGAGTAGTAGGTTTAACAAATGAAAACTCTTGCGATTAAATGTGAGTATGTGACACATAAATTTTAATTATGAGATCATAATCAATTTATTATTCAAATTTTTTCTGAATATATTAGCTATCGAATAAACTTTATGTTCGCACGAATTTTTACATAAATCTTGACAGAATTCATTTTAAAAACAACCACGGGTATCAGAAATATTTTTGTTATGTCAAGAAAACAAGTCAAACAGCAATGCCATACCATTTTAAATGTCACAAATTTTAGAAATGTGATTTTTTCTTAACTAAATAAGCTCATTATATTTGTATATTTAGAAAAATTCAAATAAAATTTTGAACTACGTTATATTTTTGTTTGTAATATTTTTATAAGTTGCAATTTAAAGAGCCTGAAAAACTATGTATTTTAATTGCTCAAAAAATTTGTGAAAGCATTTATTGAATGCTCATTTATTGAGATCTGGCAATTATGTTGAAATGAAGGCAGTCTAAGCTGTATAGAATACAAAAGAAATTTTTCTTAAATATTTTTTTTAAATTTGCCAATGAACAATTCAAATTATTTAATAATACAAAAACCTTTGATAGTCATTGTGCTTCAAATAATGTTAAAAAATAATTTTTAGTTTTAAACTTCCATAGAAAAGCGATTTGTAGTTTCGAATAGAGTCAACTATGGCTGGTAAATTTAGTAAAAAATCGAAAATTTTTAACAAAGTCAAAAACTATTTTATAATTTGAAGCAAAAGTAATTTATTATAATATTAATGTTTCAGAACACTGTGGTATAAAATGTACAAATATGTATTATGTTAAAAAATTATTCTTATAGGAAAAGTTTGTTACGGTTTTATAGTTTTGGTATCTACTTAAACTAAATTACAATTTTTTTAGTGAAACACTTTTGCATAATATATCTATGTAAAGCAAAAAAATTAAAAAAATGTATAATCAAATCAAGCAACGAAAATTCCTTAGCTCCAGATTATAAAATAACAGGTTTTTTTAAAATGACACTTGAGTGTTATATTAAAATTATTTTGTGCTACAATAATATGTGTTATTATTACATTTTTTGTGTTATATTAAAATATTTTTAAATATGTTCAGTTCATAGTTTTTTTTTCTTGTTTTGCAGAAATCAGACATATTGATTTGTACGAGTTCCTTGTGGAGTCTGAACTTCAACATTATTATAGTTCAATTAAGTACCTACTTACCCATATATTTGTTTACATGTAATTGCATTTTTAAAAATTTTCCATTATTTTAGGGATGAATTGAAAATTACAAATGCTTCACATTTAAAATATGCCACCGACGAAGATCTACGGCAAGTTGGTTTTTCCAAGCCAGAGATCAGACGATTACGAAAGTTTTACGAAAAATATTACCCTCATGGATATCTCAGCAAAATTAAACGTCTGTTGCAACCACCGATTAGGAGAGATGATAATCAAATGAATTCGTCAGTTAGTTCGACAGAAGCAACCAAAGTGATAACTCTCCCTAGCAAAACTCCTACTCAAAAGCACATTATACCCGCAGATTTGATTAGTGTGAACAAACAACTTGGAGCAGGTGAATTCGGTGTTGTGCAGCAAGGAGTTTGGACAAATGGAACAGAGAGAGTATGTTTCTGATATTTTCTAAAATTTATTTTTTTTTATTCATGCACCCGCACTCTTCGTTTCAGATACAAGTAGCTATCAAGTGCTTATGTCGTGAAAGAATGCAATCTAATCCTATAGAATTCTTAAAAGAAGCTGCTATTATGCATGCAATTGAACATGAGTAAGAACATGAGTACACAGACTAAGCCGAATGTCATAATTTTTCAAACTTACTTTTTTTCTTCCCCAAGAAATATTGTTAGGCTGTACGGTGTTGTGTTAGATACTAATTCTTTGATGTTGGTAACTGAGTTGGCTCATTTAAGATCGTTACTTGAATGCTTAAAAGATCCGGGACTGAGAGTAAATTTTTTAACTGTTCCAACTTTGTGTGAATTTGCTATGCAAATATGTAATGGAATGATGTATTTGGAAAACAAACGATTAATTCACAGGTATTATATTCTGTACATAATATGTTCGTTCATTACGAAAGACTATTTTTATAGAGATTTAGCTGCGAGAAATATTTTAGTTTTTAGCAAAAATAAGGTGAAAATTTCTGATTTTGGGCTTTCAAGGGCCCTAGGAGTAGGGAAAGACTACTATAAGACTAATTTTAACGTAAATTTAAAATTGCCCATTGCATGGTGTGCTCCGGAATGTATAACATTTTTAAGGTTCACCAATGCTTCAGATGTTTGGGCTTACGGTGTCTGCTTATGGGAAATGTTTTCTTATGGATTTCAACCATGGGCTGCTCTAACCGGTTTGCAAATACTAGAGGCAATAGATGACCCTAATTTCCAAGTATTTTTTGATATTAATCAATGAATTAAGATTTTTAATATCTAATTATTTAAGCGTTTGGAACAACCAGAATGCTGTCCTAAAGATTATTACAATTTAATGCTACGATGTTGGCAACATGAATCCACTAAAAGACCTAAATTTAGTGAAATATATTCGTTGTTGCCAGACATGAAGCCGGAACAGTTGAAAACTGTCATAAATAATTGTGAACCGAAAAAAGATCATTTGTTGTACCTTCAAGGAGAAATTATAACTGTGTTAGATAAAAATAGCAACTCACCTTTTTGGAAGGGTGTTTTAAATTCAGGAAAAACAGGGCTATTTAACCCTTCAAACACAGTAGCTTATTTGGAAGGTCTTCCAAGCTCAACAAATAGGTAAAAATCATAACTAGACATTTTAACGTATTTAACTACTTCTTTCCTTTATGAAGAGATGGATTCTTTCGCACGAGTGAGCGCTTGAGTAAGAAGAAACTACGATCAGAAATGATTTCAATGCCGCAGAATGATTTAAAACACACCTTACATATTGGATTAGATGGAGCTTATTTCGGTGATGTGTCACTTTTGGGTAGTTCCCAACAAGTAATTGCTCAAATTCCATATATTAGATAAAATTCCATACAATTTTTAATTTTATATACTTTTCAGACAAATCCCTTACCTAAACAAATAGTTACGCCATATAAACCTTCAGAAGATATCGAACAAACGCCGCTCCTGTTACCACCAACGCCTACCAGTCCCGATTCTATACAAACTGCCAGCACATATTTTCCTGAAGAAAACCAAACAATATCCCAAACGAACCCGTCCTTTATAAACTCAAATCAAAACACTCCCCAAAATCATAATTTCCATCACACTTTTGATTTTCCGCCAAAACAAACGCAAGCTTTCAGTTCTTCCAATCCCTTTGCTTCTGAGGCTTTTAATAGTCAAAATTCTTCTTCCAATAAGAAAATTGAAATAAATGAAAATGTAGTGTTCACCAATCTTGAAAACGATTCTTTAGTACAAAATTTCAAATCAAACAATAATATTAATTGGCCATTATCTGCCTCTGAAGGAGGTGGTATTGAAACTCAACATGAGTATCATGAAATATCTGATGATGAAATGATTGTTGATAAATTTGATTACGGTCCATCTTTATTAGATGAAATAAATTCAATGTTTGGCTGCATAAACATGGCAAATGATGAAATTAGTTTGGCCAAATTACAAGGAAATTTAAATAGCCCAAAAACGGGTGAGGTAGTTGATTTACATTTAAAAACAAATAGAAAACTGAATGGTAGTGATAACAATGGCAATAAAGCAAAGAAGAAAACATGTGGTACGGTTAAACCAATATCTGTGAAAGATGAAAAAATTCTAAATCAAGCAATAGAAATAGCGAATGAAATTAGTGCCAAGTAAGTTTTTTTCATAATCATATTTCTGTTTTTATCAACTTTTCAGAATTTATTACAAATATTTATTTAATAAGGTCTATGACAGATTTAGTTTCGGATACATCCCAAACTATGAGAAGCCCAAAAAGAAAATTTAGTTTCCGTCTTCCACATCTCACACATAATACGATTGGAAAAGATCTCACTTTACCTAGTTATTCTATAAACGGTTCCAATGGAACTTATAATTCTCAATTAAAAGAAAGAAAAAAATTTTCTGAGGAACTTCAAAGTATTTCTGATTTACAGGTAAGAAACTAAAATTATATTCAATTCCCATAACAAGAATCAATAACAATTTACTAACCGATTAATTTTAAGATTTCAAAAGAAATTAATATATATTTCCTTTATTTTTTTAACAAATATTCCTATATCCTATGTGTTAACCTGTTTCCTATTCATAAACTTAAATTATTTTTCTTAAATTTTTACTTTTAAAATTAGCGTTTTCGTTCTTTAAGTGAAATTCAAACGTCAGGTTTAAATATTCGTATTCCAATATTCGATAAAGAGTCATCTGATTTCTGTTTTAAAAAATCAAGAGAAATTTTGAGTCGTCCTATTGATATTGAAAAATTTAATACAGGGAAAATACTTGACAAAAAAACGCGGGATCTAATTGATGAAAATCTTTTAGATATAGAAAATACATTAAATGCATTAAATTTAGATTTTATACAAACTTATAGTGAATTGGAAAAAACTGATTCGGTTGAAACACTATTAGCTGATCAATTAGTTAACTTAACGTCAATTGATTCCAATGATTGTAATGGTAAATTATCATCCTCATCGTCAAATCGCTCAAAATTACAAAATATATATAATTTAAACAGTGAAATTGCTAAATTAAATGAAAGTCAGTCAGAATTATCTTCTTCCGTTTTAGTAGATAAACAGTTTACCAACAACTCAACACAACTTTATAATAATTTAGTTGAAAAATTAGAAGACAAAAGGAGCACAACTCCAGATACTGGTTTCGCATCTAGAGAGACTAATTTGTCCTTATCGAGACGTAGCAGCCAAAAAAGTAATTACAGTCCCCAAGATTCATTTAGTTCAAAAGAAGCTCCAACATTTTCAAATCCTTTTGATTCAAGATTTTATTCTAGTATTAGAAATGAACAAAAAAATAATCAAAAAATATTAAAAAAAATGGAGAATCAAATTTCACCATTGAAAAATGTAAATAAAAGTAATAATTCACTTTATAATCAGTTACAACAAAATTCTCCAGTTGGAGAATACAGTGGGAGCAGACAACGCTCTATGTCGTTTACCGATAATTATCAAATAAAATCCCCTGCTCTTTCAGAGCCTCAAATGAGAGTAAGCGCAGGAATTACAAATGACAAAACAAAAAAGCCTAACGATAAACTTTGTAGTCCAAGAAGTGTTACATCTTTTCGTTATAAAAATATCCAAAATAATGTCAATCCATCAACATTAGTTTGTAAATCGCGTAGTGTTAAATCAAGAACTTTGCGTCGATTACGAAGATTAAGTTATAATCCTATAGTGGTGGAAACTTCTTCATCAAGTGAAAGCGATTTTGATCGTAGCATAGCCCAATCAGAATGCGATATTCGCTCTAAAGTTTCTGTAACCTTAAGGAAACGAAGGCAATTATTTAATCGTAAAGCGTTTTCCTCTGGTACAGATGAACTACCACATGAAAAAATATATGGGTCTAATGCTAGTATCAAATCAGCTCCACACTATAATTATAATAAAGATTTAGAAATGGAAAAGTATAATTATTTAGCACAAAATTTAGAAACTGCCGTTAATTATAATGAAAGAATTTATGATTTTGGCAATCAATATCGTGATCCTAAAGGCAATTTTCATGGTTTCAATAACGTCATAAAGCCTCCTAGAGCATTTTCTACAATAAATCATAATACTAATTATGCAAGAGAGCAATTATACTCAGAATTTGATGTTAGTAAGTTAACTGGGAAAAGTCCAACTTCTATTGGCACAAATACAACAGGAACTGGTAGTGGATATTCGGTAGATAATAATAGATTACGTAATAATGTATTACAGAAACAACAAATATCGTCAAGTACTAAAGCTGCTGAAATTGTGAGTACTATTAACAGTAACATTGGCGATAAAATTTTACCTCCCTCCTCGAATCCTCTTTTTCAATGGCCAGAAAAAATTCATGCGTCAACTGTTAAACAAAATGAACTTATGTGGAGGCAACTACAAGCAGTTAGCGCACAGAGTGCCCTGTTTGGCAATATCAAAGTTAAACAAGCTTTTTCAAGTAAAAGTTCCTCTTCCGATTCAGATGATTCTAATTACAGAAATAAATTTATACCAAGCCCTGCTCCATAAAGCTGAATTTAGTTTTTTCTTTTTTAAATTTATTGAAAATTGATTAGCCTTATAAATTTTTAACCTAAAAAAATATAATAAAAATAAAGTTCTTGTTCGAATTTATAGAATATTTCTGGAATATTGGCAATATGCTCTTAGTTGCATATGCATTTGTAAATGTACATGTCTGCATATACATAATTGTTATGTACATTGTGTTTAAATGCTTTGCAAATGTTTGGTAATTCGATTATAAAAAAAAGACTTTCAAAAAGTAAAAAAAAAATTTATATAATTATAAAAATAAAAATTTTGTGATAGAATTTATAAAAAAAAATTGAGAGTTTTGCATTTGACACGTTGTCGCTGCAATTTTTATATTACAAACATTAAATTTCAAATTATTAGATGTATACGAAATTGGGATTTTGTACATTTGTATTTTGTAAGCATTGTTATTTCCTGTTTTTCTCCTGTCGCATATTTTTTAATTTAAAAATCACAGACTCTTTTCATGTAATTTTCTATTTGGTAGCTGAATACGTGGAGCAGAAAATAACAGTGCCTAGAAGATACAATTTTACAGACAGCCATTGAATTTGAAAGAGTTTATTATGAAATATGAAATATAAACTGCGTTAATTGGCTTTGAAAAACTTTGAATTTTAAAATTTAACTTAGTTAATTTCCAATTATTTTAAAAGATTTCATTATTTATATTTTTATTCGTCATAAATAATAATAATAATCTAATAATTTTCAATAAAATATGAATTTGAATTGTATTCGAAATTTTTTTGACTATTGGAGAAAAAAACGCCGTTATTATGGTTCATTGTATATTAATCACCAAAGTTATGCCATTACAAACATTTAAAATCAATTGATATTATAAAAGAATAAAATAAAAATAATAATTAACCTTTTTATTGACTTACTAATTATTATACATAAACATACATATATAAGATAAATTTAACATATACATACATACATATATAAGTATAAAATTAAATAAATATATATACAAGAGAAAAATAATGATTCTTAATTTAAAAAACAACAACCTTTCAAAGCCAGAATAGCAAAGGAAGGACTACAACTTTTATTCTTAACAATATTTAGAGAAACTTTATACAACAAGAAATCGTCCTTTAATTTAATTAGAACAGAATAAATTAAATTTCACCATTTCCTTCAATATAGTTACATTAAATCTAAAGAAATTTTTTATTAAAATTTTACACGGATCAGAGCCATCGATCTTCTTTCCGATCTTTTGCGTTATAAATAATCAAAAGTAATAAAATACATACATATAACAAAATACCACAATTTATAAAATCAGAAAATTTTTATGATTCCTTAAACTTCAAAAAGTTATTGGAACATTTTGTAACACTACAATAACACCCAAGTCGTAACTAAAACAAATTCTGCAATATAGATGACATGAAAAGAAAAAGTGAAAAAGAAACTCTTTTTTTTCTTGTTCAAGACCTTTGATATTTGATACAAATATAAATGATAGATAAAACTGTGTGTTAAAAGTTTCTTCCATCATTGTTTCTTAAAATAAAGAAGGAAAAGTTAGATTTTATTACAGTTACATTTAGAAATTTGATAAAATAGCAGCCGTGTAGTAACTATATGTACGCATTGCCCTATAAGTTTATTCTAAAATTTACATAATATTCTGCAATCTAAAGCAATATCAAGCTTATGTAATATAACTATTTTAATAAAACAAAATGTTGGAAGTAGGAAAAATTAAAATTGAAACATTACAGACCACATTTCAATTTTTGTTACGTGCCTATCTGCAACAAATTATTTACATTATGCACACGATTGTGTTTCAATATGAATACATTAATTTCACTTTAACTTTTAATTTATTATTAAATATTCAAAAATAATTTCAAATATATTTTACTTTAATTTTTTATATAATTTTTTTTTTATTTGTATTTATTTTGTTTAATTTATTTTTTAGTTTTTATAATTATTTTCGTTTTTTTTTTGTTTCTTTTATCCTTACCTTTATCCTGTGTCTTAACTTTATAGAGTACTATAACAGAAGAAGGTCGGGAGGCGTATAACAGTTTAATTGAAAAAAAGTCAAAAATGGCTTTTGATACTGATTTATTTAATATAGCAACAACGAAAACTTTACCTAGAAATGTATTTAAATTAGATGATGTTCCTAAAAATGAATTAAAGAAAAATCGTAAGGCATTGGTTACGCCAATTTCTCTAAATCAAAACGATAATCGACCAATGACATTACCTAATAGAAATAGCTCAAAATTTAGTAAAATTTATGATTCCGCTAAAGAAGACTCAATTCAAAAGGTAAACTGTATTTCCAAAAGCCAACAAAGTAAATATACAAATGAAAAACAAATGAATGGATCAAAGATTAACGATGCACCAAACAACGAAAATTCAAATCCAATTCCACTGCCTCCAAGAGATAGAACCAAGGTATGAAGTTTGTTTTCGTACATTATTACTTATTGAATAAATAATTTCGTTTCATATAGGTAATATTAACAAACGCCAAAAGGCATATTAGAAAACATCCCTTGATTATACCAGCAAGTGGGCTTCAAAGAACTTTAAATAAGGTAACTCAAGAATCTCCTGAAACTGAGTATCCTAAACATGATATTGATGGTTTTGATTTAAAATCGAAATATAATCGCTTAACATTAATCAACAACTATAATAGCCAAAAAGATAACAAACAATCAGATAACACAAATAAAATAAATTTAAAATTAAATGAAGCAATAAGAGAATGGAATTCAGTACAAACAGTACCACCAATTAAACCACCTCGCAATAATAACTCCAATAACAACCACAAAAACATATATGCAAATTTAGATAATTTACAAGTTAATCTGAAAGCCAACAATACAGATTCAGCGTCTTTAAATTTTGAAAGTGCTTTAGAACAGAGTTTCGATCAAGATGATATTTTATCATCACCGGATGTGACAGATTCTTTTTGCCCTTTTTTAATACAAAAAGAAGAAAGTAAAAAAATAAATTTTAACAGCTCAAAAATATCTGGTTTATATGTAAACGAGGATGAATTAAGAAATTTGGATTTCGATCAATCAAATAATATACAAGATAATATGGTTCATGGAAAAACACACACAGCGCCTGTAAATAATGGAATCAACAAAAATGATGTGCCGAGTAATCAGAATGAAGAAGAAGATCGATCGACTTACGCGAAGAACGCAATGGAAAGCAAAGATGAGGTAGATAGTTATATTGATAGGAATGAATTGTACTTATCAAAAGATAGAAATTTTAACAACTCTGTAAGTTGTGAAGATTTACTTGAATTTGCCAATAGAAAACCGAAAGGATGTGAAAGAGGCACAGATTCAGATGAAGTAAGAATCATGCTAAAAGTTTTAGGCAAAGAGGTAAGTACTACTGCATTTTATGCATTTAAATGAAATTTGTAATAAATTGCTTTTTATTTTATCCAAATCTGGTACCACAATTAATTTCTGAGTTTGCACAATTTTGTTTTTCCTTATTATTTTAGGTTTCGCCGCATAAGTGCATCAATGCATTAGAAATAACTGAATGGGATGTTCATAAGGCAATCAAAATCATAAAATTACAAAATATCACTAATATGAAAGCCTTAAATGAAGTACAAAAAATTCTACAAGAGCATGATTGGGATTTGCAGACAGCAATATTTGAATTGAATATCATAAATGGTGATTGATTTAAAGAAAATAAGCACAAAATATGCATTATAATGCATATAAAAAAGTATACAAAATATGCATAATAATTTTTTTCATATTTTTTTTATAATGCCTTCAATGGAACAAAATTTCCATAACTGAACATTATTTGTTATCATTATTTATATTATGTACATATTATTTATTTTTATAAATCAAATGTTAATTCATACGAATATTTTTGAGTAATTCAAAGTAGCTAACAAATTAAATAAAAAAAAATTATCAACATAATTAATCGAATAAAATTATCCAACAACTTCGATAGTTATATTTTTGGTACAAGGTTATTAAACCATCTACACTGAATATTGCTTAAACGTTTTTATTACAATTATTGATTTTAACTTGTCCAACTGAGTCTGGTATTGATGCACATTGTATCATAAATAAAAATTTTTCTAACTCATCATAACGCATCAATTTACGCTAAAAACAGGTTATGTATAATGTTTATTCAAAATAATTACATATACAAGTACTTATGTATATCATTTTGAAAATATTTTGAGTAGGTATTTTAATAAGTATTAAAATGTTTTACATTCCAATAGCATATAACAAATGCTTACAACTAAATTATGAACTTTGAAGAAATTAATACAAAATGAATAAGTTTATTAGTTAGTATCCTCTCATATTTTATATAATTTATAAAAACTGAATGTTGAACATTCTAAAATATATAACTACTCGTATTTTACATAATCAAATTACGTGGACACAAAAAAAAATTTGTTATCAAAGGTAATTAATGTAAACATTTAATTACTTGTACCATTGATTAGATCAAAACTTATTATAAATATTAATATTTTTTATACTTAACTTATTCTGGAAATTATAAATACTTTGTTTGCATGAACTGAAAATATTATATGCATATTATTTATTCGAAATTAACCATTCGTAATTTTATATTTTTCAAGCCAATACTCTAATGAATCTCTTTAAAGTACTTATATTTATATTATACTATATTTTAGCATTAATATTTTTGTAGCATATAAATAAAACTTTTACATACATTACTACATATTTTGTGTTTTAATTAAATTTTAGTTTTAGGCTTAGTTAAACTTTTGTATTGCTTCAAAATTTATTTTAAAAATACATAAAACTTCAGTACATTAACTTGTTGTTTGATGACACCAGTTGATAATGGATGCCTATAAGAATAATCAAATAAACAAAATCAAAAGAAGAAGAAAATAAATCTTAACATCCTAGAAATAATGAAAATTTTAAATGGCTTCTTGTTAGTTGGTCCCAATCTTTATGACACCGTTGAGGTGCGAAGTTAGTAAAGACAAAATGATTCACAAAATATATATCGAATTATCTTTTTGGCGAAAATTAATTATGGAAGATTGGTAAAACTCAAAAAATATTTTTGTATAAAAAATATTTTACTTTTTTCTGTTAATTAATAAAATAAAAATCATGTTTTACCTAATTATAATAAAAATATTTGAAACTGCGGAATTTCAAAATACTATTTAAAATTTCATTTCCAAAAGCTTTCAATAGCTAAATAAAATATTTTATAAGCTTTGCTGAGAATAAATTCACAGCTAAAATGAAACAAAATTCACTCTCCGACATAGTTTTCACCTAGATTCCACTGTACTTTGTATATAACTAAAAAATGAGAAAAATATATTTCTTATTTCCCCACATTCTTCCACATTTCAATTTATATTTTCTCTAATTTTTCGTTACTAATTCACAATATCAATCACAATATTAACATATTTGCTGGCACACGTCAAAAATATTACTAGAATGTTGAAATGCGTTCGAATAAAAAGATATACATATATGTACATACATATATAAAAGGTATGGTCATTGACCAAGTCATTTTTCTCAATTTTTTGAATGAATAAAATATATGCTTGAGTTGCAATTACTTTATTCTGCAAAAAAAAAACACAATAATTATCGCAATTTTAAATTGCATAGATGTTTATATTAAATTTTATAATTCCAATATACATATGAACCATACATACATTTTAATTTTTTATTTAACTTGTGATTTTAAATATTTGTTTATATTTTTGATGTATGCTAAATTTTTCAAATTATAATACCGTTAAGTTTTACTATCATTGTCAAATAATTATAAAGCTCTTCTTAAAATTGACCAAGATAAGATATTATTAAAGTAATTTAAAAAAAACCGAATTCTAAAATGTACTTAACTTATGTATATACATATTTATTTTTATATTTTAAAATATCTCCCTCCAAAATAAAAACATACCCAATACGCTTGTGACCTTTTAATACTACTTTTCTCTTTCAAATACACTATTACCCTATTACTTATCATTTTCACCTAAAATTTTTTGAATTTTTTAATTATTCTATGTTAATGACAATGTTCATTAAACAATGGTTTTATTTTCTTTTTCTATAAATATTAATAATATTTATGGGAAAAATATAAATATTATTACTTCAAAAATGTGTATGAAACTATAAAATAATTTGAAGAAGAAAATAAAAAAAAACTTGTATAAATCGATAATGTTATTAACAAAAATACAGTGGAAACCAATTTATTCAACTTGAAATATTTAATTAAAGCTCTAATTTGTATTATTGAAACCTTATTAAATAAACGAATTATCCTAGTAGTATAAATTAGAATTGCACTGTAATGAGATTTAAAATGAATAATTGTAAACAAACTGACGTTAGATCTATATTTTAATGAATGCTCTATGCCGTGTTTAAGTCTTAGTCAATAGGGTAGTTTTAAAAATTATGTTTTGTGATTCTTTTACAGAAATCCGATTCTACATTCAAAGATACCTTTATAAAGAAAAACAAAACTCCATTTTTATTAATATTATAATATAATATTTTTGTTCAATAAAGTTAAAAGAACGGTTACGTAACATTTGCTATTATACCGCAAAATTGTGCGATGCCATCCGATTATTTTGCATATCTAACATTAAAAACACGTACATATTAATATTAAATATTATTAAAATTTCAAATAAAAATTTTTCTAATATAATTCGAGATTTTTCTGTTTTAAAAGTATAGCAATATACTCGTATACTAGAAAACAATTATTTTGGAAATAATAAAAGAAATAAAATAATTTTGTTTTTTAAAATAAGAAAATAAGAGAAAAAAAAATGACAAACATACAGAGTCCCTCCAATTTTCATATATTTTTTGCCAATTCTATTTTTTCCTTTTAATTTTTTAATTTTTTTTGTCTTTTTTTTTTTTTTTTGGATAAAAATGTTTGAACTGAAAACTTCTTTTGCTTGACAGAATTTTGAAACCGGCGCAGTAAATTTTACCATTATTAAAATTCTACTACCCAAAATATAATAATATCTCTCTCATTTAATTTAATATACACGATACACCTATGTATATATGTGTATATATATATATTTGAAATAGAAAAGGAAAAAAAACAGAAAATCACAAAAGCAGGACTCATCATCATCATTACCACCCATCTTTATCATTACATTTTAGTTTATATTTTATACATACATGTATGTATGTAGCAAAAAGCAACATACTTTTCTTTTGACCAAAAAGGCGAAATACAAAAAGGAAAACATAAAAATAATAACTAAAAATAAAAGGAAAAAATAAAAGACAAAAATAAAAACAATAATAAGTTAAGAAAAAGTAAAATAAAAAAAAATAAAACAAGCCAAAAAAGCACACATATAAAATCTCTTTTTTCCTCTCTCACAATACTTTCGAAAACCAGAAAAAAGGACTATTGATGTTTTCCATACAGAAAAGATTTTCAGTCAGTACTTGTTAAACGAGAGAACTTCAAACTCAAAGTATAAATAGAAAAAGTAGAAGAAAATAAAAACAAAAAAAAATTTATATATAAAAAAGTAGAAATTAATTTTATAGTAGTAATCCTTAAAAAAAAAAAAATTTTTTTATATTTTCATTTTATTTAATTGAAAACACAAGAAAAAAATAAAGTTTTCAATGAGATCTTTAAAGATTAAGGTCTTCGTTTTTTAATTATTAAAATATTTTTCATAAACAAATTTTTTTTTTGCATTTGAAATTAAATTTTAAAATAATTTATTATGTGAATATAAAAAAAAAAATAAAAGGAAAAAAATTACAAAAAACCAAAAACCAAAAAGGATAATTTTTTAAACTATAATCAAAAAAAAAGAGAAAAAAAGAATAGAAAAAAAAAAGGAAAAAAAAATCTTTTCTTAAATATTAAAGTTTTTGTTGTTACTGTTTTTTTTTTTTTTTTAAATTTAACATATGTACATAATATATAATAAAATAAATTTTAAAAATAAAATAATAAAAAAAAAATATATTTAATGCCACTCAAATGTTTTTATTACGGAATAGTTTTTGGAATAATATGAGCAAAATTTACGGAATTTCAATAATTTTATTTTTAGCGTGTAAGTAAAAATAGATAACCTTTTTTCTCATACACATATGTATATATATGTATGGATATGTATATATATGTATATATATGTACACATATGTATATATATGTATATATATGTTGATTTACATACATATATATATATATATATATATACATACATGTGAACATATTATATTGGTATTTTTTTTATAGCTAGTTATATGTTCTTTATATGCAAATATAATAATATTATAAAATAACAAAATTATAAAAAAAAAATTAAATCAAATACAATAAATATTTTATTTTTTATTTTAAAAAAAGAAACTATTAAATTTGATATTAAATTGTGCGAAAATTAAGAAAGAAAAACTATATGAAAAAGAAGGACATTTTTTTACGATTATATTATTATGATTTGATATATATATCATATATATATATATATATGTGGTACCGATTTATTTTTATCAAATTTATTATTATTACTTGTCTTACTACACTTATGTACAAACATATAATCTATATATATAATTTTATTAATAATATAATTTTATAATATATAAGATTATCTTTACCCATATATGTATACCTCTCCCCATACATGTATTAAAATAAAATTGATATTATCTATTTGTAATATACAAAATGTTTCTAGTGTATACATATCTAGTTCTAGTGTATAGCATATATAATTATATGTAACATATATATGTATATATGTATGATAATTTAAAATTAAACTTTTTATATATAAATACGTATATATATATGTATTATAAGTATATTATGAATATATTGTACATATTATATAAAATATAGGAAATTTATATATATATATGCATATTTTACCTTAATTATAAATATATCAATTTTTGGAATACATACATATTAATACACACACATACGGTTATAATAGGATAAAAGTACTTTCAAAATTTTATATATATATATATATATATATATATAACGAGTATAATAACTATATATACATACTTTACTTTGATATATTTTATAAATTTAAAATATAATAAAATACTCCATATATATTTATATATATATATATAAGAATGTATATAAATATAAATATGTATATCAATTATAGATTGTTGTAATATGGAAGATTTGCTATATCCATGATTATAAATATGTACGGTATTGATAAAATATATATATATATATATCATTTTTTTATTGTTATATTTCTATGATTGTTATTTTTTTTATGATTATAAATAATAATATTATTATTATTATTTCATTACAATAAAAATGAATAAAATCAAAGAAAAATATGATAAAAATTTTTTATAATTTTAGAATGTTAAAATTTGATTTTTGTTTATACATGCAAAAAGAAATAAAAATTAATAATACTTTTATTAAATTTATTATATTAAAAGTAAGAAAATGAAAATTATTTAATTATTTTGATTAATTTTTCTGTTATTATTAATTTATTTACTGTTTTTTATCGTTATTATTATTATTTTTTTAATCTCAATTTTTTTTATGTTTTTCTTCTTATTATTATTTTTATCTTTTGTTTTTAGTTCCCAAAATTTTCACTTTATGTATCTAGATATACATACATACATTAAATATATCATATAAGTACATATATAATATTATTATAACGGTGTTATAAATTCAAAATATCCTGTTATATTTATATATTTACATATTTATATTGTTTTATAATTTATTATCATATTATTACAAATATACTCGTTATGTATGTATAGAAGGAAGTCATGTAGGTTTAGAATTGTCATATGCATACATACAAATATGTATGCACATATTATATAAACTCTCATATATATTATTTTCAAAGTAAACAATGTTAAATAAAGGAAAAAAAATAAAGTTGTTTACAGGATTTTCTTTAAAAAAAAAAACAAAAACAAAAACAATAATAATAAATGAAAAACAATTAAACAATAAAAATTATAAAAAAAAAAATTTACCTATAATACAAAATTCAACCATCCATTTAAATATAAATTTGTTTTACTTACCATTGTAAGTAAAATTTAAGATATTTTGTAAATTTAATACTTACTGGAATAAAATTATTGTTAAAGAATAACGAATTTCAGTGGTGTAGGTCATGGTATACTTACATACATACTTATTTTATTCTTATTTACTTATTTACTTATACTTTAATTAAAAAAATAAAACAAATATATTATACATAAAAGTAAATAAATAAAGAGAAGATAGACCAAGTAATAAAATAGGCACATAGGTACATTTTAACCCACGGCAAATATGCGACGAAAATCTTCCCACACATTAAAATTATATATAGAGATACCAAATATTCTCAAATATTCAAACATATAAGAATATTTTTAATGTAGTTACTTTGTAATTTAGATACCAAGATAAAAATGAACCAAAAATTAAAAGACTAAAAGTTTAAAAATAAAAATTATTTTTAAAAAATTTGCTGTAAAATATTTTTATTATCATAAAATAGAGAATTTTCTTCTTTAATGTTTTTAACCCTTTCTTGTTAAAATTTTTTCCATTTTCCTTTTGCAATTTTTTAAAGTTTTTTTACTTTTGTTTCTTTTAATTAAAGATTTTTTTTTTATTCCTTATTCCTTTATATTTTTCTTCTTTTTCATTTTCTTATATTTTTTGTTCCAATTTAATTTTTAGTTTTTATTTTTTATCGTTTTGTTTTTTATCCTCTTTCATTTCTTAGTAAACTTGTTGCCCTTTTTTGTTCTTCATATTATTTATTTATATTTCATATTTATATATATATATATATATATATATATATATATGATGTAAACTAATTTATATAATAAGGATAATAGAATTTAAAGTTTAAAAGTGTACATTTATATACAATTTATATAGTTCTAATAAATCAATACAAAATAATCCTTAACAAAAATATTTAAGATAAAATAGCATTTGTAAATAATAATTATATGAATATATATGCATATTGCATATAAAATTTTGTAATATATTAAATACATAATACAATCACATAATATTGCATATAAATATTCGCCAAAAAATATTTGTATAAAATATAAAAATTATATTATTTTTTAAACTTTAAATAACTTTAAAATTCACTAATTTAACTCTTGTTTATACATTCATATACTTAAGTATACTATAGAAAGGACTTAAGTATCCTATAGAAAAAACTGCTACGTTTTTGACATTTATGTTCTGTCAAGAAAAAAAGTTTTTTTTATCAATATTAAAATTATAATTTTGAATTTTATTTATATTTATAAATATTTTTACTTTAAATTAACAAATATAAGAAAACATACATAATTTTTATTTCTTTTAAAAATATCCCAATATTAATAAAAATTCTTATATACCGTGTTGCAATATTTATGTAAATAATAATTACATACATATATACCTTCTTATCTTCTATTACAATGAATTCATATGTATATACAGTTATGGTAATAATTATGTATTTTTATATAAAATTTATTTTTTTTTCTCATTATTGGTATTAGTTCTCAAAATAAACTGTAAAAATAAAAATTAAAAAAAAAATTATGGATTATCTAAAAAAAAATTTATTTGCAGGTTAATACACATAGGTACATTAAAATTCCAAAGTATATAATATTAATGAGTTCATTGTAAATATAAACATAAATACACGTATATATATATATAATATATATATATATATATATATATATATGTAATATACTGACCATTATTAAATATTAAAAATACGGATATATATACATATGTATCTATCTATTAAAATTTATAAAAGTAAAATGTTTATAGAATATAAAAAAATACTTTTTTTTTAATATGAAGTTTGCAAATTCTTGTGTAAACGACCCTGCGAAATAAATATGTGATTTTTGTTTAAACAATTCAGCAAAATCTATAAATATATAAAATTACTAAAAAAGGTATACGTGCTTAATTACGGAAATTTTTTTTTATTAAAATTCACCTAATATAACCTAGGTAATAAAAATTAATATTCTAAAATTTATTAATAAACTTAAGGTTAGTTGCTCACGGCTAAATTTAGTTGATATTCCGTTTTCGGGAAATTGAATTGGAAATAATAAAGAAAAAAACACAAGAAAACAATTTTAGTTTTGTTTTTTTGAAAATCAGAATTAAAAATCGAAAATTTCGAAAAGAATTGAATGCAAAACGTTAAATTAGGTTTTAAACGTTAAATTATTTCAAGAGAATTTAGAACTTTTATTTTTATTTTCAATATTATTTTCAGTATAAGTTAAAAAATAATTAAGTCTATTAAATGAAATAAAATTTACTGTTACGCCTATATAATTATTTTACGTAATACCAGAAATATTTGCGCCAAAATGTATGCAATTCAATTTTTTTTTAATATAAATTGTTAAATGTATATAAAATATATGACTTCGATTTTTCAAATTTCTCAACTTATAATTTTTTTTTCTAAAATTATACAAAAAAAAAAATATGTACTTTTAAAAGTTACAATACATTAGATCCATAGTCGTCATTGTTGCAGTCACGATACGATATTCTGTATAGAAGTTAAGCATACAATATATTCTATATATATTAAAAGTGTGCAATATTATAAAAATAAAAGAAATTATTTAATAGAAAGAATATTAGATATATAAGCTTCTTGTTACATAATGTGTAACAAATATCTTATATACTCGTATGCTATATATATATTTTTAAATTATATATATATACATATATTTGTATATGAATTATAGTTATTTAATAATAATAATAATAATAAAATACATATTTTATATTATACAAGTGAAAATATATATATATTTGTGTTTATTCAACTTATTTTTTCGTGTCTTAAAAAAATAAATATATAAAAGGGGTTCATTGGCTTGCCTAATAAAGCTATCAGCTTTTTCATTTTATCCTTTTATCAAGTAAAAACATAAAATTTGTAAAATTTTCTCAAAACATAAAAAAAATAAAAACTTTTTTTTTCTTATTAAATTTTCTATTATTTTGTAATTTTGTCATATTTACTTGGTTTGCCTTTTTTTTTTGTATTAATTTTTACATTACAATTCTTTTGTTTCTATATCTTAAGTATAATGTCCTTGTTTTAGATAAAAAAAAAATAATTATTTCAATGTTCAAAATCAAATGTTGTAAACGATAACGATTAACTCTCTATGTGTGTATACGGAATAATAGAAGTTGTTTTAAAGGACGTAAACTAATTGGACATTATTTTATATTTTCCAATTAAATATTAATGTGTTAGTGAACATATCTGTACATATATGCATGCATATATGGAAATAAGAAGTGCATTTACCCTACTATATTATAATTAGATTTTATTTACACTTAAATAATCAACTATAAACGTATAGTGAAAAATCAAAGATAACTTTTAGTTCAAAAAAAAAACAATTTTTTTTTTCTGAATAAAAAAAATTAAAAATTATTATTCAATTTCACTAAAAACTTCCATTCGACCTTGGATTGTACTTTCATAAATTGTATTGTAAATAATTTTAATGCATATACATACATAATAACATATGTATATATGCATATGCAAAATAAATGCATAAGGATTGTGTTCCTTGCATGCACCAGTTTGCTGCAACACTGGCATAATTCAAAATTTGTACATTTGAGAAAATTTAATTTTAAAATTTTTGAATTAATATGTTCTTCTGGTTCTGGTCTATTTGGGTAGAATATTAAAAAAAAAAAACTCTAGACGAAACTTAACCAAAACTCCATGTTGTAGTTGGTCAATTCGAAAACTATGATTTTGAATCATAAAATCGCAAGTATTTAATTAAATATTGTAGGTTCTAGTATAACATATACGTCATATATTATAATATAAGTGTTATATATAGAAGCGTTTAAGGAAAATGTTTCAAACTGTTTCTAACTGTTTTAGTTGCGGAAATAAAATAAATGTCCATTCCATTCAATTTTCTTCTGAAGCGAATAGTATCTAATGTTTCTAACATATCACTCCTTGACATGATTGCATCAGTATATTGGAGAGTCTTGGTGTAGAGTTGATATAAGCGAGGAGGAAAATCACAAAGAATCTTATTGAGAAGCTTATTTAAAAACAAATCTTGTCACTGTCATTCAAAATTTTTCTTTAATTAGACGAGTTTCAAATTATTTTTAGCTCATAAGTCATAAATATATCTATAACGTACAAATCCATATAATTAAATTTTAGTTACATTTTAATAGTTTACAACATATATATGTAGGTATGGCATAGATAAATGAAATTTTTTTTTGAAATTCGATGATTCGAGAACATGACTATAATTTTAATAAATCTTGTAAATTTTACTACAATTTTTAATTCTATACATATGTACGTTATATGTATATATATATATATTTGTGTAATATTGAAATATTCTAATTTTTGTGTTTATAGATCAGCAATTTATTTAAAATATGTATATGTAATAGGTAATTATCTTAAATGAAAAAATGCTGTATAGCTGTATACAGATAAATGATAATATATGTGCTCGTATCTACCTATCTAAGTTAAAATGTACATAAATTTATTTATGTATGAGTTATTATTTCCTTTTACTATAAAATAAAAATTAGATTAGGATGTTAAGATTGATTTTTTCATAATATTATTATTTACATATTTATAGTTGGTAAAACGAAGTAGTTTTATTGGAGTAGGTGACTTTCTAGTATTTTTGTTTTTAATAAATTCAATCTTATTTCCTTATACACGTACTCGTACATATGTACATAATAATTAAATTAATAACATATTATAAAAATTGTATACATGTATAAAATTTATTCAAAAATATTATAATTATTGTATATATGTAGATATAAAAAAATCTCCAATAATAATGCTTTTTTTTTAATTTAAATTTTAGCATCTGCATCAGTTAAAATAACAAATATGAGAGTACCCGCAGTATATATGATAGAAAGAAAGGGTGACACTGGTTCAATAGTTTTGGATTGCGAATATGAAGTAAATCCTGTTGAAAAAGGTTTTGTTTTAAAATGGCTTCATAATAATAATCAAATTTATCAATGGATCCCATCTGGAAAAGGATTTGCAAAAGGGTTTGCAATGGTAAAAGAATTTATTTTTTTTTCTTACATACATTTTTAAGCATAGTTTTATCTATATGTGTAATCTATACATATATATAATTTATATCTATTAAGTTATATGTACATAAACTTACTATTTTCAAGGCAATATTCATATATGTATGTATGTAGATATTTTACAAATTCAAAGAACTGTGTATCATTTATAACATTTAATGTTCGCCTTCTACTGTTTGTGTATATTCAAAATAAGAACACATACATACGTTATTATAGATAGGATCTTGTTCTAAAATAAAAATTGATGAATTTAATAGATTAATCGATTTGTATTTAAAATGAGTTAAAAAAAATATTCGTATTTACTGGAATAATTATACTTTACTGTGGAATCATCAAAATCTCAAAAATATTGTCGTCATATCAAGAAGTAGATTAAGAAAATAACTGTTAAAAAAAAATAACCATTATGTAATAAAATTCAGTTTTTTCTTTGTCGACAAAGTTCGGCTTTTAAATAAATTTAAATAAAATTAGACTTTTTCCAAAAATTAAAATAAGAATAGGTTTTACATACACGCTTTATCTTTAGAAAGTAATACAAATACATAATATAAACCCTATTAGTCTAAAAGTCTGAGCAGTATTTCGCCTCTCATATAATTTACTAGCTTTACTTTAAGGATAATTTTACCTTGAGAATTTTTCTAGAAAAATATAATAAAGAAACGTTCGTTAGGGATATTTGCAAATTATCATCTATAAAATAGAAGTAGACTAACTCAAACAAAAATTTTAGTGATATTTTTGTTGGTAGTTGACAGTTTCATTCTAAGAGAAAAAAAAATTTAGATAGATTTATTGATCTTTGTATTTAGTTATAAAAAAAGTCGTCATATTCATTTGTTATAAACAAATTAAATTTTCACTATAATTTTGAATTTATTAATAATTTAAATTTTTAGGGACATATGAAAACAAAAATTGAAGCAATTCATTCAACAAACAAAAATCACAACCAAATTTCAATTATAAAACCAGAATGGAATATGACTGGAGAATATGCTTGTTTCGTCCAAACATTTGAATCAACAGATAGAAAAGTTGGACATATGCAAATTGTTGGTAAGTGTTACTTATATAACACATATAATAATACATAAATAGCATCAGCATATACTGCATTATTTATATTTTTTTAAATATAAACTGTAATTAATTTTACAATCAACAGTACTAATACATTTTGTAATGATGGACGTTCGCACATACATACATTACGAACGATGTTAATTAATTGACTTCTAAATGACATTTCAAAATGTTTTATACAAAATCTATAGCCTAATGCTTAAGTGATTCCTAATTTTTATATTTTTAGTTGCAGAATCTGATTTTCACCTATCAGCAAAAGTTAGTCATGATCCCGATGGAAATGGCATTATCGATATTATTTGTCTTGTGCAGGAAGTATTTCCAGAACCAACTTTAACAGTGATGTAAATATTTTGTTAACTATTTTATAAACAATAAAAATATTGAAAATTAAATATAAACTTATATATATATATATTTTTTTTAGATTAAATAATGAAATTTTAAGAAGAACTGTTCCAGATTTGAAAAGGAACAAAAATGGTCTTTATAATTTAAAAGTAAAAGTAAAATTATATCGTAAAATGCTTGAATCGCCAACACCAATTACATGCATTCTGTCACTTGCAGAAACTAATTATACAAAGCGAAGAGAAACGCTTTTTTATGGTAAACTTTGCTTTTATATTGAACAAAAAATTTAATTATATCAATGTGGCACGATTAATTTTTTATATCAAATATACATTATGTAATTAATTATACATTTAAAAACAATTTGAAATAAAATAAAGAAACATTTACATACATACATATATAAATTATTCAATATTAATGTTTTAGATGAAGCCAAAACCACCTTTACTCCATCTAGTGGAGAAGAAATTTCTAGCGCAGTTTCGAGATTTGAAGCAGATAAAAATTTTGGTTAGAAAATATTTTTTTTTCTAATTTTTTATTTTAAAAATTATTAATACGTTTTTTTTTTTTAGGCTCGGAAACGCTTTCAAAAATTTTATGGATAAAATTAATAGTTTTAGTGATAACAGAATATATTCTTGCCTATAGTTAATAGATTTGTAAGATAGAAAATTAAATAAAAATAAAAAAAAAAGCTTGTAAAGTTTTAATTTAATATGTAATGATTTTAATAAAAGGAAACGTGCTGTTTAAAATAGAAAAAACCCATTGTTTTAAAGGCATTAATTCTAGACTGAACATAAAAATAATCTTTAAACTTGTATTATTTTTTTTTAAATTAAAATTGCAAAATTTATTCAAAATTTGTGTAGGACAAAAAAAAAAATACATAATTTTTTAGAAATTTTTCACTTAATTAATAACCTTTGATAAATAAAGTTTGCAAAAGCAAACGGTTGCAAAGGGATGTGGAAATCATAAAAGGCCTGTTGCAATATATTAAAAATATGCTAAAGAAGTTAGACTCGCTTATAACTACATCGAAAATTGGTAAATTTTCATTTGCTTATATCCGATTTTTCTTATAAGCGACTTCAGTTACAAGCACAAATTTTGCTTTTAAGCAAATTTTATAAATTTCAATGTTCTATATTACCAATATCTATTAGTTGTTCATAAATAATATGTTTTGAAGAGTCTTTTTAATTTTTGAGATGACTTTCGTGTGAAGGTAAATTTGAAAACTCATCATGCTAAACTGACGGTCCTAATTCAAATCGAAACTAAAATCAACGAGAAACTAAAAGAATGTTTGTACTTTCTTAAAATTAGAAAAAATTATTAGCAGAATTTTTAATATTTCTTGATTTTCAAATACAAATACTGCTTCATTTATAAAAATATTTCCTTGGCAATATTAAACTAACAAACTAATGGGAACTTGGAACAGAATTTTTTAAAAATTAGGGAGAAATAAGTAAAATTAAATTGAAAAATTAAAAGTTTACATACATTTGTATGTGTGTATGCACAAAACGTATTTGAATTTACTAAAAGGTGTAAGAAATTAAGAATTTTTGAAAAATTTTCAACAGTTTTAAAAATGTTAATTCATTAATATACTCTCATAATTGGTCTGATTGACTTAGCAGTACTCAATAATTCTGTTTTACTCAATTTGCGAAATGGATATGAATAATTAACTTGCTTATTAATTATTCTGAGTAATTGTAACGTATATGTACATGTACACATGTACAAATTTCTACAAAAATATTTGGAAATCATTGAAATTCTTATTTTTTTTATATGGCGATAAGATTAATAATTGTAGTTAATTTATCGGATATTTATTTTTCACTTTATAAGTTTTTTTTTTTTTTGAAAAATTTAAAACGCAATTTTTTATAAATGGTAACAATGAATCACGTAAAATTTTATTTTTACAAAAATAATGCTCATAAATTATATGTATGTATTATGAATGTATATAATGCAATACATTTAAAAATAGTATTAATTACTTAGAGTCTAAAACAATAGTAAATCGTTAAGTGTGATGAGAATTTTACTATGTGTTTTAAATCATATGACAACTATTTTGCATTTGACTTTAAAGTTTTTGAGATTTTAATTTCAGATTTTCGTCGACGGATCGTCATTGAATATTTTGAAAAAGTATCATTTGTAATATTCTCAATTTTCAATATTTTTCTATATATTACGGTAACATAAATATATGTACTTACATACACACATATATATTTATATCCATGTTTATATATTTTTCTTATATAATTTGTTTATAAAAAAAAAACTATAAAAATGCTTTAGAATTTTAAGCACAGTTTAAATTTGCGAACGTGTTTTTTTTGTAACAAAGAATACTCAAACATTTTGAGTCCGAATTGAATTATCGAAAAACCCCACATTACCGATTGAAAATAGATTTAAGTACAGTCAAATTTCACCAGTGTCAATTACTTTTGGAAATTTTATTTTTACCAGGTTCAAGAGAAAGTTCAAAATGAAATAGTCATTACGTTAACATACTCGTATGTATGTATAAGTGTAAATAAGATAAAACAAAATTCTGATTTTATTTAATTTTTTTTCCTTTTTTTATATATTTTTTTTTTGGTTTTATTATACAATCATAATTATAACTACATCAATGTAATATATAATATTATTTTTATGTTATTTAAAATACATTCAAAACATTTTTTAATGGAAGTATAAATATGACAAAAAAAACTTTTATAAATATTATGAATTAAATCTTTTTTTTCACATATAAAAAATCTTATAATTTTATTTTGTGTAAAATAGTTTTTATCGAAATCAACAAAGGTATTTTTTTTAGACTTCAAAATATAAATTGTTACATATACAATTAAAAATAACATTCTTAAAAAATCTTTGTCAGTTTTTTGATAAAATTTTTTTTTTAATATTAATATTACATGTATTGAATAATCATTCCTTTTTAAATTATATTTGGAACAATGTTAGTTTCAAAATTTTTTTATTTATATTTCTTGTTATATACAGTGCTTACCTAAAGAAGTTTTTCTTAAAAGTTCTTTAATATTATTTACCGAAACCTTTTGATGCTTTGCTTTCAACACATAAAATATTCAAAATATAAAAAAGTAAGTATGCATATTAAATCAAAATACAATATAAATAAATAGACATAATGACAATTAAACCAAGAGGACAGATAGCTGATTATTTTTTAAATTTTCTTTATTGCCATTTAGAAAAGATTCGGTGTCAGGTAGTGTGAGCATATACGACAAAATCTAAAATTTAATCTAAATCTAAAAAAGAAAATTGTAAATTAAATCATTCTTTGACATTATTAACAAAAATTAGTCTATTCTCATCAGATTTACTGTTAAATTTTGTGGGAGTTTTAAACAGCGATTAGCTGATTTTTATGTTGGTTACAATTTTTATAGTAAATAGCTAATTGTTGACGTAAAGTCTGAGCTCCATCAAATATACATATAAAAAATCTTTAGACTTTACTTTAGATTCAATATTGGATTTTGTCGCATACTTTTAACATTTCAATTAAATTATATTCAACTAAAATAATATTTCAAATAAATATAAATCCAAGCCATAAAATATGAAATAATTTGAGCCTGTACTAAATGATTAACTTTTTTCCGTTTCATAAATTGTAAATTAATTTGCTTAACTAAATATTAATATAATGAAAAAAAAATTATTTTTAATGAGATGCCATTTAACTATTAAATAATCAACTAAATTTATAACAAATTTTAAAATATTTACGAGTTTTGAACAGAAAATTATATGTATGTATATACGTATGTACATATTTTAAAATATGAATCATTAAAATAAAAAATTTGAAAATATTTACAAATTTTAGACTTACAGATTCTATATTTCAAAACATAACAAATAATTTAGGAACTCTATAAGCAAAATTACTTCCATAATAGATTCTGTCCATCTAGTGTATCTTTACTCTAGAATGTTTTTTTTTTACCACGTATGACATATTTTTGTACATTACATAAATTTTTTGTTTTATTATAATATGCAATTTTTCTTTTTTTTTTATTAAATTTGGAAAACACTGTATAATTTTTATTTTCGTTTTTGCTTATATATTTATTAATTTAATCAACAAATATTTATTTTGTATTGATATACATATATATTCATATAAATACAATGCATTTTACAGAAATTATCAAAAAAAATTGTGCAAATCCAGTCTCATGAAAAAAACATATTTATCTTGTATAAAAAAATATAAATCTGTCGTCATAAAATTTGTTGTATCTATCATATTATATAAGTATATATTATATAAATCATAACATATTTTTCATAATATTGAGTAATAAATAAATAATTTTCATTTTATTTTAGTTAATAATATAAAGGATTTCTTTTAGCATGAAATATAAATCGTGTGTATATGAAAAATTTTAATAATATATGCTTAGGTACAAATGGAAGTAAATAATTATAAACTGAATTAAAGTAAATTTGTGAATGTTTGTTTTATGTAATAATGTTTCTTTTCTTATTTTTACTTACATTTAATTTTTTTTTTAAAGCTGTGAATTTAAATAGCGAAATGTTGTGTAATTATTTCAAAGGAACAAAAATGTATAACAAAGATTACCAAACCCATTTCTTTTTACTTTGATAACAATTTCAAAAAAATGTATGTATATATATATATATATATATATATATATATTTTTTTTTTCTATATCTTTGGATCTTTTATATATAACAGATCCGATTCCAATATGGCAAAATAGTCCTACAATAATAATGATTACTTATATTCCTTTTCTTTATCTTCCTAAAGTTAAACTTAGCATTTCATTTTGTACTGAGATAACACTATAACAAAAACACATAGAAAGAACGTATAGTTTAAAGCCAAATCTTAAGTAAAAAAAGCATTAATTTATTATAAAGGAAAGCTCTTTAGGATTTAAAATATTTTTTTAATAATATAAGAAATTAATCGATTTATTCCATAAAAAAAAATTTAGTGAAAAATTATTGAAATGTAAAACAAAAATAGCTATATCAAAAGATTAAAAATATTTATGTAGTAAACTGTATTAACAAAAATTTAATAATTTTGTACACTTAATTTCGCCAAGTAAATGCAGCTTATGCTAGTAATACCATTACTATTATCATAATTAAACTGAATAATTACATCATAAATAAAATTATCTACATTTTTAATTGTAATCATGTTTTTTTTCGTTTTTTTAGAAATCAACAAATAATAAATGAAAACCTATAATTGAGTTATTATGTTCTAATATTATTTTTTAATATCTTCATTGACAAGATATTATTAAGCAATTTATCATCATTTAACTGCTTTCTGTTTGTAAATTTTTAAATTATTTTTATTTTATTTTCATTATTCTGCATTTTTTTTCTTTAATATAATAATATCATTTCAATAACTTTGATTGAAAATTTATGTCCTTGATGTAAGTAATCATTTTGCGTGTGTATTACTTAAAACTGCAGGAATAACGTTAGCTTGCTGAACAGCTGCATTTAAAACACATATTTCTTTTTTCAAGAACGCATCAACTCCTTCAACTTTTTCACAGTTTGAACGTTTTCTTAAGTTGGAATCAGATGGAACATATATTTTTTCGGAGTCACTCATACGCATTAGATCATCACGGAATTCAACTATACCTGTAACAGTTTTATCTAAAAATTCTTCAATATTACGTGTTTCAATTTCAATTTTTTCTTTTAATTTATTTGATAAATTATCCATTTCGCATTCATCATGTTGAATTCGAATTGCTTCTTTACCATTTGAATTGATATCATTAGAATTAAAAAGACCATTAACTGTAACTCCAACTGAAGTATTTTCTTGTATATTATTATTACCATGCTTATTTAATACATTTTTATCAACATTAACCCCCAATGATAAACTATTGGACTGAGTTATTTTATCAGTTTTATTTTCTCTAGTAGGAATTAATTTCGGCAAAATAACTATTGTTAGGATTGCGGCTATATGAAGGCACATATAAAAGTTCAGGTACAAACGAATGCTTCCCTGTAAATTAAAAATGAAATTTTTTGAGAAAGTTATAAATTTTTCAATTAATTTACTATTTAAACTAAAAAAAGTATTTTAATTTAATATGAAGAATATGATTCAATATTTTGCTCAAAAATTTAATAATCATTGTAATAAGATTAATCTGCTTAATAAATGTCTTACCATGAACTCGAGGAGAACAAATGGAAATGTTGTATAACCCATCACAATACGTGTTGTTAAGCACGTCACGATATCATAAAACATTCTAGTAAGTACAGTTTTTTGGAATCGATGTCTAAATAGTCTTCTAGCTGTTCTTGCTGCCACAACAAATAGAGCTCCAGTGGCAAAGGTTATGTAGTAACCTGGGTAAAAACCATGCCATAATGCGCTTAGAGCAAAAGTTAAAATAGTTCCATATTTCTTTGGAACTCTTTCATAAACAATTGTCCTGAGCCAATGATTAGTTCCTATATTCCAATTATTTATAGCATCTCTCATATTTGTTGCAAACTAAAATAAACCCATTTAAAATTATTATTCTTATTATTTAATTAATAACATGCTATTTTAAATTACTTACTTCAAATGATAAAACATTAATATTTGATACCAAATCCCATTTAGATGATCCATCTTTTTCATAACCGGTGAAACCTAAGCCGGAATTATTGCAAATTGCATCCGATAAAAGCCAAGCATGGTAATATTTAAAACGCACTATTGTGGTAGACATCATACAGAACCATATTTTATAAAATGCGGAGCTATTTTCTATAAAGTCATCATCACTAATTCTTTTTATTGGGTACTCTTTTACAAATTTCATAAATATGAAAGCACATATTGCACTACCCAATAGCTTTTTAATTACGGCTTTAACTGGTGAAGGTTCTAAAACTATCTCTCTTTGGTTAGATGTATCAGAGTTTTTCTAAATAAAAAAAATTATTATATCTGTATTTATACAAAAGAAATTTTACTTACATTAGCATTATTTTGTTTGAGTAAATTATAACCTTCCACAAATTCAATATAATCTTTATAAAAAACCATTGGGCCGGCCATTATACCTTGAAAATGAAGTGTGTACGAAAAAAATTCTAGAGCAGATGGAAGTTTTTTCAAAGCGTGATATTGTTGGGCTTTCGTCATATGCTATAAAAAATTATTTTCACGTAAAAATAAAATTTTTATGTATGTATTTCTAAAATAATAATGATTTTATACATTATGCTCCCTTGTGAATCCATCGTGAATACTAAAAGCCAAACTTGTCACTTTTTGAGTAATTATCATTAACGGTCCAGTTACATCCAAGGCATATGAACCATAATCATAAACTTGACGATGTAAATGTATACATAGTAAATAAAACATAGCAACGAATAATACAATTCTAAAAAAAACATTAGATAAAAAATATTTTAAATAAAAAATAATCGTAATATGTTTAATCTTACTTTTGTACTACCATTGGATTTTGAGTTCTTATTATGATATAACACAATGCTGGAAGAAGAGCAATATGTACTGCCTGTTGACCAAAACAAAAATATCCAAAAAATAAACCAATAATAAGACCAAATGCATGTCTAACAGAAGCAGGTACTTTTGATGGATGTAAAATTGAGCGAAATAATGATGCCAAAAATAATGCTGATATTTGACAAATTAAAAAATTCATCTAAAAGATACATTTACATATTACGTTTAAAATAATATTTAAAAAAAAAATAATATTTAAGCTAATAACGTAAAAATCTAATTAAATAATTTTGTTTTTTCTCTTTTTTTATTATAAGGAAATGTGTATTAAATAATTAGTGTAAATTGCAAAACTACATACATATTTCTCATTTTTGGTTAAATTGTATAGCATTTTAATAATGCATTCATAATATGTAATAAAATTAATTAAAATCATTTTTCTATTCAAAAATATTAAACCATATTAAACATTGCTATAATTTTCCTTTAAGCTTCTCGTGCTCATGAATATGGATGAACGTTTTTAATTAAATATAAATGAACGAATTGAATAAGAATGAATATTGTGACTTCTGCCATACGAAAATCATTCAAAAACAATTAATATGCAAAAAAAACATACTCAAAAATTTTAATGAATAGCGTATTTTCATTTAATCATACAATATGTCACTTTATTATGAAAATTATTTATTAAAAAAGACGGTGTTATTTGGTACTGCAATCTAAAGAAAGAAAAAAAATAGCTACAGACTAAAATAAGCGTGAATATTATTAATTACAAAAATTATATGTGAAATTTCAGCCCTTTTTATAAATTAGTTTTGAAAGACTATGTGAAAACCTACAGCATTTCAAATGCTATTCAATGATTTTTTTTATGTTCAAATAATTTAGGTTGAAATTTTAATATGTAAATATTTAAGTATATAGAAAGTTTAAAAATAATTAAATGACGTTTTATATTGCTACAATACTATCGAAATGGAAAATTTATGGTATTGGTAAATCGAAATTTATAAATGCATTGTCTAAATAACGTAAAGTGTCTTATCAAAAAATTTTTTTTTCAATTTCTATCATTGTGTTGATTAATACCCAATGAAAAAAAAAATCTCAACAAAGTCCGAAACTTTCACTTTTCATAATTTTAATTTTTTGATGAATATTTGGAAAAATATCTTATGAAATTTTATACCAGATTTCTTTACTATATCTTGTAATATGAAGATATACTAACATTAAAATACTTAATTATAAACTTGTTACAGACTAGTTTCTCATACTCTACTAGAACGAAAGAATTTGACTATTTGGAATTGTATTTAATAATAAGGAAAAACAAATTTTAGATGCGTAGTTTCAATCTGATTTTTTGCTTAATTTTAATAAAAGAATAACATTTAAATTACAATAGAAGATTGCGGGACTTAATTAACATGAGGGTTTAGTTATGGTATGGTAAACGAAATTTTTAATGTTAAGTAATTTTAAAATTTTAAATAATATAATATAACAATGTCAATTATATTAATTTTATCATACCATATGAAGGTGCCATAATGTTGTACAAAAAAAAAATGCTTGATTATGTCAGAAAAAATTTGAAAATATTCTTTGAATATTCAAGAAACGAAAATTTTTTCAATTATTATTATTCTAAATGCTTGTTTGTATTGTACATATCTTTATTATTCTTTATGTATAAACAAATTTATTATTTTATTATATTGCATAATTTAAAATTGATTACAAAAAATTAACCTAACTTTTAACGAATGTTTAGTAAAATGAAATATATTGTAAAATTCATTCATAAATATTCATAGAAAAATACAAAACAATTAAAAAAAAGCTTAATTTGTTTCGCATATTAAAATATATTTTCAAAAAATCATTTGTTAAGTAGATAAGGTGGGTAGGTAGGTGCCCACAGGCATAAGTATTAGTTTTTGAATATAAAGAAAAAATATTTCAAAATTTTTCAAAACCGCATAATAGATTATAATTGTTATACTTATTGAATTTTAATGATAAATTTTAATATGTGACTCTAAAACACAATATAAGTTACATACCTACTATGTAATTTGCAATTATTCATAATTAATACGTTGTGTTATGTTTTTTACCGACCGTATTGTGTATGTATACAATAGGTAGGTTATTTGATGGCAACAATTTTGCATATCGAGTTTTCGGTGGGAATGCACTTCTCCATAGTAGGGAAGTGTAAATAAACTATTTTTAACAACCTGTCTGTTGGTCTGTGTGTGCACGCGTGTATCTCAAGTTCGGCTGAACCGATTTCGATAAAGTTTATTTCCACCACGGCACGGATTGATCAACTTTCGGGATATATCAGGCCTCTGGAACTGCACTTTTTAGCGGTCCTCTTTTACATTTTTGAGCATTTTGAAGAACATATTCAACCGATTTACTTGAAATTTCATATACAACTTTTGGAAGAAATCAGGCGTCAGCAACTGGACGTTTACTACGGGCCAAATATACATTTTTGCGTATATATATATCGGCTGATACTACGTAATCAACCGATTTCATTGAAATTTAATATTTAAATTCTTCGTATTAAAACAATAAACATATTAATTTTTTGGAAAGATCAGAGTTTAAAAACTGATCTGCGGGCCATATTTACATTTTTCTAGGTATGTTAACTATAAGCTTACTAATGTCCTAAAAATTGGAAAGAAGTTTTTAACAGACATTTTTATAATATTCCGTAACACTTTCACTTAACTATAGATTTTTGTTATTATAGATATAATTAATTTTAAGATATTGAACTTGGCTATGCATATCAAACATTCTACGTAAATTAGGTAGATATCTACTTAAATAGAGTCTTAAATAATAGTAAAAGCTATTTAGGTTCAAGTACCTAACTATACATGTTTTTAAAAAGAGTGCCGTAATTAACTACGTATTAAGTAATTAGGTAGATAAATAATTAGTTACCTCTGGTTAGGTAGGTTCTAAAATATCTATATACAAACCGGTGCGTTTTACTCTTAAAAATTAATTATACTTAATTAATCTTAAAAATTAAGTAAATTTTATTGAATTTCCTAAAAATATAGAATAGCTAAGCAGGAAAATAGACCTATGAAGGTAGGTTAAGTAAATTTTACGGGATAAACAAACTCTACATACCCATTTATTATTGCTATATGTAGGTCTAGTTAAACTTAAAGCCAAATATATACATATTATGTATGAATGTATTATCTACACATATATTTCATTGTTTTGAATGGAGTGTGAAAGAAATTATTTAAATTTTTTTTCTTCTGGACAACGTATGTTATTATTTATATAAAATTATTGATATAATTTTATTTACATATAGATATTAAAATTTGATTTTATTTTTATCTAGGAATTCATATTGACTATTTTCAATTTTATATATATATATATATATGTATTTATATACTTATAAGCATATATTTTAAAACAAATGAGTTTAACGTCCTCATTATTATTATCAAATTTATTATAATAACTTGTTTCTCTAAATAACATTGATAATATTAATTATATGTTTGCATAATGTGAACAGGTATGCACACACACACACAAACTTATCGATATTATAATATATATTGTGTATATTGAAAAAAATTAAATTTTAAGTTCGCCACACTTTTAACAATAAAAATTTTTTCAATGAGTGCATTTATGAAAAATAGAAAAAAAAACTCAAAAAATTATATATATGTACATATCTAATTATTTATGCATATTTAAATATAACATATTTTATGAACTTTTTGTTTTGTCATTAAAAAAGGAAATCATACGATCGCAATATTACTAATCAATGTCGTAATAAAAACAAAATAATAGCAATAGGTACTCACCAAATCAACAGATAAACCAAAATAATTCGCCAAAAACGTAAACTTACGACTTCCATCATAATAATTTTGTACCTCATACATTTTTTTTCATATAAAATTTGTTAAATTGTTTTAAAAAAAGTTTTAGTCTAAATATATCTAAAGAATTTCTTTTATTCGAATATCTATTAGAAAAAAAATTTTGTTTATACTTTTTATATACTACGCAAATGTACAAAATTCTTTTAAATATACTTAAGCTTCTTTCACTTAAAAGTGTAAGGCTTAATTCACAGTTTAAAACATTTTTTTAAACATTTAAATTTAGTCTTGTCTCCTAAAAAATATTGTTTAAATTTCTCTTTTTTTTTTGCTTAAACTAATAATTTTTGTAAATTTCTTTTAAATTTTTATATTAATGGAAGAATAACAGACCGAGAAGTTCGTAAAAACACCCAATTCTGATTAATTTGACCCTGATAATTAATAAATAGAGTAAACCTGCTGAAATATGAGAAACTTTTTTGACAGTTTTTTGATAAACAATTTATTATTGATTTTTTTTGTAGCAACAAATGTTGCTTAAATATCAAATCATAACAATTTTTAGTCTAGTATTCACTGCAGGAAATATGTATCAAAACTTATCGTGCCAGTAATAGATCGATATTATTTAATGGCGGAGTAGGAGTATCATTTGCTGCGTTTTAACCAAAGTTAATGTTACTCTAACTTCTAGAGTCAAAAATGAATTGGAATCAGTGTTCTTATCGTACATCAGTTAAATTCGTTTTCGAAAAAATAGAAGGTTTAAATTTTAAGTTTCAGTCACTTTGTTCACTTCAAAATAACTTTTTCTTATAATTTTACATTCTAGCTAAGATCCGTTAACATTGAGTTATATAGCTTAAGCACAGCGCAGTTATATAGCTTAAGTTAAATTTAGCTCGAACTAAAAACCATCAGTAATTTTACTTATCTTAAAATAATTTTTTTGGCTTTTATATCACAAATACAAATGTCAGACCATTTAACTTAGTAAATAGAAGACATGAATTTTTGCACTACGTCTTTTTTTTATCAATAGTTAGCATATAGTTATAGTTATTTGTAAAGTTTTCAGATTATGTGTTGAAAACAAAAATTTATGTCGATCAACATTAACATAAGGTTTGCGCTATCACACATCCTGTTTTTCAAACTTTAATTATTATTCATCCCTAGCCCCTCATTAAAACTTGTTACAATATTTTGCTATCGTAAATCAAATTCTAATTTAAAAATAAAAATAACAAAAGTAAAAAAATGTCACAATTCGAAGATAACGAAAGTGAAAATATTTACTTAATGTTTCAAAAATCTCAGATGATTCGTTCAAATATTCATGGTATTTCACAAATTTTGAATACAGGACTTAGTGCAGATACTTTGGACATATGCATCAAATTGATTGAAGGTAAATGTAAAATAAAATGTTCATATTCAAAGAATAAGATCATCCTTAATAGTTATGTAGATAGATATTTTTTTTTCAAAAGACAATTTAAAAATATATATTTTTTTTAGCTGGTGTTCATCCACAAGCACTTGCTGAAGTTGTAAATCAAATACGTAAAGAGGTAGCTGAGCTAAACGAAGAAACTTGATTTATAAAAAGTTAAATAATATGTAACTACATATTACATATGTATATATATATTCCATTTTTCTTTTTGCCTTGATATTGAAATAAAAACCATTATTAGAATTTAAAAATTACGTTTATATTTTTTCATAAAACAATAAGTAGGTATTTCAGTGAAATAACCTTGGAAGTTATCAAATTTTCATTGCTTGGTTCTTAATTTTTATCTAAAAATAAATAATTTGCTAAAGTTAAAAAGTAAGCAAGTGTTTTGATAAAGAAGGCAAGATATAAAAAATAAATTTATATTTTTTGATGGAACGTGTTTTGGAGAGTCACCAGTTCCCGTATTGCAAAGAGATTTTTCACAGCAAGACGTACAAGCATATAACTTAGTTCTTTCTCCAATAGAAAAACAACCTGGTTCACAATTAACGGCACATTTCCTCTCTAAAGACCACATTTTGGGACTTGTGGTAACGTTCTCATTACTCATTGTATAGGAGAATCTTTTAACCTTAAATTTTTTTTTTGGTAAATGTTTAATAAAAAAATAATAAATTCTAAAATATTACCATGCATACAAATTCATCGGCCTTACATTTTTTTATCATATGAGAAAAATTATAGTTTCCTACTGAAAAGTCAGCGCAATTCAATCCATCCTCCATTGTCTCACATGAATAACAATACAGGTCATTTACTCCTATTCAAAATAATATTTAATTTTCTTTAAAAAATAAATCAATTGGAAACACTTACTTTCTGTTGCGGCTGAAGTTTTGTGCACAGCATTAGTTAAATATTGTGCAAAACCTAAAAAAATATGTAAGCGTGTATATTTTAAGTCTTAAAATAATTTCATGCATATAAAAACACTTACATAAAGATGGAATTGTGCATAATATAAAAAGCGCAAAGCATATCGTTTCTATTTTTTCAATCATTATCATATTAATTTAATTTCTACAAGAAATAAATTTTTAATACCTGCTTATATTTCTTTTTAGCAGATAAATAAAAATTTTCTCTTACGAAGAGTAATAGATTAACATTTATGTAAAAAATTATATAAAAATGAATCTGCGCATAAGTTCCTTTCGTTTTTGCACATCTATCTAACATTAGGTTAAGGTCACCTAATAATATATAATGAAATTTAACATTTACGAATGATGATTGTGTTTAAGTAAAAGTTCTTATTCAGTTATATTTAGCTCATTATATTTTTTTAAATTATAACATAAAAACATGTTCAAAAAGTCATATTTTTCAACCACACATGTATACTTAATCAAATTTGCTCATATCTATCAAGCTGGTATTCTCATTAATAACTATTGTTCCCGTATCTGTACTGGCAGCTACTTTATCTGAATGGGTAAAAGTAATGTCTGGTGCAACTGGATTTAACTTTTCTTTAAGTATTCCAAGAGTAATTAATATGGCTTCTTCTGTTCTAATAGTGCGTGATCCTTGAGTTGGAATTGAGTTTATGTAATAATCAAATAACAGTTTAGGTTCTTTTACATCATCCAATTTTGAATCGCTTTGAACCGCTGCTTCAAGACCCTTTAAGCCTCCAAAAACAATAAGAGCATGATCATAATTCAAAGAATTAGTTGGTATCTGATATATATTAGATCCAGTATCAGAAGTACCCACCGTTAAATTATATCCTTCTTTATACGGAGATTTCGTAAAAATTTCAGAAAATGAATGCGCTATTCTCACATTATAGCCCCAATAAACTCCAGTTCGAAATCTGGGCTCATTAGGGGAAACTATTTCTCCTTTTATTTTCTTTTTTTTCGAAGCTGAAAGAAGGTAGTATCAACTAAGTATTTTAGATTTTTAACAGAGAAGTATTATACCATATGAATCCTCTAATTTTACAGTTACACGAACTCCAGCTGGTAAAGATTTATTTACTTTTACGTCATTTAGCAGGCCAACGTTAACATAACTGGAACAAGCGCCTTCCTTCGCTTTCTTTTCTGTTATAACACCTTCCCTATACATGAACGTATTATGTAGTCGCAAATGATGTGGAGCATCTAATGGATTCAAAAGGCCAGAATATTGCAAGTCTTTGTGCAAAGGAAAAAGAAACTTCCTCAAATACTGTGGACATTCCAGGTATTGTAATATACGCGCTAATTGAATGCAACTGTGCCTAACCACTTGTGAGCCATCTAGAAAAAACTTACACATAAACAAATATTAATTTGAAATATGTAGAAACAACAAACCTTCCAGCAAAGTTTTTTTATTTTTAATAGAACTGCATATATCATCAAATATTACAACCTCGTCAATTCGAAATATACATGCTGCTCTAGCAATTTGACCAGCCAAATATGTTTTAAGCTCGAATGATTGGGCGTTTTCTAATATTGAACCAGGAACTGCTATAGACACCGTCGATTTTTCAGTTACCAATTTCTCGTCTGCAGCTTTTTTGGCAGCAATTTCATCTGAAATTTTATCGGCTTCTAGTTTTTTGATTACTGTTTCTTGTTTTCTTTTTCGTTTTACTTTTTTTGAGTTTAATTTAAGTGTTTTCATTTTTTATATAAATTTCTGAAGAAACAGCAAATTTAAATAAAAATTGTAATCAAAACTTATTTATAAACAAAGAAAATGTGTTTAAAAAAGTTGGGTGGTGCGTTTATACCACGTCCTAACTCGTCCTAACATATCATACCATATTAACATATTTATACAACACAATGATAAAAACAATTTAATTGACGTGTGAAGCATAAACTAGCACTTGACAGTACGAAAAATATTTTGTGATGTGACGAAAATTGAAAAAGAGCTGAGATTCTCCATTTTTCGATTCTCTTAGAATAATTTAACGCCAAAACTATTTTTACCGCCAGTTAGTAAAAATTTGTCATTCATAGTTGTAAAATGTAATCGTGTCGCAAAGATTTTCGTCATCACCAAACCATCAACAATCCACCTTAATTATACTAAAGTAATTCTCTAATAAAATATTTGGTCTTTCCAAAATCTCAAATACAAAACCAATTATTTTGCTATGTCGTATTATAATATACTGTATATATTATACTAAATAATATATTCTTAATAATTGTCAGTGTACATAATCAATAATATACAAAATTCGTTAACTAGTTAATGAAAATAGTTTTTTTAATTTTGACGTTCATTTTCAATAAGAAAACTATTTCATACCATTTGAATCATACAACAATTCATTTACTCTAAACACTCCGTCAAACGTAAGAAAACTTATATATGGATCTTGTCACAAACACAAGACTGTATGAAACGATTTCAAAACACAAAAGATATATGTCAAATATTGACAGCAACTTTTTCATTAATCAAATCATTAATATTCCGCAAGTGCATGAAAATAGATTTTTATCTTAAATAACCTAAATGCCACCATATACCGTTTTACAAATATTGAGATAAAGTTTTTTTTTAAATTTTAATATTTATTCTGAGAAATAACGGTTTTTTTCTAGAAATTAACGTTATTATGATGTATATATGTAAATAAATTTTTTTGTTTAAATAATCGAATTCACTTTCAATTTGGTACAGGACAATGCAAATTTATTTTCTTGATTTGAGTATTAAAAAATCTTTAATAAATAATTTTTAATTACTGAAATTATGCTCCTTCGGCAAAAAGTTGTTAATGTACATATATTGGCATTTTTAATTTTGGAAAATGTACACATTGTACATTTTGTAAGTACGTATTTTTGACTTTTGAATGCGTACGTAAGCAACCATGCAGCACCACTCTCATTATCATTCGATGATTTATGAAAATTCAAATTTTAATAAATTCTTGTATTCAAATCAAAAAAAATCTGTGGCTAATTTAAGTATTTTCTTTGCATGATATTCGAGTGAAATTACAAAAAAATGTAAGACACCAATCCTAGATAACTTTTTTAAAACCATCTGCTTCCATTATTCAATTTTCCTAGACAATTACATTTGCACATACTAAATTTCGCAACCTTGCTAAATACATACATATGTATAATAAAAATTATGGTAATTAATTTTGCTTCACAAATCATGTTATTTATTCCGGTTAGACTTATAATGTGTGATTTAGATATACATATGTATGAATTACTCAACATTGAGTAATAAAGGATTTTTGATAATTCAGACATGCACTGAAAATTCTACGTTAACATAAACTGTGCACTGAAAATTCATAGATCCACATAAACTGTGAATTGTTCATACTCGAGTTATGCTTAGACATCCAACATTTTTCTATTATGCTTTTCAAATTAATATTTTTGGGGCATTTAAAAACCTTAAAATTCATTTAAAACTTGAACAACTACTATTCTTGCAAATTCTGAAATTTAGATTTATCAAGTGCTTTTTTCAATCCCCTAATTCTGTGGCTTTCATTGCGAAAAAGTAAATTTTCGAAGTTGTTTTATATATACATATTATATAGGAAATTAATTTCAAAATTTTTGTAACCTAAATGATAAGGAACCGTACAACTATTAATTTTAAAAATGCAGTTTTATAAATTAAGCTTCCAAGTCACTTTATTATGGTAAAATTACAAAATTGTGCAATATCTCATTTTGATTTTTTTCATGTAAATAACTTTTCGAATACATACATACATCTATTAATTTTATATTAATATTAATAAAAATATATAAGAATATTTAAAAATTATCCTTTCCTCCGAAACTCTTTACGATGGAAGCATTTCTTTTCAAATTCTAAATAAGTTTTGGAGTTATTATAATAATAGTGTTGTAATAGCTCCAGCTATTTCTTTCCCTTGGTTGCTTTTTCAGCGGCTTTAGTAACTTTGCCGCTTGATGGATCTTTAAAGTTGACAGATTTTATTACACCAACAGCAACCGTTTGTCTCATGTCACGAACTGCAAAACGTCCTAATGGTGGAAATTCTGAAAATGATTCAACACATAATGGTTTAGTTGGAACCAAAATTACAATTGCTGCATCTCCTGATTTGATAGCTTTAGGAGATTCTTCAGTTGTTTTGCCTGAACGTCTATCAACTTTTTCTTTAATTTCTGCGAATTTGCAAGCAATATGAGCTGTATGACAATCCAAAACTGGAGTATAACCGTTCGAAATTTGACCAGGATGATTTAACACAATAACTTGAGCTGTAAAATCGGCAGCTCCTTTTGGTGGATTATTTTTCGAATCACCAGCAACATAACCACGACGCAATTCTTTAACTGACACGTTTTTAACGTTGAAACCAACGTTATCTCCAGGTAAAGCTTCCTGTAAAGCTTCATGATGCATTTCAACGGATTTTACTTCAGTAGTAATATTTGCTGGAGCAAAAGTTACAACCATTCCTGGTTTCAAGATTCCAGTTTCAACACGACCAACTGGTACTGTTCCAATACCACCAATTTTGTAAACATCTTGTAATGGAAGACGAAGAGGTTTTTCTGTTGGACGACTTGGTGGCAAAATGGCATCAAGAGCGTCAATTAAAGTTTTACCTATATATAAGAAAAATCTGTTAACATACTCATTTCTAACAATATTAAATCGATAAAGTAAACGGTTTTATTTACCTTCAGAATTTCCTTCTTTACGTTCAATTTTCCATCCTTTGAACCAAGGCATGTTAGTAGATGGTTCTAACATGTTATCGCCATGCCAACCAGAAATTGGAACAAAAGCAACAGCTGCTGGATTATAACCAATTTTTTTAATGTATGATGATACTTCCTTTTTAATTTCTTCATAACGGGATTCGCTATATGGTGGTTCAGATGAATCCATTTTATTAACACCAACAATTAATTGTTTTACTCCAAGAGTGAAAGCGAGTAAAGCATGCTCACGTGTTTGACCGTTCTTTGAAATACCAGCTTCGAATTCACCGGTACCAGCAGCTACAATCAACACAGCACAATCAGCTTGTGATGTACCAGTAATCATGTTTTTAATGAAATCACGATGACCTGGAGCATCAATGATAGTAACATAATACTTGGCAGTTTCGAATTTCCATAAAGCAATATCAATTGTGATACCACGTTCACGTTCGGCCTTTAGTTTATCTAAAACCCAAGCATATTTGAAAGAACCTTTACCCATTTCTTGGGCTTCTTTCTCGAATTTTTCAATTGTACGTTTATCAATACCACCACATTTATAGATCAAATGTCCAGTAGTAGTTGATTTACCAGAGTCGACATGACCAATAACGACAATATTAATATGAATCTTCTCTTTCCCCATTTCTTAAAAATAAAAAATTTTATTTTACAAAAATTTCACGTTTGGAAAAATTTCGAATTCTAATTTATTTTATTCATACTTCAGTTCAAATTAAAACCGAAAAAATTTAATTCCAGAAATTTTATTCTTACTAATTAATTTTTAATTACTCATCTCACAAAAAAAAAAAAGCACAAAAAATGGTTTTTCAAATTTAATAAAATTGAAAAATTAGAAAAAAAAAAAATAACTGCATAAACTAATTCTTTATTTAAAAAAAAAAAGAATAATTATAATAAACGTTAATTAAAAATTAAATTTGCACAAAAAAAAAACAAATCAAAAATAAAATGGAAAATGAACTTACTATTTTAATTAATTCCACAAAATTTTAAAGAAGATTAACCGAACACAAAATCGATGCTATCACGGCTACAAATCCGGACAAAGTGAAAGATTCAAACTATTAAGTATGGCTCCTTTTATTCGCCATTGCTTCAGCCACGTTGTGATCATGTCCGTCGTACATTTCCGGTTGCCTAGGTTTAAGCGGCGACTCAAATATGACTTGTTCTCTTTCGGTTATTCGTAGGAATAATATGAATTGAAACACATAACTGCGCAAGGCATATAAATTATTTCGTAAATATATAATAAAAATTCATAAACTGAATTGACAAGCTTAGATTCAAACTAAAACATAACTTTTATTTGAAAGAAATTTTAAACATGCTATAGAATTTTTATAATATAAAAAATAAAATATTCTGTTTTGCAATCAAAACAGAATTTTAATACATACATAGTTTTAAAAAAAACAGTTATTGTAAGTTTAACCACATAACTTTTTTTGACTGATTTCGTTTTAACCAATATGAAAAAAACTGCTGATATTTCCACAATTCGGCTAATTAATTTTCGACAAATTATTGCTACATTTTATATTAAAAATTTCGTAGACATATCATACTATATCATAATTTATTCATGTATAAATTATATATAAATTGATCCTGTACCACATTTGTCCTTTTTAAGAATAAAATTTCTGATTTCGAAATAATTTTTTTTTTAATTTAAATTTTGACAATCAGCTGAGCTGAATTTTAATTCTATTCATTTACAAAGCTCTGAACTTTTCAAACCAGTCACAGAATAACAGAAACAACATATCCATATAAAAAATGTGCTACACTTTCATACAAATTATATAAAAGAACGGATTTCAGATAACTCATTTATAAAAACATAATTAGGTTCAACGCAGTTATTAGGTTTGTTTGGTACAAGAAAGTTTTAAAAAACTTATACCAGGTAACTTTCGTTTTTGAACAAAAATGAGACAAAATGTTTTTTCAAGTTTTAAAAAGTAAAATTTATTGTTTTAAAAACTTTTGAAATCTTACAACTATCGAAATATGTACATATATGTTTTTCTTAGTTATGTCAAAAGTTTTTCTTTAAAAAATTTTCATCAACAATAATTTTTTTTTGAAACTTTTAATTACAAATAAAATAAAATAAACAAAATAGATTCGCAAACAATTTTTTCTAAGCTTCAAAATCAAAATTTTCGGTTTTTTGCATTACCAAAAAATTATTTGTTTATGTTTGATAAATATATTGAAATTTGATATTTTTTGCGAGAAATTACGTCATTGTTTCTCTTTTTAAAGTTTTCTCAAGTTTTATACCAGACAGACCTATTTTCTGAAAACGTCAAAGTATAATATGTTCAAGTCAAAAGAATAAATAATTTTTGGTGGATACACGTTAGGCTGAACTCACATCTTCGCCTTATTTAAGTTAAATTGTTTTGAGAAGAACTGATTTACGTGAGTTTTCATTATCACGTAAATCGCAAAGGTATTTTCGATAATGCAAACTGCAATTGCATATTTGCAATTTTCCACTTAAAATCTTAATAACTATAATAAAAGAATTTTAATAGTGATATATATATATATATGTATATATTTAAACATCTGTAAAATCTACAAGGTAACTTTATTACACTATTTTAGGATTAGGTGTGTCTAGTTATAGGCGAATTAGAGTTACTTTCGGGTGTTTGCTTTACAGGAAATTTATTGTTCCCTATTTTCGGCCTTACAATGAATTTGATCTGAGCTTTAGTTTTCAAATAGAGCTCGTCAAAGCCACAATTTTGTTTCTTTTTTGAAATTTTTTTGAAAAAACTCGAAATATCTCGAAAATTTGTTTATTTTTTCTTTTTTAAAAAAATGTAATAGTATATAACGAAAACTGCGCTACATTGTGTTCATAAACAAATGTTGCTAACGTAATTTGTTCAAATATGTTTGAGTAGCACAATTAAATTATATGAACTGTATTAATTTCATAGAGTTGTTAAAAACATATTGCATTTTTATCGCGTAAAAGCTTCTGTCAGTATGCGTTTCGCAGTTATTTGCAAAAACTATTATTGCGTTTATGAAAATCATTGATACTTTTGGAGATTTTGTAGTTTGATTTATTAAACGTCGCCCTTTATACAAAAATTAGTACTAAATTTAAAATTAATTTAAAAATTTAAATACGGATTTCTTTTTGAAAATATCCATGATTCAATTATTTAATATAATCATAATAAATTGCTCCATAAAATTACAGGGTAGTTTACCTCCAGGTAAACTATAGGTATCATTTTTATTAATTATGATTAATATTAATAAAATAATAATTTTTTCCGGTTTAAAATTTTTATTTGAATTCATTTTTAAAACATTTACACTGTGTTGTAATACAGGGTTTCTTTGTTTTTTTTTAAGACAATAGTAAAATTTTGGTTGTTTTTGACATTTTTGTTTTTAACTTGTTCCTATATAATACTATATGTATTTTTTTTATATCTTTTATATATTTTAAATAACAAAGTTTTCTTAATAGATTTTTTTTTTCTTTTAGAACAATTTGTTTCTATCTTTTTTTATAAATCCTCTAAATACAATATATTGGTATTATAATACTAAATGCTAAAAAAAATTTTGTTGAGTTCTTATTAATTATATAATATAAATTATTAGTGACTTTAAAAAAAATATATATTAAATAAACAGTTATAATTATTTTAAAATGCTTAAAGTTATTAAAAAATCAAATCCACACAAATAGAAGTTATTAGGAAAAAAATTGTAAAATAAATTTTTAAAATTGCAAACATCTGAATTTTAAATTTACATTTTGGAATAATTATTTTTTTAAAAAAATTTATACTTTAGTATTTTAGAGAAATTTTTTGTTTTAAAATCCCTTTGGAATTTCTAATTATGATTTTAATATTTATTTTTTTTTTGGAATTACAACAAACAAATTTTTTAAAATTAGAAATTTAAATTTTTCTTAAATTTTTTTAAGCATTTTTTTAATGAAACTTATAAAATAAGAAAAAAAAAACTCAAAATACGTACAAAGCATATATGTACATATAAATTGAATGTGTCATAATTGTATTTTTTTTAATAATGTACAAATATTAGATAATGCCGTTTTTGTTTCGTCTTAAACACTACTTTCAATACTAATCAAAAAATCATTATAAAAAAGCTTCGTTTTTTTAAATGTTTCTGTTGATATTATATAAATGACACCAAAAATGTAGTTATTAATTTTTAAATTTTTTATTAATCATATATTATTTACTTTTTTTAATGCCTATATATTTTAATTTTTTGTTTTTTTTTTTTTTGAAATTTTTCTATTTAATTTTTCTTTTTTATAGCTGTTATATATTTTTGTGTTTTCTATTTTTTATTTAAATTACAATAGAAAACAATCTAGATTACTTTCAAAATTTGCACTAAAATATTTCTTAAAAAAAAAAAAATTAGCTATTAGATTCTTTCCAGACTAATGTTCTTCTCCTTGTTTCGTTTTAGTTTTACAGAGATAGTAGCCATAGCCAAGCCAGAAAAATTAATCTCGTTTATATTGATTGCTTCAAAAAATCAACACAGAAATTTCATAACTACACAGGCCTCTGTCATCATTATCACAAAAAAATTAGTGATAGATAAAAATTGAATGATAAAAACTTTTGATGACAGGTTTCTAAATTACAAATTTAGTTTTGGGAGAAAAAAAATGCAGTAATATTGTAAAAAGAAAAAACTAAAAAAGCAGAATTATGAAAAGGACTAGTCTAGAAAAAACATATTAGATTTAACAGCTAAATTTTGTGTATCGATTCTTTCAAATATAAATTTTTAATTAAAATTTTTTTCTTTTTAATTTCTGAATGGAATTATTACATTAAATTTGTTTAAATTTTATTTGCTATGGATAAAAGAATATAAATACCTTATATATATATATATATATATAATATGTATATATATATACAACTATATATAATATACATAAATGTAATCTAATTTGTTTAGCTACTTTAGTTTATAATTTTTTAAATTATTTTTTAATTCATATTTTTATTATGTAATATGTATTAATAAAAAAAAATATCTATATATATATATATATCTAAGTATACATTACTATAATAATAATAATTAATATTTAATGTTTTTATATAGGTTTTGTGTACAATTCTTTTTTTTTGTTTTTTAAATTATATTTGTATTTCAATTTTTTATAAATTTGCTTAACTATAAATTATATTGTAACTTATATAATATGCATATATATGTTATATAATTTTAATAATTTGTAACTTCCTTATAATTTTATATATTCGTTAGTAATATTTTTTGACTAAGTTCAAGAAAAAAATTTGTATTTTAAGAATGATATTTATCGTCACAGAAGCAAAAAATTAATCAGAATGTAAATTATTTAATCTTATTATTTAATATAAAATATAAATAAATTTTATATTTTATTTCAGTGTCTATTTTTTATTGTTTTACAATCGAACATTAGAAATAACTATTATTGTATAAAATTATGCAAATTTATAAATACATTTTTTTTTCGAAAATATATTTATATTTATAAAAGATACATATTTATAATTTTTTTTGTTTCTAAGTGTATTAAGCTAAAATTTGTTTAAATATCATATTTTGTTTTTTTAAATTTTTTTGGTGTTATCCTGGAAAATTTATTATATTTCACTGAAAAATGGATGGTTTATTTTGAAAATGAGCTAAACTCAATTCACAATTTCAGCTTTATTCTATTTCCAAAGCAATGATAATATCAATATTTGGAATTAAAATTTATGTTGTTGGATAGGAAAGCAAATATATTATAAAGCAAATAAGCAGTTAACCAAATTTTGCTCACTTTAAACCCAAACGCAATATAATTTCATTTTTGTTTGAAATTGGATATTACCTAAACTTTCAAAATAAACCATCCAAATAAAATTGAAATAAGAAAAGCTGTTCTATTGAATGACAAGTAACCAATTTCTTTTTTGTAAATTGCTTACAATTTAGATCAAAATCTTTTGTGCACAATTTTACATTTTCATTAAAATTAAAAAGAAAAACCAAAAAAAAAAGAATTCAGGTACGAATCTTTAAGGAACATTTGAAGTGTTGAAATACAAAATAGAAAAAAATTCATATTTTAATTTAATAGGACTTCATAGCACTGTTCGATTGACTATATTAAAAAAATTTATTATAATCTTAAAAGTTAAAAAAATGTTGAATTTAAAAAGAATAAAGGCCTATTCAGAACGCTGCGAAATTAGGAGAGCAAATATTTTTTAACCAAACTAATTCGGGCAAAACTGCTTTTATGTAACTTTGAGGAGATCTATGAAAGTGAAAAACAAATATAATAGTATTAAATATAAAATTTTAAAAATCTCACACTCCCATTCATTATATTATAGATTACGTTAAACTATAATCTATTGTTCGATTATTGGAACAAATTGGTTTTAGTCCCGCTGTCAAAGCTATTTTAGTTTTCTATTGCCTGTTGGGGAATGCTTCAAAACTTTTTTAGAATGTTTGAGGACTGCTTAAAAATTTTTGATCAATACAATTTTATAATTATTTATGAAAGAAAAATAATTACTAACAATTATTTTATATATTTAAATTTTCATCCCACAGCCATTATGAGATTTCCAAATGAACAACAAAATCTAAAAAAGTAAATTGCAAAACAAAGTTAGTAGATTCTTGTAATTCAAATGGTATAATATGGTTTTTAAAAAGATCTAAAGGGAAATTGAAATTTTTTTTTAATGTTATTACGATTTTGATTTGAAAAATAAAAATATTAAAATTAAATTGTACATTTTTGCTTTCATAATAAAGGCAATTATCATATTAAAATCAATTTTTAAACGTTAAAAAAATTTAAAACGAAAAATATTTCAATTATTTTTAAATGCCGAAATTATTAAATATAATATCTTTAGTTAATAAGATATTGTTTGTTATAGGGATTTTTATTTTCAATTTCAATTTCTTTTGATATCTGATTGTGTGTTTTTTCTGAACTAAATACATAAATAAATCTTCTTCTGAACTATAAAATAAATGATCGATATAACATTATCAATTATAATTGTTTTTGTAATAAAATCTATATAAATTTAATTAATTTTTATGCAGAACTCCTAACATTTTCTTAAAATTAAAAAATTATTGTGCAAAACAAAGTCTGTGATCAATTTATGAAAAAGATTTCAAAAAAAATTATTTTTTTGTTTTTTTTTTTTCGTTTTTTGCTTACATATATAAATTAATATATATTTATATACATATAATTAATATATACATATATTATATATATATATATATGCACATTTTGAAAAAAATTTTTAAGTAAATTTTTAATTTTTGCATCTTCTACAATATAAATTTTATTGCCGTGAATTTTAGCGTTAGAATAAGCCTTTCTTTTTCTTGTCTTTTTTCTCTTTGCCATCAACAGTTCTGTAAGGAAACAAGCAAATAATTAAAGGACATCAAAAATTTTTTTTATCAATAAATTCAGTCTTATAAATTGAGTTTAATTTCTTTTTTTTTATGAATAAAAGTTTTATGATTATGATTGGATGATTTTCAATACTAATTATGATGAGGTAAATCAAGATTCTTTTTAATAAATATTCGCGGTTTCAAATGCTTTAGAAAAGTAAAAAAAAAAATAGATTTTCTGATACATATATGTATATAGGTAGCAACTAATGATTATTGTTTCTTCTTTCTATTTAAGAATTATATACAAAAATTTGGAACAGGAAAAAAAAACATCAAGAATAGAAAATATGAAAAAAAAAAATAATGTTAAATTAGTTAATACATAATATATAAAAAAGTTTAAAAACAAAATTAAATAACAATAAACATTTAATTATGAGTAAAATGACACATAGTAAATGGCTTTTCTAATAGGATTAGTAAAAAAGTAAAAAATTGGTGCGCATTAAAATTTCAAATTAATCATATTTTTGTTTAATATATAAAATTTACTTACTAATTACACAAAAAAAGTAAACAATTAAAGTACAATATTTTAAAATGTAAAATGATTTCGAATAAATTTAGTTTTATATTTTTAAATTTTGTCGTACACACATAGGCTTTCATTTTATCAAATTTTCTTGAATAAAAAAAAAGGAAATAATTGATTCAATCAATGATACGAATAATGATTATTAATTTTATAATTTGAGATTCGAAAAAAAAAAAAAATAAAATTGTATGCATATAAATTATTTAAATAGTTCATTTCTAGAAGAAATTTAAAGTACAAAATATTTTGCTTAAATATCTAATAATTTTACATTAAAACAAATTAAAATTTTGTCGCCTCGTTAAGCACTGCAACCTCTTTTCTATTATAATATATTTTCTTGCTTTATTAGATATTGGGATTGGCATAAAACAAAAAAATATTTATTTATACATTAAATAATATTAAACATATGAAATTTAAAATAGTACTATAAGAAAAAAATTTGGTTCTTATTATAAGGTAGGTATTATCAAATTTTCAAAATGTTTATAAAAGCTATTTGTAAAAGGATTGTTATTTTAAAATAAATTTAACAAACAATTTTAAGTAAATAAAGAAAAATATAATATTTTATAATTAAATTAATGTTGCATGTATGTATGAATAAAAATAACTTGAATAATATAATATAATAATTAAATTTTTTGTTAAATTTTAAATTATTTTTTTTTATTATAAATGTTGCGATAGTTAGGACATGTGCATGTTTATTAAAGACATAAATACTTATGTGATACAATTATGATTTTCTTTATTAAATTCTTAAAAAAAAATTGGATTTTGTAATTAAGTACGCAAATTCTTTTTACTTAGGGCTACAAAAAGAACATAAAATATCATAATTAAAAAATTATTTTATGAAAAACAAAACATACTTATACTTCTAAATAAGAAGTTTTTATTAAAATTTTTTCCTTAATCATTGAATTAAGTATCTTTTCTGAATTTCCTTGAATTTACTATTATTATTAAAAATGCTTACTAAATTGTTCAACTTAGTAAAGTGACTCATTAGAGTATGTTATGATTCATTTAAATACATGAATTACAAACATGAATTATAAATTAATTCAAAGTGGTTGTTTTGTGTGCCTATTTTTAATTTATGTATAAAAAATAAAAACAAATGAATTCATTTTTATTTTAGCTAACTAATAACAACAAATAGCTTCATTTTTCAAGAAAAAATTTTTCACCGATTTTTTTTTTTTTTTTGCAAATAATCAATGCCTAAATCTTTTATAAAATCTTATTTCAGAAAAAAATTAAAATCTTTTCATAATAATGCTTGCTCATCTCATATTAGTCGCTTTAAAGGAACGGAACTCCTTCCCAAAAAAATTTATTTAAATTGGAAGTGTCGGAATTATTTGAGAAAAATAATTTTTTTTTTAATAACAATTTTATTATGCCACAAAATAATTAAACCAGATGTATTATGACTTTTAAATTTAGACAAAATTAAATATTATTAAATATTTTTTAAAAATTTTTATTATTCTATGATAAATAAAACAATAGAATAATAAAAAAATTTAACAATTCTTAATTCAACGTTTAAATAAGTTAAATTATTAAAAAAAAAAATTGAAAAACTGTTAAGAAAAAAAAATAGAAAAGCTATAAGGTAAAATTACAAATAAATATTATGTTATTATAAAAGTTTCTAATATTGAGTTTTGCTGATATGTTAAAGTGCTATTTTGAATTTTAGATGAAATATGTTTTTTTTATTTAAGTATATTTTTTTGTTATGAATTTATTCAATTTTCTTGATTAGCATGTTGACTATTACAATGTGCTGGGGGTAATGAATTTGAATTGTTTGGTCCAAGATTTGATGGTGTCGTTGTTGGTGGACCTCGTTGACCATCAGGTGCACCAAAACTTGTGTGACGACGCAGCAATGATCCAAAAACACGACGCCCTTTCGATTCATCAGAATTTCTTGATGACATTGAAGCCGTCCTGTGAAGATTTTATTTATTTTTTTGGAAATAATTTTTTTTTCTTGTTTTTTTTTTTGTTTTCATATTTTCATATATCTAGGGATCCATAACAATATTTTCCATTTTATAAACTACCACTTTTTTGTTATACATTATTATTTTTATTTTAATTTTATTTCGTAATGATATGATTTCATAAAATTTACTTAAATATATAATTTAAAATAAAAGAAAAAATATTAATAAACGAGGTGATTATACAAAAAATATTTGTATAATTTGTTATAAATTTAACAGTTTATTATATTAAATATAAAAATTAATAGAAATTAAACTGATTAAAATTCGTTCTAATTTTAATTTAATATTTAAGTAAATTCGTATAAGATTTTCCGATTAAATATAAGTAAAAATATAATATTAAACTGAAGTAAATGAATAACTTTGATAATAACTAAATTCCTATTTTCATAAATTATTTCAATTTCATATTTTCTAAACTAACCTTGTTAATCAACTTGAATAAATATGCATAAAGATAATTTTAACTTAATTATTTTAAAATTTTAAAATGCAAAAATTTTGAAATTTATTTAAAATTATATTTATTATAACAAATAATGACAAAAAACTAAAAATAAAACATGTATTTTTATTTATTATTTGTATATTGGGATGTATTTAAAATTACATTTAATTTGAAAATTAAAATGAGTTTGATGCTATAATTTTACAAAAATTTGAGTTTGTAAAATTATTAAAATAACACTCGAGACTTGGAGTATTTTGGACAATTAATATTTCTGAAAAATTATAAAACTATGAATATATTTTCATAAGTGTTGTCACATTAAACTTAAAATTAAAACCCTTAATATGTATCAAATATTATGCTTCTTCTTTTTGTGCGTTAGCTTATGGAAAAACATATTCACCCATTCCACTGACGTTTAAATTCTGATTGAAGTCAAAAACAAATTCCGTAAAACAAATTTTTCAATACCGCCGATTTTTTTCAAATAAACACTGTTCATTTTAAGAAAGTAATTTTAATTTTAATAAATTTCTTGTGAACTACTTAATCTCTAAAACCTTATCTTACTCGTAACTAATAATCTACTAAAACCTTATTTTTAGAACCCCAAAAAAAGATCAAAGAATTTTTGCATTCTAAAATTTTTTAACAAATAAATTTATTACCAAACAATAATAATAATAACATGCATTAAATTAGAATATCGATATTATTATTATTGATGATTAACACTTTACTTCCAGATTTAAAAAGATATTTCCAATTGAGTTTATTAAAGAATTTTAATGTTTAGTTTATCTAATTTTGATTTTAAAAGAAATGTTACTAAAAATTTTTTTTGAACTTCCACGTTTGTTGTAGAAAAATAATATTCAAATAACTTTCTTTAGGGGTTCAATGTTATTTGAAAAAGCCAATAACTACAGATTTGCAAAAATTATTTATCACGGTCCATTTAAAAACCAAAAAAAAAAAAAAAAAAACAAATTGTAATGCAAACTTTAAAGCTAACAAAGAAAAATCATAAAAACAAATATAACATTTTAAAACAGCAACCACTTATAAACTAAATGGCATTCATATTTCTTAAACCTAGCAGCTTTTTTTTCATTTTGTTAAACTATCATAATTTATATTAGTTTTAAAATTGAATAAAACACTTGTAACAAAAAGGCACATAGTTAGAAATGATGAAAAATTTATGAAAAAATTAAAAAATATTTTGTGAGTATTAATACTTGAAAGACTCATATTTGGAAAAAAAAATTACCCTTAATTTTAGTGGATTACTTTTACTTAAATACTCGGTAAAATTGGACATGCCACATTTGTAATTATTTAAAAATTGAGAGTAGAATTAAAAAAATTCCCTTTAAACCGTTAAATATAGATTGTCGAAACATATACCCTTGAAAAATGAGAATAGAGTTGAGTTAAAACACTTTTATCGAAGGAGCACAGATTTTTCTTCCTCTTTATGGATTACTATAATAGAAGTATAGTAATAATTTGAATAGAAGTATAGTAATAATTTAAAATTTGATATACCTTCTAATTAATTAAATTAGAAATTTAAATTTTAAAATTTTTGTAATGAATATAATATTTCATATATAAATAGATATATTATATGTAATACTTCTTGGAAGTTCTGTTTAGAAAAGCAATTAAGTTAAAGTTTTTGTTTCCCAAATATTGAAAAAATGTTACACGGATATATATAAATTTTCGACTTAAAATACGTATGTATACAAAAAGTACAACAAATACTCACAAAATATAATTTAAAATGCAACTAAGTTAATGCACAAACAATTTATTCGTAAAAATGAATTTAGTTTTTAGTATTAAATTTGAAATTTTTCTTGTACAAAAACAAAAAAAAATTCAAAATTAAGTAAATTTTTAGTAGCTATTTTGTAAGCGAATTTTATAAAAAATTTTTTATAACATCCACACATATGCCATAATTACATCAATAAGAATTGTTTTTTATTTTAATTTTTAATTTCACATTATATTTTACTTACTCTTTACTATTTGCTTCTAAACTTCGTCTTCGCAGTTCATCCAATGTAATATTATTTGACTCTTCCCATTCTTTCTTTTCTTGTTCAAAAGCTCGTCGTCTTTCTTCAAGTTCACGTAATTGTGAGTCAAGTGCCTAAAATTTTTGTATTTTATTATCACTTTTGTTATTAATATTACATATGGAATATAATTTTTAGTTTTGTAATAAAATAATTCATGGACATAAAGTTAATGATTATGGTACTTATAATAGGTACAATTATATTATTTTTGGATATTTCAAAACGAATTGGTACATGTTTTACTTTTTATAATAACAAACCTTCTTTCGTTCTTCATGTCGTCTTGTTAACTCTAATTCAGAATCCTTTAATTTTTGTTTTTTCTCTTTTACTTTCATTTCGAAAACCTGTTCCATTTCTGCTTCCATTTTTTTCATTTTTAAGTCATGTTCTCGTTTTTCTTCTTCCATTTGAGCAAGGGGATTCCTTTATAAAAAAAAAATAAAAAAAAATTGTATATAAATTTACAACAAAATAGAATTTTACAATTTTAAAATTTAAATAAATTAAAAATTTCTTCATAGTTTTTACGAAGATATTTTTGTCTCTTATGAAAACTTTTATTATAAAAATCGTTTTATTGTTCATTGTAATTATGTCGTACTTTTGTTGAACAATAAAACGCACATTAAAATTAAAAAATTATTTTTCATGTCAAACACATAATTAGAAAATTGTTTAACATTAAATTTAGCAAAAAATTGTATATACTACGTGGTAGTTATTATGGACGATAAATTTGTGAAATTTTTTAAATATGTAATGAAATTGAAAATACAGTACATGTATGAATAATTGGTTTTAAAAATTAATTTAAAAATCTCTGATTAATGAATGATCAAATTAAAACATTGAATTTTTATGATAATGGTTTTCAAAGGATATAAAAGTAATTTAGCTTAAATAAAGGCTATTAATAATTAATATATCAAAACATTTAAAGCTGTTTAGGGGAGAAAAACTTAACTTTTGGTGAAGTGTAATAATGACAAAGAAAATAATAATAATAGCAAATTTTTTCTCTTAATTTAACTTCCCAAAAAATAAGTCAGTTTTTGAATTTTTCAAGCAATCATATTTAAAAATGAATGTGATTCCTTTTGATATATATGAAACCTTTATTTTCTTTTTATATAACAGAAATTACATAATAACAAAGGATTATAAATATAGAAGCGGCTTTTATTTTGCGGTTAAATTTTTACTAGCCGCATCGCATAAATTCAGAAAGGTATATTAACCGCATCAAATTTTACAGATCAGCACTTCTCTTTCTTTGACAAGTGAACTATCTGGTATTTCTATTTATTAGGCGTCAAGTTTTTTAAAAGTTATTAATTTTAATTTCAGTTCTTTTCAAATCTCCCAATTAATTCCTTTGTTAGACTAGCTTTATACTGTTATTATAAATATCACTCGAAATGCAATTTTGTAAACCATATGTCCCCCATCTGACTTCTCTTAATTAATAAATATGAAATTATTGAATGAATTCTCAAACAATATGAAGCATGAAAACAAAAATTTTTTTTTTATAAATTTTTTTTCAATATTACAATAATTGTTATCGAAGGGTTAAAAATAACTTAAAAATATTTTTAAATGAATATAGACAACCAGAATTAACAAAACCACTAAAATTGTTCAGATAAAAAAATTATTTTTTATTTTTGAAAAAGGCAATCAACAAGGGTACTTGAATTTATTTATGTTTTTTAGAGAGATGTTTGGGGTCGCATAATTATTTAGACATTGAAAATGATATTAGTTATTTACAGGATATTATAAATCACATTAAATCAGAGAAATCAAACTGAATATTTTTTTTAGATCAAAAAATATTTTAGGAATGATAATTTAACTTATTCAGCAATTAAAATTGTATCGCTGCAATATTTTATTTTATATTTTACTGCGACTTAAATCAGGCACCATCAATTTATCTTTATATTTAAAAAAACTTAACAAAACTAAATTTATTGTCGCATTTTTTCACATACATATGTAATTCAAATAAATTAATATGAAGCTTAAAAATAAATTTGCGCAGAAGTTTTTGTTATTGTAAGAATCATTGTTCACGAGTAATTCCTAGCACAAGAACCGCTGCATTTATTGTTTTAAGTCGCACTTAATTTTAAAATAATAAATATTTTTGAAATCGGTTACAAGTAACAAAAAAAATAAGTACAACAAAACAAAAATAAGAAAAAAAATCAAAGAGCAAATTAAATGGTAAAATAAGCTAGATTTTTTTTTCAAGCTAACGGAAAAGCTCCTGCAAATATTTTTTTATCCATTATAAGAAGAAGAAGAAACACAATTCAAAAATTGAACTTAATTTTCCTCTTTGGTTCCTTAAACATTAATAAAGTTTAAAAAAAAAACACAAAAATATTGAGAAATTTTACTTTCGGAAATATTTATGTAAAAATACGTAAAATTTAAAGGAATATACTCAAAAAAGTTAATATATGTATATTAAAAAAAAATGTTTTTCTTTAAGAATTTCAAAATAATATTGCTGGGAACAAGAATTTAAAAAAAAAATCAAGAAATCACCAAAACTTACCAAACAGTCATAAAGCTATTCATTATTCCTTGAGGGCATAAACTAAGAGAAAGAAAGATAATGTACAAAAATAAATGAGATATGAGAGAATGACATTTCTTTTTCTATAAAGAAATTTTCTTGTCTCGATTTAATTATAAAAATGGAAAAATAAACTACAATTATATTTTATTTGGTTTTTAATTTCTAAAAAAAACTTAAATCCAAATTAAAGTCTATATTAATTATAGTTGAAAAAAAATTCTTGGAATGATTTGAAGATGCAAATGTTTCCTCAATAAAATACTTAACAAAAAAAAATTATAATATGCGCTAGTAAGAAGCATTTGAAAAAAAAAATTATAACAAAAATATAAGAATAAGGAAATATAATTTTTCCAACGAACAAATAATGTGAAGTTATTACACTTTCTTAGTTTTCAGAATCAAAAAAAAATAATAAATAAAAATAAATACTATTGTAAATATAAACAAGAAGCTTTGAATTCTAAAAGTTTATAACAATAAATATTAAAAGATTATTCTTCAAATTTACAAATGAAGAAAACAAATTACTTACTTATTCGACATTCTTGTTTTTCCATCATTACCAAGTCCTGCCAACTTCCTGCACCTATAGTTTTCATAATGTACGCTATTTGTGACATCTTTTAAGTCTTGCAAATGTGTCCTTATGACCATATTTCTTAATGCAATGAAGTCACAGTGTTCCAAATTTTCAACTTTTTTAAATGTGTGAAAAAAAGGAGAGCTTATGAAAATTTCGTAATTTATAAATTTAATTTTAATATTTCGATGTAATTAATTATATGCTTTAATATACAATTATAAATATCTATATAGTAATTTCCTATAAGGTTTATGAGATTTTAAGAACTAAATTTTTAAAATATTCTTATACATCAATTTAATATTTAATTATTTTGTTTTTGTTTCGTTTTATATTAAGCAGTATAAAGAAAATAAATTACCTTCAGCTATGCCCCATGGATATCGTCTACCACGTATTTTTTTACCATCAACTTCAATTACTGTATTAGCACCAACAATCGCGAATGGAACACGATTTTTTAGTGTTTTTAAAACTTTGGCTTCTTCTTCGTCTTCTAGAGGTTCAGGAAAATCATAAATTTTTATTTTATGTTGAGCAATTTCATTTAATATTTGTTTCTTAAACAATTGCACCTCTTCAGGTGTCATTGTATCTGCTTTAGCAATTACTGGTATTATATTGACTTTATCGCATAATCTTTGCATAAATTCAACATCTAACGGTTTTAAACCATGTCCAGATGGCGCTATAAAATATAAACATAAATGAACACGGTTATCTGGGGTTGCTTTTCGATGAACACGAGATTCCGCAGTTAAATATTCTTCATATTTACTTTCGATAAAATCAATTATTGGAACCCAGCTACAAGAAAATAATTACTAACAATATTAACACTTTATTTTATAAAAAAAAAACAAAAAAAAATCGTTAAGCAAATGTTACAACATTACCAGTTGCTGTTGTCAACGGCATCACCGAAACCGGGTGTGTCCACTACTGTTAATGATAAATTTACACCATTTTCCTTTAATAGAACTTTAGTAGATTCAACTGCAACCGTTTTTTTAATACGTAGTGATGGCCCAGGATATTGATCTTGGTTATATATATCAGATAAAAACATTGAATTTATTAAAGTTGATTTACCCAAGCCGCTTTCTCCTAAAATGTTGAAAAATATATAAATTGTTTCATATATGGTACACCAAAAGATTTTCACTTTATTTTACCTACTACCATTAACGTAAATTCGAAACCTTTTTTAACTGCCTTACGATAAACTTGATTTGGAAGATTTGCGAATCCTACATAACCATCTAATTCCTTTGGTTTCGGTCTTACAATTTGTTTTTCTTTATCAACATAACGATCATTTGCAATTTTATTTGAGTCAGAATGACCATCATTATTTATCAATAATTGTTGTTGTTTTTCTTTAAATGACAAATTATTTAAATTATTTGTTATTGCACTGACGTTAGGTGTAGTGCCATTAATTCCATTCGTAATATTACTATTATGAGTAGTTGTACCATTCAGTACTGGAGCAATTGTTGAATTATTCATTATTTGTGACCCTTGAATATTTTGGTGCTTTTCATTTGTTGGCGTACTATTCTGTTTTTAAAAGGAAAGCGAAAAGAATTAAATAAATAAAGCTTTAAAAAAATATTCAAATTAACAAAACAAAATGAATTTTTTTTTTAATAACTAAACTTATGAATTAATAGTTAAAATAATTAAAATTAGTTAATAATTAAGAATTTTTTAATAATTAAAATTATAAGAGCTTTAAATGCGAACTTTAAGAATTATATAAACAAGTACATACCTGTGATGTTGAATTACTATTTACGTGACTATTTGGTATTGGTGGATTCGGTGGAGGTCCTGACGGGCTGCCATGAGAGTCAGATTTAAAAAACATCTCACGCTTATTTTGAAGCTGAAAAAATGTTTCGATTAGTATAATATTAGAGCTAATAAATTTAAGATTTAATATTTTTAAGGTATATCCACAGTATTTTATAAAGGATATAATGTTAATATTTCCAGTATAATCAGTAAAACTCTAAATTACATACATTATGTCAACATTATATACACTACTCAGATGAAGGAGTTTATTTCAAGTAACGGAATTTAACAATCTTAACTAGAATTTTTTATTCATTGAACATTTATAATTTTAAAGAAGCATTGATCAAAACAAATTTTTACATAGATTTATTTTTATTTTCAAATTAACTATTTGAAATTATACTTAAGTGCTTTTTTTTACAATAATGTAATGCAAGCAGTCTTTTTTTACATTGGAACTTAAAGATGACACAAAGTGTTGTAGAGCAAGGTGATTTGTGATCTAAACCAAAAGAGAAACAAAAAGATCTCAAAATTTTGGATTAGATCTGACATAAATTAATGCTAGCGTCAAAAACAGGAAATTTCAAAGATCTTATAAGAATGCTTGTTACATACTTAAAATAAAAAACATAATTATACATAGCTATATACAAAAATAATTAAAAAAAAACAAAAACGAATTATGAACAAGTTTCATTGTGCGCAAACTTGTAAGCGAATCTGAATAACGTATGTAAAGTTTGATATAGAAACACAATCAAAATGCGAAATCAATTGTCATTAAAACAATGTTACAGGCAATATTTGATGTAACCAAAACCGTTTTACAAAATCAGGATATAAAATTTATCGTTACCTTGATGTAGCTTAACTATAGAAAAAAAAATTCAGTACTGGACTTATGCTGCGATTGCACTATTTATCTGATTCCAACATATAAAATAAATAGTGCAATATAAAAATAAACAAGATAATTGAACTTGTCAAATATTTAAACTATACTTACTATTTACACTTGATAAATTATCGTATATGTATTTGTTTACCAAGAAAAACGTTAAAGGTTCTTTTTTGAAGCATACAATTTTGAAGTCAGGGGATTCAATTAAATTGACTAAATTTGAGCCTTTTTAACTTTTATTAATAATTTTTTGATAATGTATGTATGTAGAACAAAAAAAAATTTCTTATGAGAGAAATCAATTCGTTCAAAAGCGAACTAATAAATCTAGCTAGATATCTTCGGAATTGCAGTCATATCCTATAACTACACATACAGTTTAGCTTAATGGTAATTGTCGAATTGTGTAGCGATAAAGTTAAGTTACGCTCAATTTTAATGTCGGCGATAATAAAAATATAATTTAATAGTAAAATCGAAATTTTTGTCTGTATATGTATACAAAATATGTCATTATATACAAAAAAAAAAAAAAAAATTTAAAATATTTACAAATTATTAGTCATTGGTTCGAAACAATAAAAAAAATAAAAATTGTACCTGAAATTGAAAATGCAATTTTTATTATCATATGCAACTGAGAAAATTCTTATTAGTGAATTCGATAGAAATAGAATATTTTTGCAATTCAAAGAGTGTTTAAAGAATTCTAAATTTTTGTTTGTTTGTTAAGTATAATAATAACATTCATCATAGCATTCTATATTTTGTATGATCAAAATACGAAATTTAGCGCTCATAATAATCAATACCAAATTGAAGATAATTCTATAATAAATGCTACTATGCAATGTTTACAAAGCTTTACTATGGTTGAAAAAGTAATTCTGAAGATGTTCGATATTTAATAGAAAATTTACAGTATAGAACTGATAATTGTAAATCATTATTACTTACTTATAAAAAATATGCTTTTTATATAACGCTTAAATAATAACATTTAATTAATCAGAAATTTCTTACAAAATATTTATACATACTTATGTATAGTATTGTACATATATTGTAATATTAAATTTAATAATTACAAAATACATAATAACAGATAGGTACTTTAATGAAAATATTCATATATATGGACTTAGTGTACATATATATGAATATAAATATACATGCTATATAAATGTATAAATATGTATAAGTACATATTATGTACGTAAGTATGTACTTCAAAAAAAAAAATGAATGGAATCTTTGCGTAATTAAGAAGAAGAAAAGAATAATTCAATGCACTTTTTATATCAAACTTTTTAGGTAAATATTGTGCTTACATATATTTTTCTAAATAAATTACAAATACACATATACCTAAGTATGTGCACACTGTGTACAACGTGAACGTATCGTATAAATATTATGCACGTACGAATGCATTTATGTATATAGAACTCTATACTTATGTATATGAGTAAGTAAATACATAATCGGAAAAAGCAAAAACTTGATTTTTTTATTTTATTATTTTCTTAAAAAAAATTATTTTAATCATTTAAATTGTTTTATTTTTTTATTTGTAATAAATTAACAACTTGAAATATTTTTTTTTTATTAATACATTTGGTATATACATGTACATGTTATATAAGAACAGGGTACACTCAGTACTTACGGAAGATGACGATATTGGTGATTTTGATGGTGGATCATGATCAAGATTTCGTTTTAAAAATATTGGACTTTTTTTATGTAAAATTTTTTCTGAATCTTCTTTTATCATTTGATTAAATTTAGAACTTAATTCAGAAATTTTTGAACGTGGTATACTCATTTTAAATATTTTTTTTTTCTTTTTTTGTATTTCAATCACTTTAAATTTCTATTTTTTATTCTCGATCGAATTACGTATGTATGTAATATGAAATCGAAAATTTTTGTTTAAAAAATAATCTTTTGTAATTTATTCTTGATTTTTTCTTTAAAAAAAAAAAAATTACATGAAAACAATACACTAGCCACACTTTGATATAAATTTAATCACCCTTTCCGAATAAATTTAAATTTAAAATAAATTTATCAAAATTAATTTTAGTTATGAATAATTCTATATGTATAAATATGTATGTATATGCATGTATGTATATATTAATACTTATATCGGTGCATAAAGAGTGTTATCTTTCATTGAAACATTGTTGTAACCTACATAAAATTGATTTTATTAAATTATTTATTTATAACTTTAACTTGAAAATAATTTCCGTTTTCTTGACCATTTCAAAGATTATAAAACAGAAAATTAATGAATATCAAATTTATTAAGTAAATAAATTTCATTAATTTTCAATATTTTTAATTACAAAAATAAAGTTATTTTTTTTTTAATCCGATATTTGACTTTTTTTATGTTTAATCTAACCAATCACTTTTTTTAAACTAGAATATCTGAAATATTTTTTTCGCATTTTTTATTTTATTTAATTTCCCATACAAAAAAAAAAGAAAAATCCCATTTGGACATCGCATTCACCACACACTCATATAAAGCAAATATTTTAAATAAAAAAAAAAAATCGAAATAAAGCATAAAAAAGCACAATAACAAAAGCCTGGAATTGGCGAAAAAAGTATAAAAATATACATAATATTTATAAATATATATATATATGTTACTTGTATAACTACATATGCACACAAAAGTAACAAAATTAAGTTTATGATTCATAAAAAGTATAGAGAATTTATACGTATGTATATTCAATATATTCAACACACTGGAGTATCCAATACACCTAAATACCCCACATTGATGTACACGCTATGCATATGATTTTAAATTTTTTATTTTTATGCTTGTTTTTTTTGTTTATTCCATATGTAGTCTAAATGCAGAGTACTTATACAATATATATTATGCTTTTATAAGAATAAGAAAACAAAAAAAAAATTCAAGAGTACAGTGGCGATAGCTACACTTTAAAAAAAAAACTAAAATTCATTAATATGAGTGGTGTAAATAATTTTATGGTTATTTAAATTTTTTTCTATTTTTTAATATTACAGTTATTTGCTTAAAACCGCAAAACATAGAGGCATACATAGTATGTTGTACAAATCTGTATTATCCAGGAAATTATGCACAATGTATACTGTAGATATGTAAGTATACAGATGATCAATAATAAGCGAGTTAATTAGAAGAGAATATATTTCACGAGGTCAATACAAATACTACCAAATAATCTTTTTTGACAAACTTCAATGGCTTAATTAGAGAAGCTCTCGAAAATATGAAATGGACATAAATGTCGAAATATTATGCCTAGTCTTTTTTAAATTAAATATTAGATAAAAAGAGGGACATACGGAATGACAACTATTATATCTAATTCCGCCCCAAAAAGTTTACATATGGCTCTTGCTTCAGCAATATAATCCGTTCGCTCTCGCGTTTTCCTCCACATTGTTATAATTAACATTGCATAACTTTATACAAACTACTATTATCCGTCTTGTCACTATATTTTTTTCACAATACACGGACCTCGGCCTAAAGTATGTCGAGGCAATTTGGTAAGTTTTGGAAATTTTTAATATCTGCGAATGTGAGTAGGTGCTCTTTCTCGAATATTGATATCTCTAATGGGTGACCATTTTACTACAAAAATAATTAAGAATAGACCTTAAAAATAAACCTTTAGGTTTTTATAAAAATGGCAACCTAAATACGTTATTACTTCCTATTGAATTTATAAACCAAATTCCTTGCTTCAGTACGATTACATTATGTATGTACATATAAGGTTACAAAATCGACGAATTGTTGAAAAGAAAAAGTAACAAAACGAATTTTTGCTACGAACTCGTTCTTACATTGTTTCCGCAAAAAAAAAAACACTAATTTTCGAAAATCCTATTAATCGTTAAACTTTAACAAGAAACTTATAAATATATACATATGTATGTACGTTATATATATGTGTATATCTACATCAATTCGAATCATTATTTATTTGTTTGAAAATCACATATGAAATGTTATTGTTTAAATTTTGTTGATATTTTACAATTTATATACAATAGTGCTTTATTATTTTTGCAGTTTCTTGGGTACATTATGGTATTAACAAGTAACAATAATTAATTTAGTCTTACCGTTGTAGTAGTAGACGACCTAACTGTTGTAAATTTTACAGAGTTTAAAACTCCGTTACTTGCAGTTGTCGTTCGAATTGACGTATTTTTCGTTGTGTTATTCAATCCACTTAAAGTATTGTGATGTTCACTATTATTTATTAATGAAGATGTTAGAGATGATTTTGATGAATTTGTAGAGGAATCTATACCATTATTATCATTAATTATTAAATTTCGAGTATTAGAAGGAATATTATTATTATGTTGCTGATTTATAGCATTATCATTGTTTTCATTATTAAAAGTTATTGCGGTATTACCTAAACCACCATTTTGTTCAAGAAGACGTTGACGAGATGCTAACCGATCTAAACTTGCAAGACGATATGACCCACCAATTTTATCCTATATAGGCAAGACACATACATAAATGATTTTTGTTTTCTGTTTTTACTAGCAATAGTTGTTTATTTGAATTAAAAATTTTTTTTTGTTACATTTTCATAAAATTTTGCATTTAATCTTTCTGATTTATTGAAAAAAAAAAAAATTTCATTCTAATCTTTTGTTCTTGCATATTTTTGAAATATCTCATTCGAATTAACTTTACTTATAAATTTAATATAGGGTAGAAATGTTAATTATATCATAAAAATACCGAAACTTAGATATACAGTCTCAATTCACATTTAATACACGCTATGAAGGTATTTGAAAAAAAAAAACAATGAATAGTTTTGGTACAGTAAGTTATACACCATGTTACTATTTAACTGATTATCTTGAGTTTATATAAACATTAGTACAATAGGCCTTTTTATAACCGCAATATATCACGATATATAGCGAAAACTACGGTATATTTCTGTTCATAAACAAATATTTCTAACGTAATTTGTTTATAAACACGACTAAATTTTCGCAATATAGCGAAAATAATACGAGAGTAGCGGAGTTAAATCATTTGAACAGTTAAAAATACTCATTCTTATAATTTTTATAAACTTTTTATAAATTTTGAGTTCTTACAAAATGTAATAGCCTAATATTCTCTTGCATTTTAATCGAAATACTAATACCAGCGACCGAAATAGGGATGTGAACTTAAAATTTTTAAATTCTTGAAATAACTAAGCGTCTATTCATAGATTCGCTAATTTAATTTTCTGTTATTGCCCTTAAAATAATTTTTTCTGTGAGTAACTGAATTGCCGATCTTAGAACAATTGAATTTACGAGGTAAAGTAATTTTTGAATTAAACACACGTTTTTAAAATTACCATTTATTCGGTTGATGTCAAATTCATTTATAGTAGAAATTCATACACTTATTTATAGAAATTTGTATATCTTATTCAAATAGCCTGAAAATATCTTAGCAAAAGCCTGAAAGTTAGAATTGGTTGAAATACACTTGTAAGAAATCTACAGTTTCTACAGGGTACTTTTCAGTTTAAAACTGTTAAATTAATTAAGAAATTGCATGCTTTTTTCATAAATTGAGGGAATAAATTCAATATCAAATCCATGTATTTGGAACATACGATCATAAAATATGTTATAAATTTTAAGTTGCATTTAAAATAGAAATTGTGCAGCGTTTTTTGTTACCAATTTAAAGAAGTGTAATTTGATTATGTAACAGAATCCACCAGAGTCCAAACAAAAAAAAAATTGTTATTGCAACTGTTTTTAATATCTACAAATGCGTGCATTTTATTTGATCACCCCAGACAAAAATTAAAATCAATTTTAATAGTTTATAGTTTTTCCAACAATGGAACCCCCTAAAAATATTATTTAAAAATGTCATTATTTGCATACATATAAATTCTTTACCATTATAATTAAACCTAAAAACTACCCCCTATGTTATATTTTTAGTTTATTTAGGTCTGAAAAAAAAACGAGTTCATATTAAAATTAAAAGAAAATTTAAAAAAATTTAAAAATTGAATTAGCGGAACTTTTAATTTAGTTAAATAGTACCGTTTCCTCAATAATCTATTCTTTCTTTTCAAATTTTGTTCCTAAATCGTAATAAATAAACTTTTAAATTCAAAATTTACAGAAAAATGTTACAAGATAGATAAAATGGCTCAACAGTATATAATTATGTCATATACGAGTATGTATAAACAGTATATATGTTAGTAAGCATATACTACTAGATTAAAAACCAATTGCAATTTCATTTTTAAATTAAATTTTTATTTAAATGAATTAGAATTTTAAAAATGACTTTTTTAATATTATTTTGAAAACCTTCAGTTAAGGTATAGATTGTGAAATGTTTCAAATGTATAGTTTTTGAAGTGATGTTTGATTTATTATTACATACATAAGGGCCAAATATAAATTTCAGATGTGTACTAAATCGTAATATTTCAATCGTAAATTATAAACATAAGATATAAATTTGTAAACAAAAATTTGAATACTCAAACAGTTGATTTGTACTTTGCGAAATTCTAATTTTCCATTTTAAAAACTCAATCTGTATAAAATTCTACTCTGGTATCGTAACTTTTTGATTTAGTACAAAAGTAGAAATCCGAATAAAGAAAAGTAGAATAAAAATAAATCTATTTAGATTATTATTTATAATTTGGTCCGGAAATGCAAACAGTTTTTGGTGTTTTTTTGCTTATACCACATACATAGTTCAAGTTTGTATTTCTGTAAAGTTTGACAACATTCTCTGCAGACAGTAATTTTACTCTGCCAATTTGTCAAATGATATTTGTTTTATATGGAGTTGAATTTGAAATTGACAAAAAGAAAATATAAATATTAATTTTAAATTTCTATTTCATCACCGGCGGTTTCCATTGGCAATAAGAAAAATACAGTTAATTATGCCGTTCCGCTGTTCAGGGTTAATAACGAAAATCCTCAGCCGTTGTCGTTAACCGTTTTATTTGTACAAATTATGAAGAACCGAAATTATTCTGATTTTTATTTTCAGTTCATTTAATTTATTTTCAGCTCATTTCAGTTTATTTATTTTTTAAGAATTTTATTTGCTTTTTTGCCATGTTATTTTATTTTAAGCCGGCTTTAATTTAAAGTTGTGTTTATACAATAAAAAGGTTAAGAAAATAATTCGTTAATCAAATGGAAGTTCACAAAATTCAACAAAATCATTCTCTTAACAAATTTATATTAAAATGATTAAAATAGGGTTCTTCTCAATCAGATTAATATTTACTTCATATTTAATATAAAAAAAAACACAATCACATAATCATGACGTTTCATTACCAACTTTGGAGAAAACTTTTCAATAAAAGTCTCTGATTTATAGATAGATTAATTCTTGGATATTAGCTCTGGAGCAGAAAAAGAGGGCCAAGAATTATCATTTTAAATCAACTTAAAATTTGGCGAAAACAATATTTCAAAGCAGAAATGTCAAAATGAATTTCCCTATCTCAGACTTTGTCATTTATTTCGAATGTATGTGGTGAAACAAATTAAACAATTAAAGTATATGGACAGAACGGAATTTTAATGAAAAACAATGTTAACAATCATTACTTGCTTTTCTTAAAATAAGATTAACACATTTTAGTTTTTGATATGTAAACCAGTAACTGGCACAGTTTTATATGTATGACAATATAAGAACACATAAGGTTTATTCGAAAATGAACAACAAAACCTATTTTTCTTTTAAACATATTTCTTTTTTCTCTTAAATTACTTGCAAATTTAATTGTTAAGGACTTAAAGAAAAATTTGTTTAATCGAAAATTTAATGTTCTCAGCATATTAACTTCAAATTTTAATAATATTATTTTTCAACTACATACGGGCCTATCATCATAATTTTCATCTTTTACATTTTTGTGAACCTATAATTCATTTTTTGTGTCATCATTAAAAAATGAACTGTCAAAAATAGTTGCCCTTCGATGTTCTTCTTAAAACAAAAAAAAACGAGAAAAAAAATAGAGTTGACCTTGTCAACTCTGTGATACCCGTACGAACTTGTTATCGTATATGCGAATAACTAATGTGCCATAACTAACTATGGGGCAGACTATGATTTTAAGTTGGAGTATTACCATATTAATTTATGCAAAATTTCAGTACTATGTGTTATTCAAAATACTGGTTGTGCCAAACTACTATTGATGTTGTATGGCAGCTACCAGAAAGAGCCAAGAAATTTTAGCAAATTTTATCAAGCACATCGGCCCTACTAATATATTCACTTGTGTGAAATCTCAATATCACAGCTTTTATAGTTTCTGAGATATAGTCAAATAACTTTTGAAGTTGTATGGCAGGTACCAGAAGGAGCCAAGTAATTTCAACGACTTTTATGTGACACATTGGCCCTACTAATATATTCGTTTGTATGAAATTTCAATACCATAGCTTTAATAGTTTCTGAAATATAGCCAAATAATTTTTGAAGTTGTATGGCAGGTACCAGAAGGAGCCAAGTAATTTCAACGACTTTTATGTGGCATATTGGCCCTACTAATATATTCGTTTGTGTGAAATTTCAATACCATAACTTTTATAGTTTCTGAGATATAGCCAAATAAATTTTGGAGTTGTATGGCAGCTACCCGAACCGGTACCCCGATCATGTCCAATTTAAATAGGGTTCTGGCACTTACTACAATAAATCATTTGTGAAAATTTGGTGAACTTAGCTCAATTAGTTTTTGAGTTATCGTTCGGACGGACGGACGGACGGACGGACGGACGGACGGACGGACGGACGGACGGACGGACGGACGGACGGACGGACGGACGGACGGACAGACAAAGCTAAATCAACTCAGAATTTGACGCTGATCAAAAACATACACTTGAGTCTATATCTATCACCGTTATTTCTTAGCGTTACAAACGGTAAGGCAAATTTAGTATACCCTTCGAACATACGTTCGTACGGGTATAAAAAATGAATGATACAGTTGCTAATCATTCACTCATTCTTTTCTTTGGTGAAAGGTAATTTTTGTCTTTCACTCATTTTTCCTTTCATTCACTTTTTCGTAACAATGATGATATCTTCTTATTATATCAGATTTACTAACTGAAATTCATTGATTAAATATTGACAGGATATTATATAAGTATATGTACAAACGTAAAACTATAACAAAAACTTTAAATTTTAAAATAAAATTAAAAGAACGGCAAAATTTGACTTAAGCAGTTTCTTTACTTGAAACCACAGAATTAAAAATGCATATACAATGTATGAAAATGTAAAATCTACAGTTAACGAAAAGTTAAGAAATGTGAAGTGTTGAATATGTAAGTATTATGAAAGTTTGTTTTTTTTTTAATTTTCTCTACAAATTTCAAAAAAAAAACATTTATGCAATTATAAATCTGTTTATATTATAGATCTATATTTAAGTATGTATTTATAAATATGATCACGTAAAATATGTAACGTGTGTATATATGAATGTGAAAATTGCTTTGTTTTAATAATTGGACTGTATAAATGCTTGTAGTATAGGTAAAGTTTTTGTGTTATATGTGAGTTAGCATTATTTTGATATTTATAATAAATTATTTTTGTATATAATTAGCCAAAATTTATGAAAAAAAAAGAAATGAATTTAATGAAATTTAAAAAAAACAAATTTATAACCAGGCAAAAATAAATAACAACAACGTTCTCTATGCCTTAAAAACTAACTTTTTTTTTGTCTTAACTTTTTATATTCGCTTCTCTTGTAATGAATGCTTTACTATTATAAGTATATATGTAAAAATATTTATAAATATAATCATTAGTTAATTTAAAATAATTTTGTACATACATAAGTATTTAAATTATTAAAAAGGAAGTGGAAAATAATAATGCACATGAATGAATTAAGAAAAAAAAAAACTTTAATATGCAAGAACATTTAATAAAAAAAAGAATGTTATGTTTAACATTTCAATATATACATACATAAAATATATGTATGTATAAATAAACGTACTATATAAGTGTATTAGATAATGTTTATCTATTCAGAGTGATGTAATAATTTTTATAATACAAAAATTTTTAAATATTTTTCATATAACGTAAGTAATATTATTACTATTAAATTTTTAATTTAAAATATTTAATGATTTTAAGCAAGTATATAAAAATATTTTGTATTACTTGAAATTTATTACATCAATCTTTATTATTGATTTTTAAGTATAATAACTTTAATATTATAAGAAAATTAACAAGATATAAAAATATTATAAATGAATATAAAATTTTCGTGCTTTCAAATTATAATTATATAATAAGTATACATTATGTAATAATAAAATAGTAGGTACGTTCCCATAATAATTGAAATAACGGTATATTTAAATAAATTAACACAAATTCAATACAATATATAAGTAAGAATACTAAAATGTAATCAAAGAGATTTAAATGCAAAATTTTTTTTTAAATATTAAAAAATATTAAAAATTAAAACTACATTAAAAATATTTTTAACTAAGTACTTATAACTGTTTTATAATAAAACAAAAATTATAATTATATATGTATATGTATATATATAAATATACATACATATATGTATAAGAACTATAAAATATCAGTAAATTCATAAATTTTCACAATTGATTATACTTAAAATTTTGTTATGATAAAAAATTCAGAATTTCTGTAAAATTTTGAAACACAAAAGATCAAAATTTTTGTTAATAAATTACGCCTTCCTTCGCCCTTAAAATTTTTTAACTTGAAATATTTAAAACTGAAAAAAAAAATCACAATTACATGCATACATACTAAAGTAAATTAAACAATTTAAGATAAATTCATGTTTCTAGACTAGTCCTCTTCTTCTTAATATTGTTTCTTCATTACGATCCGAGCCCTGTCATCATTTTCACAAAAAAAAAGTGAAAGAAAGGAAAAATGAGTGAAACTCAAAAACTACCTATCGCTTAAAAAAAAATGAGTGAATGGTTTACATATTATGCATCACTCATTTTTTTTTTAACAATGACACCGGGTTTTTTTTGTTTTCATCTAAAATGCACAATGACAACTCCAGAGTTTTTTTTAATGATGACACCAAAAATGAATAATAAGTTTACAAAAATGGAAATGATAGCAATGACAAGGATGACGTAAAAAAAGAAGGGTTTTATGACCAATTGGAAAAAATCAAGCGAGCAAATTGGAAGGCAGGAACCCAAGTTTCATCTTTTTTCTTCACAAAATAAAATTTATTTTCAGAATCTACTATAAACAGACAGAGCGACATACCAACATCTTGCTCAAAATAGCTTATTTACAATTCCCTACAATGGAGATGTTAACTTCCACTTAAAACTCAACAACCGAAATTTGATGCAATCACATAACGTTTCTTATTGTCGGTGGGTAAAAAAAAAGAAAGAAGAAGACTAGTCTGGAAATAACTAATGTCCCTCTATAATTACTCCGTTTGGTCTATAGAAAGAATTAGATATTACTTTCATCTATCTTTTGAAGAAACAAAAAATTTTCATTAGTTTATCAATAAGAACTTAAAGTGTAAATTTAGTAATAACGTGACACAAAATTCAAGTGTTAAAAAATTAAAAATCGATTTAACCTTCAATTTCTATTTGTAAGAAGGCACTTATATACGAAAATAAATTTTATATACTTAAAATATGAATTTACTGACTTTTATTATCTTATTAACATTTTTTCTCTCTTTTGTTTTGTTGGTTCCTTAACATAAAAAACCAACAAAAAAAAAAAAGAAAAAAAAGAAAAAGAAAACGAATAATGAAGGAAACAAAAATAAACTTTGATAAAAATGAATTTTTTTACCTTTTCTCTATCAGCCCTATCTATTTTAAATTCATTTCTATCACGATCAATTTTACCAAATGATGATGAATATTTTGGTAAAGTTGGTGGTGGTATTGGTCTTGCTGCTATAGCTGGTTTATCACCTGATCCTCCTCCACTATGCGATGATTTATTAACGCTATGTATTCCAGCCGTTACTAATGGTGTTGTATTATTGATAGAACCTATAGTACCAAATAAATTAGTATTATTGGTATTAACAAAATTTTGTTTATATGAACCAGGTGATGATAATATTGGTTTTGTAGGTGGTATTGGTGGTGGGCCATTTGGTGGTCCAGTTTTTCCATTTGATGTGTTTGTTGTTGTTGTCATTGTACCATTTTCCTTATCATTAATAACACCTCCAACTCCAATATTCCCGCTACCAACTGTTGGATTACAAGATCCACTATTAATTGTAACAGCTTGTGATGCACTCATCTTTACATATTGTATTAATTATGTTTTTTTTTATTTTGTTTTTATTTATGGTTTTATTAAAAAACAAAAAACACTGTTTTTCTTTTCAATATTAAAAATTATTCTTTAACTTTTTTCGATTTCGTAATCTTTTTATATATTTATATAGATATATATATTACGTTTTTTATATGTTCAAATTGTCAATAGAATTTGAGAACTTGATCTAAAAAAATTATTAAAGAAATTTATTTGTACAATTCCAAATATTACTCGTAATTCGACTATTTCATAAAACGAACTTTATCATTTTTTTTTTAATTAAAAATTTTCGGTTGCAATTTTTACTAACAATTGTCAATTTCGAGTCCATTAAATTAAAACTAAATCGTCATATTTATGCAAAAGAATATTGTTAATAGTAATGGGTGACTTCTATCAAAAGTCAGATCTAATGCTATAACTTGACTTATTCAGCAATAAAATTTGAATTGATATTAATTTCTAATGAAGGTCAAGTTGACAGATCGATGCTTTGGTAGACGCCGATGTTTTTTTCTTACCATTTAAGGTTATGTTAAAATGTACACAATTTTTAAAGAGTATAAAACAGAATGTTCTTGGTATGCATAACTTTCAATGCAATAAATTCGTGCAAGAAGCAAACAATAATAAATAATAAAGAAATAAAAGAAGCACGAATATCGCATGTTTTTTTTGCTATGTCGTTCAGAAATTTCGTTTGTTGTTTGCCTTTTTCTTTGGCTGTTTATATGTATATTGATTACCCGGTATCGATTACAGGCTACAGCTTTGAAAAATTATAAAAAGAAAGCATTAGCTAAAAATATTGAGAAAAGATAGAGAAGAACTTGAAAACTAGACTCTTTGAATTTATCAGTTTAAAAAATTTTTTTTTTTTAATTAAATGACAACGGTGTAGTCAAAAATTTACTGTTGAGGTTATACATATTGCGAACTTCATCATATCAAATATAAAAATAGAAATCTGCAACATAATTGCAATAATTGAATTTTTGATTACACACCCTATAAATATTTTAAAATAAAAAATGACAATTTGAGTATTATTTTATTTTATCAGCCTAAACTATGTGCAAATAAAAAAAAATTGTTTGATAAGATTATTTTATAAAAGCATAAGCTTTTTATCTATTTATCGATTAATCGCTTGTACTTAGTTTGTGTTGTTCATTTATTGTATGGCTGGTATGTTTGAAATATTGGCTAATATATGTATATTTAGTAGATGCATTATATATGTACATATTATATTTACAACAAATTAAATTAGTCTATGATTAATTGATTATGTAAACATAAAATGTTGGATTTTATATATATAAATGTTTATCAACTTGTGACAAATTTAAACTCTTTACCGTATTCAAACTTTTACGATTAATTTAATAGACTTTTTCACATAGGAAAAACGGTATGAAACAAAATGTAAAATTTTTAATACGTTGTTAATACAAAGTAAGAAAAATTTAAATAATGTGATGGTAAAATAATCTACTAATGTAAATTACAACACTTCAAATGGCAAAAACTAGCTGCAGCCTGCATTGTTGCAACAGCACGTTTGAATATTAAATAAAATTTTTTTACTGATAACTCAAATTTTCAATTTGATAATTTTTATAACGCATGCGCAAATATTTTGATATATTTTATTAGTGTTAGTTTAGTATAAATGCTATTTCATAAATGTATAAAATATTGTTTCCACAAGAATTTTTAAGAATCAACAGCTTTATCCGTTTTTTTTAAAATCGGAAAAAAATATATTACGTTTTATATATGTACATAGTGGAAAAAATTAAAAATAATTTACTGAATTTCTTTGTTTAGAAAATATTTACTTTTCATTCAAGAAACTAAACCCGATCACCTTTAAATTAAAAGAGATAATTCAATTCTAAAATCTTGTAAATTCTGTTGATAGATAAAATTTTAATATATGTACATAGATGTGTACATTTATATAAAAGTTTGGCATTTGAACAGAATAAGAAAAGAACAATGAAGAGAACATGTTTTACAATTACTTTAATTTCTTGAAAAATGTTATTTTTTATACGAATTTTATTTTATATTGAAATATGTAATTATGCATATTCTACAGTCTACACATAATTAATAAAAAAAAATGTTATGATACAGTATTCCTACTACTATAAGCAGTAGAACGAAAACATTGTATTGTAGGTAGAAAATGATTCATGTTTTGTGTTTCTCTTACGTTTCTCTCACTCTCAAAATTTAATGTAGCAGTAACATTAAGCACATTATTTCTCTTTCTCTGCTGTAATTTTTTTTTCTTAGTTTTTTCTTCTTTTGCACAATCTAATTAGAGGAGTTCATCTATAATAATACTCAAGTTCACCTACATATTTATATTTTGAAAAGAAAAAAAAAAATAAATAAATAAATGTGTGTATGTATGTATGCACCTATGTAACTACAAATTAGATATTTGGTTTTATATTAGAAAAGTCCTTTAATAAAAATTTTCTATTAAATTAAAAATAACTAATCACAAACAAAAATGTTGAATTTTTAAATTGAAATTAATAGGAATTGCTGCTAAATAATAAAGTATGCGTTTGTTTTATTTTAACAAAATATATTTAAATTTGTACATACATACATAATTGAAACACTTTATTTCCGTATTAAGTTTTGTATTTAAAATTTTTATCAAATAAGAACCCTTACACTAAATAATCACAAAATCCTTTTAAATATTTTGAAATCTTTTACAATATGGTATACTTTAAGGAGTGAAATTCTGTCACTAATCATTATATGTATATACACATACAGTTCTCCCCGGTTAATTGAACCGAGAAAAGTTGCACACTTTTTGTATCAATTAAGCGGGTAAATCAATTAAAAAAATCCCGTTTAATTGAACAATTGGTGCAATAAAACGAATTTTTTTAACTGAATCGTTTACGCATGAAAACGAATACTCGCTATTGAAGATCAGGCGCAAAAACGAATTTGATCCTGCTACTGCATAAAATTAATAAAAACAATAGGAAGCATATCATATTACATATACTTATCAAAATATCCTAGGTAAAAAGCTATATTTAAAATAGGGGATACACTAATGAAATACTAAAACTCAAATTTTTTTTTATTTCAAAATTTAAAAACTTAAATGTTTCTTTACTTCAAAATTTTAAAACTTAAATTTTTCATCATTTTAAATCCATCTAAGTAATGTAACTATGAATTCAAATTCAAAATATTTAAATCATAATATTTTTATATTACATAACATAACAAAAATTAAAAATAAATATTTCATATTACAAAGAAAACAAAATATTTCATACGTTATATCTAATTTTTCAATAAACTTACTATTGCTAGTTTAACAACAACAAATAGAATAATAAAAAATTAAACCTATTTAAAAAAATTTGTAATTTTCGTTTGGTTATGTTTGTAATGATTCTTAATAATAAAGGTTTCCATTTCATCTAAGTTTTCAATAAATTTATTTTGTGGGATAAAAAATTTCCGTACAATGTTTATGCCGTTTAAGACGTCCTTAATAGTAGGAATTGCATCATAAGTCTCAGTTTCATTATCGCTTGTTGTTTCAAGGTCTTCATTAAGACCAATGGAAGAAACTTCTTGAATTATTTCCTGGTCGTTAGGCTGACCATAACATTCAATTTCTTCATCGATTGCTACTTAGCCATCAAATTCATTTCGTTCCATTAATCCACCAAAATCAAAATCAGTCATCAAACAGTCAGACAGGTCAATAAACAGGGGAATTTTTCACAGTTTTTATAAGGTAATACCAAAAAAAGAGATTCATTTAAGCGAGTTGTTCAATTAAACGGGACTCAATTAAACGATGTTATTCATGTATATTTTAATAGGGATTTAAAGTTGCCTTAGTTTTTCGTTCAATAAAAGGGGAAAATCAATTAAGCGTGGTGCATTTAACCGGGGAGAACTGTACATACTCATATGAATGTACATATGCATTATACAGACAATTCTGTCATTTTATTATTTGAAAACCGTACCAGCAGGCTATATTGCACTGCAATATCAAAACACAAAAAAAAATAAATAAAATGTTATACAAAATTCATTTTACATTGAAATTTCTTGAAGAATTTTTTAAGAGGCAAACAACAAAAAGAAAAAAACAATATTTATGTATAAATAGGCATCTAAAAATATTGTTTTGCTATGCGTGTGTCGTGTCGTCGTCTTCTGTAAAAATTTGTAATATATTCCATTAAAGTACAACAATACACTTTTAATCTACTCATGATTATCCCATATCCATATTGTATATAATCATGGGCATGTATGTATGTATATATGTATATGGAATTATATGAAATTTAAATAAATATGTAAAATATTTCTATAAAAAAAATATTATTAGTTTTTTTTGTGTCGTGCTATGTATGGTGCCTTCAATATGAATATAATATCCATGTTATTTATAACATCCCTTTTGAAATTAAAAACAAAATAATAATTTCGACGTCATGTCATATTCGTAGAGTATGTTTATGAAAATTGTGTATTGCTCTTTTTCCTTAACGCATACACTACACACACATATTGTATGTATGCATGTATGTACATAAAATTTCAGATTTCAGAATGAAAATGAAAAAATTATTAATTTTGTTTTTTTTTTAAATTTTACTTTTTCTTTTTTATAGTTTTTCTCGTTTTTCTTTTTCAATATTCATTTATTTAATTTTTCTTTAATTTTTTTCTTATTTAAACTTTTCAATTGAAATTTTATTAACCTCTTTCTACATTATTTACTTATACACACAATATTTTTTCTTTCTACTGCCTTCTTTTTCTATTCAGAAAAATGTAGAAAAAGAATTTTTTTTTTTTTGCTGTAAAATTAAAGTAACACTCCAAGTACCTAAAAAAAAATTTTTTTTTCAAATATGGTTGCTTTTATTTCTTTTTTTTTCTTTTCAACACTTTTATTTTTTAACTGGTTTGTTATTAGGACTCTAATTAAATTAAAATAAAAAATATATTTTTTCTTATTTTATTATTTTACATTTAGTTTAAAATTTTATTTTTCGAGTTTT